ATAATGGGGCACTTCAACAGCTCACCAGAGTAAGATTTTCAGTGAAAAACCACTTGAAATTCAATTTATTCTTCACACAAAGCGAGTTTATGTATTCAAATTTGAAATATAGTGCACAAGTTGAATGGACTAACCTACTGGCTCTCATACTTTAATAATATTTGAGAAATACTATAATAAAATATGCTGATGCTCTTTTGAAGATTAAAAGGGGCATATTTATGAAGACATACAAAACTATATGTACTTAATATATAGCCATTTTTACTATATCAGTCACAATCACAACCAGGGAGCAACATTTCTAAGGGAGTGGCAGCATTATTAATATGTTAAAATGTTCTAACACTAATAATAAGTGAATAATTAGTGATGCACAACATATCAGCCACCATATCAGTATCGGCCATTATATGTTCATTTTTAATGTTATAGTTATCGACCCAATAAGACAATTGGCTGATATATAAAGACGATAAATAAGGGATCATTTCCTTCAGCTGAGACACTTCAGATGCCCACTGTTCATCATGATGCTTTGAACTGCTTGAAATATGATTGAAACCACTTTGAAAAGAAAAATGCAGTTAAAGGGGTGGTTTACTGCTTTTCTTTGCATGATTGTGTTTATGGGGTGCAATATAACATGTCTTCATGTTTGTTTGTTTTTAAAAGGTTTGCTGTTGCGATTACATACGATTTTTCTAACTTTGTCTTATACGAACAAAATAGCATCGAACTGACTGCCTACAATAAACAAACAGCGTTGGCATTACGTTCTTTATCAAATCTAAAAATTTGTCAAATACATTTACAAAGTTAGTTACATAATTACAAATTCAGGTCCAAAATGTTTGTACGTGTTTGACACACACGAAATAGCATAACTAAGTGGCTACTAGAGCAATGAATACAACAGTTTGAAGATCCAAATTGCAGTTTCAATTCAGCTTCAAAGAGCTCTACACGATCCCCGCCGAGGAATAAGGGTCTTATCCAGCAAAACAATCTGTCATTTTTCCAAAAATTATATATATATATACACACTCACCTAAAGGATTATTAGGAACACCATACTAATACTGTGGTTAACCCCCTTTCACCTTCAGAACTGACTTAATTCTGTGTGGCATTGATTCAACAAGGTCAATGCCATGTAGAAATGTTGTTCTTTAGTTGTTCAAATGTTGTTTAATTCTTTAGAAATGTTGGCCCATATTGATAGGAGAGCATCTTGCAGTTGATGTAGATTTGTGGGATACACATCCAGGGCACGAAGCTCCCGTTCAATCACATCCCAAAAGATGCTCTATTGGGTTGAGATCTGGTGACTGTGGGGGCCATTTTAGTACAGTGAACTCATTGTCATGTCCAAGAAACCAATTTGAAATGATTAAAGCTTTGTGACATGGTGCCTTATCCTACTCGAAGTAGCCATCAGAGAATGGGTACATGGTGGCCATAAAGGGATGGACATGGTCAGAAACAATGCCATGGCATATATAGGCCGTATAGGCCATGGCATTTTAAACGATGCCCAATTGTCACTAAGGGGCCTAAAATGTGCCAAGAAATTATTCCCCACACCATTACACCACCACCAGCCTACACAGTGGTAAAAAGCATGATGGATCCATCCATGTTCTCATTCTGTTTACGGCAAATTCTGACTCTACCATCTGAATGTCTCAACAGAAATCGAGGCTCATCAGACCAGGAAACATTTTTCCAGTCTTCCACTGTCCAATTTTTGTGAGCTCTTGCAAATTGTAGCCTCTTTTTCCATTTTCGGCCACAGGACTGCCGCATACTGGATGTTTTTCCCTTTTCACACCATTCTTTGTAAACCCTAGAAATGGTTGTGCGTGAAAATCCCAGTAACTGAGCAGATTGTGAAATACTCAGACCGGCCCGTCTGGCACCAACAACCATGCCACGCTCAAAATTGCTTAAATCACCTTTCTTTCCCATTCTGACATTCAGTTTGGAGTTCAGGAGATTGTCTTGACCAGGACCACACCACTAAATGCACTGAAGCAACTGCCATGTGATTGGTTGATTAGATAATTGCATTTATGAAAAATTGAACAGGTGTTCCTAATAATCCTTTAGGTGAGTGTATACACATGTACATATACATATATTTATAAAACGGTTAGTTCCCATCCTTGATTCTGATTGGAGGTATATAATATTGTACTCGAGGCAATAAGCAGTAAGGTACTAGAGGCAAGTGCTGTATCATGAGTAAACAACTGAAGGGGTTGCATTTTTAACAATGCCTAAGGATGCAAATTATCAATTAATTCATTAATCATTAGTTGATCAACCTTATCGATCGATTAACGATTAATTGATAAGCACCTATTTTCCTGAGAATGTTAATTTCTCACGCTATCAATTTAACATAAAAAGTTAAATATGGCTTATATACTGAACAAACAAAATGCTTCAGTTTACGAGTTAGCTCAAACAGCAACATTCCTACTTTTAAATAGCAATATTAATTTCAGAGGTTTCTTTTTCAAAAAATATTAATGCATTATTAATAATAACTAGCTCTTAAAAAAATTAATTAAAATAATTTAATTATTGTCTGTGTGGAGGCTATTCTATTGCATTTATTCATGTCACATGTAGGGCTGTCAAACGATTAATCGCATCCAAAATAAAAGTTTGTGTTTACATAATATATGTGGGTGCACTGTGTATTATGATTTTGTATATATATATATATATATATATATAAATACACACACATGCATCTATATTTAAGAAACAAAATATATTATTTATATATAAAATATTTATATTTAATATAAATGATATATAAATCTATATACAGTAAATACATGAAAATATTTCTTAAATATATACAAGCATGTGTGTGTATTATATATATATAATAATAATTATACACAGAGCACCAACAAATAATTTGCTAACAAAAACTTTTATTTTGGATGCGATTAATCCCGATTAATCATTTGACAGCCCTAGGCACATGCATTTTGATTCTTTATACACAAGTAATGTTGTCAAATGATTTGTTTGCATTATTTATAGTCCCCGTGAACCGGAAGTTGCAAACGATTTTTCTCCAGTGCTGTGACGTATTTTCAAGTGAAACGGAATATTGAACAGAGGGCAGGGTTTTACTCTAGCGCTCCTCCTCTCCATCTCTCGCTCATAGCAAACTAACGGTTTGAGGGGAGTGGTTAAGCGTTTCCCCACCCAAACTGTGAAACCTACGTCATCAGAAAAAGAAACCGTTCCAGACCGGAAGTAACTTTTCAGATTTTGATTAAAGATTACTAAGGTAAAACATTTTTTTAATATATATTAATTGTTCACCACAAGACTAGTAATATGCGCTAACAAAGTAAATAGGTTCAATTTTGATTTCACGGGGACTTTATTTCTTTTTAAAAAAATTTTAAGAAAGTTAGTTAAAAGGAGTGTAAAACTTGATTTTAAAACTTAAACTAGTTCAAACTACGGGCTACTGGTATATATTTGCTGTATGGTTGAAGTGCTTGGGACATCGCTTTTAATGGTGAATCATTTGTTTTTGAAATAAAAATAAAAAAATATATAAAAATGTTGACTTAGATTTATTAGCCAATACATCATTTATCACCGAATATAAAGAAATATCAGTATTGGAAGCATCCATACGAATCATTAATAACCAAAAAAGTACTGTTTTTTTTTTTTATTATTGAAGAACAAAGAGCTCTTGAAACTTTTGGAATCACTTAATGAATATTGGTTCATTAATTTAATATAATCAATATCATCAGTTTCCAGTAAAAAAATAAATACATAATACAAGCAGCTGTCATAAATACAAAAATTTAAATCCACTTATTTATATTGGTCTAGAAGCAAAACATGCATATATGGATCATTTACAAATACACAAGATGATTTTCACAGATAACTTTTAATCAATGACACGTTCATTGCTTGTCATTGGAGGATCAACATCTTCCGTTTTTCCATTTAAAATGACAGACAAGAGAAGCCACTTGATTAGATATGAGCTTAGTTAGGGCAGAATCAGAGCAAAGCATAATAGTGATGACTGGTCTAAGGATGATGGACTTTTGGAACTCCACGTACGATAAGCTCATGGTCAAAAGTCAGTTCTACCAATAAGGCAAAAAGACTACAGTCAATGAGAGGATCACTCCACCTCCTGTGCTAAAAAGCAAAGGCATTATCCATTGGTTAACTCCAGATTCCACCCACACTGGTGGTCATCACTCGTCACTCGTCGTTATCATCACCTTCATCCCTTTGTCATAGAGTATGTCGGTTAAGAACCAAAGCCATGAACTAAATTACCTTGTGTTTCTATGAGCTTCTGCATCTTTAAAGTCACGTAAAATCAAAACATACCACTTCTGCTTTTGATGGAAAATTAAAGTATTTTGTTATACATGATTTAACTGTGCACATCATTATTTTTGTAATTCAATGTGCCCTCAATTTTTTTTATCAAAATAACGTCCCCTGCCCTGACCCCCTCCCTCTTGCAGTGATATCTCCTCTCTGCTCTCTGATGACGTGTTTAATGGCGTGAGGGCGTGACAACCGGTCACTCATATAAGTTGAAATAATGCAAACTAAGGGCTTCAACACAAAACATGTTCCAATCGATCAACAAGATCGTGTTTGTAAAAAAAAAAAAAAAAAACTTTTATTTAGCTGTGGCAATGAGAGCCTCAGCCAATGACCCGGAAACGTCAACGGTGGATACGAATAGCGGATAAGATCAGAGCAAGAAAAAAAAAGTTAGTAAAAAACGTTATTAAAAGAAAAAAGCTCTAACACTCATCCTGATAGACAAAAAAAAAGTGTATAACTTGCTTCACAAGGTTGAATGTAACGTTATCATCAAATGCCCATCATGTTACCATCATGACACACAGTAATCGATGGCTGATTGTTGGAGCAGCTTGCCTGAATAATGTAAGTGCAATGTATGTACCAACCTGCCCATTTCCCGAGTTTGGATGCCCTCATCAAATTTCCATTCCCCACAATCCACACACGAATCCCGTTAATCAGACAGCACAGAGAGCACACCGACACCCAGGCCACAGTGACAACACCGGTCCAAAACAGTGCATCTGTCAGCAGCTCCATGACAACAGAATCAACGTGCCTCGGTGTCTCACACAAGTAAGATCACAACTGTTTTCACAGATTCTGCACAAATACAAGTAGCCAAGATGCTACACGTTGTCGGCTCGGTAGTGTGCAGGATTTATTCAAGCACATCCGCTTCCGTGTTGATTACGCATTGTTACGTTTTTCTACAGACTCCATTCTGATTGGATAGAAGATCTGTGCGTCACCGTACACTACCCCATGCCTATCCGGCGAGAGAAACATTCAATGTGTGAATAAATCATTGTTTAAAAAATATGGACTGTCTCTGAGATGACTTTAAATAATTGAAACTGTTTCAGAATCATACGTCATGGCGGAAACAATTAAATACATTTAAATATGTAGGGTAACATTGGGGAAGATGGCCCCCTTAAGAACAATGTGCATTTAGCCTACTTTAAATCTGTGAAATATTTAAGTATAAGTTAGCATGTGCAGGAATGTGTTATTATAGGAAATAAATAAAAACATTTGCTAATTTAGTTGTTATAGAACAAAATGTAAAATTATTCCAAGAGAGAGGCCATTACCCCACTAGGGGTAAGAAGTCCCACATGTCTAAACTTTTACAAAATGCAAAAATTACTTTTGATATAATTCTTATTCATATATATATAAGTGTCATTCATGTAATGCATGCATTTACTAATTTTGACAATTTAGTTGAATCACAGACAAATCCCAGTAAAAGAGACTTTTATAAGTTGACTTAGGCTATATAATATGCATATGAATATTTACATATTTAATTGCATATTTTAACTGAAGATATGTCATAATAGTCTAGCATTAATCCAAACTGGATGATTTCACTCTTTTAATGAATAGACACAAATATAACATCGCAGGCCTTACAAAGGTTTTCAAGTTGAAATACTGTTTCGTATTTAATTAACTATTTAATCAATACTTTTTAAATGATATTTTACTATGCAAAACATAATGTGGGGGTAAAAATCAAAATAGCTGATATGTTTTTCAGGTGAAACTTAACACAAATTACTTATGACATATTTCATGCAAATATAAAAATCTTCTAAGCATATCATGAGTTCTCTATTATTCTCTCTTATTTTTAATATTTTGTTTATAAATTTAACATACAGTATGCTTGCTTTATCGATTATACCTGTACTCCTATACAATTGCTTGAGCTGTCTGTTTCTCCCTTGTTCTTGTCTTCGTTTTTATTTTCTCGGCCACAGTGTCTAAAACAAACATGTACATTTTTCTTTTCAAAACACATCTTGATTTTAACGTCGTTCAATGCTATCAAATAAAGTGCACACAACAAAAGACAATGCTAATTAAGAAAATTGTGAGTGGGCAGGTTAAGTCACTGGACAACCTGAGTTATAACAAAAGAAATGCAGAAAAGTTTGACTCTTTATACATAAAAAGAAAGATAATAGAAAATTAATATCAGATCCTTGAAAGTGGATACACACTTAAACACACATTTAAACCGGAACACACTATAGTCTATATTTAATTAAAGACTACAAACTAAGTTTAATCCGCAAACATATTTTTTTTTTAAAAAAGAAAAAGAAAACATTGATTGCTTTATTTTTGAACCACTGTAATTATTTTAGGGCATCCACAACATGCTTTGTCTGGATAAACAAACTTCAGGGATTTTCAGCAATTGTGTCCTTTGTGTTTGGGTACAAAATACACACACAGATTGTGCAGATGGTTTCTACAATGCAGGCAGGGGCGGCTCGCCTATAGAGGGCGCTGGGGCGCCGCCCTCCCTCCGACCTGTCTGTCTGTTTTTTTAATATATATTATAATTTATCATTTTGAAAAATAATCTGTGTTAATTATATGCTAATAATGGTTTTACTTTGAAAAGTGTTTTGAACTCACCAGAATGATATTTGCATTCACTTTCGTTACTTTTATCATGTTGGTGTAGTAGTATAGCCAATAGGCTGTCTTCTCAGGGCGCCAGTTCGCTCAGCCCCACAGTGCTGGAATTTAAGCCAATGGTTCCCCGGTTGCTATGCAAAAAAGTTTATATTTCGCCAATCAGCGTCGTCAAATTTTATGGTTTGGGGGCGCTGAAAATATCGCCCACAGTATCAGATTAGGGGAGTGCACCGTGCACGCGCACCACGGGACATTTTTTTTTTACCTCAGGTGAGAGTAGAAATGGCAGCGCCAGTGACGTCGAGTGGAAATAATGTAAAGTTAGTCGTGGGAATTGACCTGTCTGTCTCTGTCACTCACACACACATAAACACTGTTTCACACACGTTTGATAATAAAATAGTTATAGGAATATTAATACCTGTGTGTTTGCTTTGTTTTTTGATGTTTTTAAGTTCTGAGCTAGATTACTTTGTTTCATACTAGTTAAAATCAACTTTCTTCTCATACTTGGGTGTTACCCTCAAGAATGTTGTCCCATCCTCTCTTTCAGAGCCTTTTCTCTCTCTCTTTCTCTAGTATCAACACATTGTTATCCATTATCCAATTGTCAATTTGTCAAAAATATGTAGTCTAAAGCTGGGGATTGATTAAACTAGATTGTTGTATTACCTATTATTTTTTGTATTACCTATATTATAATTTATCAATATTAAGCGTTTGCACTTTTTCTGTCAGCACACAGAGCATAATAAACATGCAACTTGTTCATTATCATTAAGTGTCAACCTGTTATTATTATTATTGTATTATTTGACCATTGTTATTGAGTGGTTTAAGTTATTTTATTGGTATAGGTAAGGGCATGGCCTAAGGCCTAAAATGCACCAGAATGCAGGAAATCACATCTACTAAATTCAAAATTTTCTGGCGGGGGACCCCCAGACCCCCCTGTTATTCAGCCCCCCCTCCAATATTTTTCACCAGCCGCCACTGAATGCAGGCTAAATCAGTGTGAAGTTTGAATATTTTGATGATCCATACTCAGCATTTACACAATGGGACAGAATGTTTACCATGTGTCTGATGTTTATTTCTTGTGTGGGACACCTTGTTTAACATTTGATAAAAATCCCTGCTTTGAATGTGGTTGTGGCTGTCCCACAGTTAAAATTGGGTCATATACTATTAATAAAAAGTGTTTGGTTTGTACTGGCAAACTTGAAACCATATATTGGATGCCAGAAAAGAAAGGACACTTTTATTACCACATTTAGTCTGTTAAAATTGGTCCATGACTTTTAAAAACCTTAATCTAAACATACATACAATAAAATGATGAGTGAAAATATTAGATTCACAGCATTACACACAAACTGGAGAGTAATGACAACCAAAATATTTGTAATGTAAAGATGTGATCAAGTAGTCTCAGTGTGTGTGTGTGTGTGTGTGTGTGTGTGTGTGTGTGTGTGTGTGTGAGTAAATAATTTACAAGGACACATTTTTGTAATGACATGGGTATTACACTGGTGTTACAACATAAATACGGCTAAATGTAAAAATGCAGAAAGTTTTCTGTGATGGGTTTAGGGGGTTATTGTTGGAAGAATGTACAGTTTGTACAGCATAAAAATCATTATGTCTATGGAAAGTCCCCTATAAAACATGAAAACGTGTGTGTGTGTGTGTGTGTGTGTGCGTGTGTGCGTGCGTGCATGCCTGCATATGTGTGTGTGTGTGTGTGTGTGTGTGTGTGTGTGTGTGTGTGTGTGTGTGTGTGTGTGTGTGTGTGTGTGTGTGTGTGTGTGTGTGTGTGTGTGTAAATAATTTATGAGGACACAAATTGTTATAATGACATGGCTATTACACAAGTGTTACAACATAAATACGGCTAAAAATGCAGAAAGTTTTCTGTTATGGGTTTAGTTTTCAGTTATATTGTTTTTGGAAGAGAGAATGTAGTTGTACAGTTTGACAAGCATAAAATTATGTCCCCCATAAAACATGAAACGTGTGTGTGTGTGTGTGTTTGTGTGTTCAATCTATCAAATTCCCTCCAAACTCAGAGATATCGTTTGCTTTACAGCAGCAGTTTTTGAGGGGGAGTGATGACATTGTATCAACAAATCAAGATACTTTTAAAGTATTTTAATAGTAGTGAAATAAGGATAATGGGTAAGATTTTATTTTACAGTGTCCTTAAATGTTACATGTACTTACCATATAATAACTGTAAATTATGCATAATAACATGCAACTAACCCTCAAACAAATCCCAATCCTTATCTAACCCTATAGTAATTAAGTTGTTAATTAATATTACTCAGTACCTAATTACACTGTAACAATGACACATTAAAGTAAAGTGTATCCAGGTAATGAAATAACAAGCAAATGATCAAGACCTTTAAGATTTTTAAAGAAACTTTACATTGAAAACAGACACATGTTTTAGGTAATCTGTAGCTTTTTTTCTTTATATTATTATTTTTTTTCTTTTTTCTCAGGTGTCTATGTACGCAAGGTGCTTAATGCTACAGTTGTTTAGTGCAATGACTAAGTGTTATGTCATGTGAAACCAGGTTTATCAGTAACTAAAACTGAAATTAAAAAAATATATAAAAAATAGATATAAAAAAACACATAACAAAATAATTATAACTACAACTATAAAACTAAATGATATAAAAAGTAAAATAACACTTTTTGGAACATCAGCAATAAATAACAGCTAAAACAAAAATACCAATTAAAATAAAGTGACAAGTTGTAAGCAGAAGATAGTGTCTTAAATCAAACATTATGATGCACGTCGGATTTTTAGCAGTTGCAATTGATTCAGCTCAATTTAATATATGTGTAGGCTATATGTTGTAGCTTTAACGTCAAATTAAAGTGGAAAGAGGAGATGTTGATTACATTGTTTATTATCATTTTTAGATTTAGATGTCAGTGCCTTCCGAAAAGAAGGTAAGCTGTAATTCTGAAAACCCCAAGTCTCATCATTATCAAGTTACAACCATTCAAAGAACAGTATCAGTAGTTCTAAACTTATAATTTAAAATGTCAAAATCTGTAAAATGACACACATGCTGGTGTGTACTGATGCAGAGTTCTCTCTGTAAACTGCAACCACATTGTTTCATTGTGCAAATTAAATAAAGAAAATTGCAGTATATTGCAATATTCTTCTCATTGTCCAGTCTGTATAGGTCAGGAATTGGAGATTTACTGGAGTTTCTTGAACAACTGACATATTTCAAGCGTACAGTGAACAAAAAAATCTGTCTAATGTAAGATCCATATAAACCCATTTCACATAAAGAAATATTTAAGGAGATCTCTAAAGTGTCATATGAGGAAAAAATGCACATCTAAGCCGTGATTATTATTGTCGGCAGGTGCACTCCTTAACCAGAATTCAGAATTTTGTTTATCCTGAAAAATTAATGAATCCTGAAAAAAAATCATTGTAAATAACTTGAATTGTTTTAATGTTTTAAGTTTGGAATAGCATGATGTGTATTGAACCTGTCACAATGCCAAGAGCAAAGAGAAGGCAGAGAACACAGTACACGGTTTGTATAAAACTTACAGAAAAAAAGAAAAATTGGCATCTTTGCCCTTTATTTAAATGTTATTAAACATTTGTTGAAGATTTTGTAAGCATATGTGTATTTGTGCTTGGACTTTATTTGTGATAATGCATACAACATAGCAAATTGTGCGTACATAATTTTTGACCAGGCTGTCGTACAAAGGAATTATGAACACATTCAAAAACAAGAGAGAAGCAATGAAATATTAATAACTGATTATGTTGTATAGTCAGTGCATGCTTATTCCTGTGAGGTTTTAAATAAAACAAAAGTGAAATAAAACATGTAGCTTTAGTTTTCTTTTTTTTTTCCCCAAAATAATTTTGTCAAATAAAACCCTAACCAAGTTTAGTGTTTATTCTTCCCTCATATTTAATTAAAATGAGTGCTGTCAAATCAATTAATTTCAATTATTAGCATGTAGCATTAAAGTTTGCAAATATATAATGTATGTGTGTGTGTGTGTGTGTATGGGTGGGTGGGTGTGCTTGCGTGCCTGTGCATGTGTGTGTGTGTGAGAGAGAGAGTGAATACATCACACACATATACATAAACATACATATATTCAAACTTTTATGTTATGTGATTAATCGATTTGACCTCAACGAAAAAATATAAAATCTGTCCATAATATTTTGCTGGTTAATTGAAACTGGACATCTCTTTTGACCACTTATGTATAAGCATGTCCATTAAAATGTAAAAAAAAAAAAAAAAAAAAAAAAAAAACATATGTTTTTTAAATAAATCCAGCTTAATCTGAATCTCACGTCATACAGTGAGGAACAATCACATTGTGCTTTTGAGAAAGCAAAAGCAAATCTGTCTTCTTTGTATGTAGAAAAAAAATTAAAAAGCATCTTTTGTTTGAACAACAAGGATGTTAAGGATGTGTCTTTTTAATAAACCAAAAAAAAGAGTATTGTAATGAGAGTATTTTGAGTTTAGAAAGAAAAAATGTAATTAGTGTTGTTCTTCAAAATCATCATACAATGATGTAGACTGACAACACATGTTATTTTGCAGAAATCAGGGATCATGCTCAATGTCCTGAATCATCAGTAACACCCACACCACAACCCAACCCAACCTGTATTAAGGAATAAAACGGCAAGTTTGGGGGTTTGGGGAAGGGATCAAAATGATAACATGAAAATAAACTGTCTAATTAACATCTACCATATTAGGAAATATAAATATAATTTAAAAAAAACAAGAAAAAAAGAAAATAAGATGTAATAAAAAAAGATTATACATTGGTTATATAAAGAATATAGCTTCTTTAGCATAGCATGATTAATAATTTACTGTGCAGATTTTATAATTAGACTTTTACTGGGCTGGATATCACAACATGAGATTTGTCTGGGCTTTGAACCTTATGCATGGTGTGTTTACCAAAACAAACCAACCAGTTTGACCGTCTTGATACTTTAACATACTGCTAAAATTAATTTGAATGAAAACCTTGCTTGCAGTTGTAAATATTTGTTTTGTCATTGATCATTTAATACAAAATAACAATCCACTGTTTGTATATGCGATTAGAGTGGTGTGAGCGCGTCACCTCTTAAATGGAGTCAGAGGACGGGAGTCAACCTCATGCCATATTTCTTGTTAAAAAGCATAAAAAGGAACAATTCCAAAAGCGTACAGATCTGAACATTTTAACTAAATATGCACTCAGTGCACCTGTTTACAATCTACAGCACTGTAAGAAGAAGACAAAGAAAAAATCCATAAGTGTTACATAGGTATAGCTATTAAATCAATGACATGATAACAAGTATTTAAGAAAACACACACAAATGTCATTATTCATGTGGCTGGCATCTGTTATTTAGGCATGGGATCTGCTGATCTGTTGACTCGGAATCCCATCCCTCTCTCTCTCTCTCTCTCTCTGTGTGTGTGTGTGTGTGAGAGTCTGCTTCTCTCTGTTTAAGCTCAGACCCAGGGCTGGAATAACCTGCACACAAATTAACATGTATTGTTGTTAAAAATAGTTTTATTTAAAATGCCTTACTTTACTAGACATAGTGGATTGCTTTAATGGGTTGTTTCTGCTTGATTAGAGGACGAGACTGGAAAAAAAATTGGAGAAAGCGGGAAAGTGAGACGCCCTGAACACAAATCTGTCATAAAAAACTAGTCTGGAGTATAAAAATGTAAAAAAAAAAAAAAAAAAAAGTTTTGGGAGGGTATTTCCGTTGACTCTGACAATTAGAGAGAAGACAAAAATTAAGGAAAGTGCTGTCAGCACCCTCACACTCATACACACTTATGACTCATGAATTTGTTTGTATCAAATAAATATCTTTTATTTTTGGAAAACCACGTAATGTTGACACCCAGTCCATTGAACAATTGCTATACTGTAATTGTAAATTAATTATAACGTCAATCATTACATTGCATGCTTTGAAACAATAAAACAAATATTCTCACAAGCAAGACCTATTATCAAGTACTTTTTAATTGAGTGGCACACTAGAGAACATGCAGCAAAAAAATTAAAAACTTGCATTTAAAACTTAATAATACTGTTTTGTTTTTTTTTAGTAATTACAGCACTACTGCTCCTGTGGTTTGCGTTTTTACAGTAGTAGCACAGTATATCATATGAAGCTGTGTACAAGTCTCATACCATGCCATGATGATGATGATGATGATGATGATATGATTCAGTTAAGTTTGTTTTTGTTTTTTTTCTTAAAAGTGAATTAAGAGCTGCCTCAAGTGCGGATAAATAATGTTTGAGTACATTATGAAAGCTCCCTTATGAAGATTAGTTTACCTTATCTTGTATGCAATTTATCTGTCAATAACATTTTAAGGTTGTGTGAACAAGCTTTATTTTAGAGCACAGGTAAGGGCACGTGACACTAGCTCTAGCTGATTCTAAGCAAACATTTTTGAAATGTTCCTGTGAGCACCTCACACGAGTTTTTTGAATTTAGCACGGAGTTATTAAAAGATCGGTCCGTACATACGACGTTTACTGTTGGCTATATTTCCATGTTTAGAAATTGTACGGTAACTCTGCAAACACACTTGATGTTCCACGAGCTGTATGTATGCAACAGCACCTGCGCGCGCGTCAGCTGCGTCTCTGCAAAACTCCAAATAAGATGTCACGATCCAGATGTAATATTCTTTTAATTGCATTTGTTCTTAAATTCAGTTATTTATTCAAAAGGGGAAAGCGTCAGGCATCGCATCGTTTATATTGGTTATAGTAAGCATGCAGTCCCCAACCCTTACTCTTAAAATTCAGAATAAAATCTCATGTTATATTGATAAGGCGCGGTTGGAGTCACTAGATACTGAAAGGGTGTGCCAGACATAGGGTTACAAAAATAAAGAAAGGAAATTAGTAAAGACCGAGGATTTGTTCCAGTTTAAAAAAAAAAAAAATCACATAATAATCATTCTGGCAATGAGTATGATGATAGTCCGAGAGGAGCAGAAGTAAGAGAGAGAGCTTTCTTCTATTATTCGCTGTGTGTGCCCTCCGCAAATGCTTTTTGGGGTAAGGGCTTCCCATTGATAGTTGAGAACAGCAAGCCCAGACCGCAAAAAGATTCGTGAAAGACTTTTCCATTCGCTTTGAATGTGGCATCTGAGTTGTAGGCTTGGTCCATAATTACTGACAGTCCATGTTGTTGTAGCCAATGGCCGGACCGTGTGCAGTAGAGTCCAGTTCTACACATTCGCGGAGAAATGCACGGAATCCGCTCTAGTGTACGACTCCCTTCCCAACCGAGCCCGTGCACCGTCATTTTATCCGTACCCTGATGCCGTTCCCATGGCCATACTGTACATATTATCCTGTTCGTGATGTGGTTAAGCAAAAAGCTGATCTACTCCTGTCAGTCGATAGATCTGTTGAAGGAGGGGAAATACTGCGCTCCAGCTCACAGTAAATAGAGAGCAGTGAAGGATTTCATTGGAGCATGCGAAAACTCGTCATTCGGCCAATCCGTGCTATTCTCACACAGGGACCCCCCTTTTTGAAAAAAGGAAAAATATAGAAAACCAATTCTCCACCGGAGTGCGAAATGCATTTAATAAATTTGCTTCATTGTTGCCTTTGCAAAGCGCGTTTTCTTAATCCGAATGTGTCATCCTGTCGTTCCACATATATCTGATAATGATACTGATATATTATACGGGTTTCGGTTGTTTGCAGGGTGTTAATCTAAAAAGTATTACCTCAAAGCATCTGTAATGATCCATTCAAATACAAAATGCATCTATCCATATCAAATAATAAGCACCACCACGACCACCGCCGAATAAATATCAAAGCGATCCAGCTGGACACTTACCACAAGTTATTCAAGATCCTTGTGTACAAGCTTGCACACTGCTTCCTCTTTTCCATGTCTCATAAAATAATGAACACCATTCTCTGAGTCTGGCTATATTTGGATACCCCACTCACTCACGCACGCACGCGCGCGCACGCATACACACACAACCAAAAAATAACCTCATCCTCACAAGTACGAGCACACACGCACACATAAACTCTCTAGCCAGAGAGCCCTGCACTCAACGTCGCTTTTCTCTCGAATTTCCTCCGGATTCCAAGGTCAGAACTGTGACAAGGGGAGAACAGCGAGATCCTAACATTTAAGTCCAGTCTTAACAGATAGCGCTCCCGTGGAGACATGATGAGGTTGTGGTTTCATTTGTGGAAGTTTCCAGTCAGTCACGATTCCCTCCATCTGTCTCCGGCACCCAGCGCTTTGCCCCTACTGACGCAGCCGACGCGCATTACTCACTTTAGCAGTCACGACTCGCCAAGCTGTGCTGTTTCCGATTAAACCGCACGCCAAAAAATGAATTACCAAGGAGCGCTAGGCTCTTACCCACTTCATACGTTTGGCAATTGTGAAGAATTGATTGGTCTTTGAAGTGTTGAACACAAACCAAATGTATGACCGAAATTTCACTACGTGTTTGTTTGGTCTGACGAGCTGGATTTACAAAGACCACGCTTTGGTCTATAAACAAAGCGGACTGTTTACAAATCAGCGATGCTAGATTTGATGCTTTGGCTCCAGATCATTGATGGCTGTTCAATTTTGTCACAATTGACGTGATCTTGAGGTGCCATGGTTTATCACAGATTCTTGGAAGATGGATCCCAGGCTAGCTTTTGCGGACGAGGGACCATCTCGTCAGCTTGCCTGGTCATAATTAAGCCAGCTAGGACGAGCAAACCATCTTAGGCAGATTTAGAATTGTGTGTTCAACAGGGTTCCCAGACTAAGGATCCCCGTGCAGGGAATGAATTATTAAACGTATGGGATATTCTGAATTATTGAGGAAATGGTCAGATCCTCAAAATCAGTCTTCTGTGTAGGGTGTAAAGACCAGAAAACCCAACAATTTCCTCATGAGAGGTCTATTATAAGGTCTATAATGAATCGTCTTTCATGCGTTTCTGGAATGACTGGATCTTTGGACTGGACACAAGCAATTTCAGCACCAATCGTGGCGGACAGCTCCTCTGCATTATAGACGCTTCATCATGTGATATCGGCCACGAATGATAATTATCAAATGCATTATGTTATTCAGAGAACCTTTGTTTTCTTATTTGAGCGTTTTCGTGATTAGATCAAGCTCCAATTAGACCCCCCTCCATCTCCATTCACTAAAGGCAGACAGGGTGATTCCCTGACTTCAATGCGTGTGATATTAAACCTCTGCGTGGTGAATTGAGAGTGACCATACAGTTCCGTAAAGAAGAAGACAAATATACATAGCCTTTAAAGCCAGGACATGCAACTGAGGTCACCAGGAGAGCAAGAGATCTCGCCGGTGGAGGGAGCCCTCGATGAGAGAAATACACGTGTCAGTATTGAATGAAACGTTCAATAACACACGAAAATATCTCAAGGACAAAACGAAAGAACACAACGTGCCGCCCTGGTGTGTTTTTATGCCTCAAAACGAAGGCTGCATGTGAGGGTGATACCCTGTCTATTTCTGGATCAAGTTGTTACTATTTTTAGAGCACTTGGAGAAAAAAGCACTCACAAATGCTCCTCAATACGTGATCACCGTGACATGCGCGATCTACTCTCTAACGCGGTTTGCGTAAAGGGTCGTGAGTCGTGACGCTCGGTTATGGAGACATGGCATCCTTTAGCAATGACTAATGGGGATTTCTGCTTTTATTCGAATGGATGCGGATTTTTCTCTCTTTTTTGACAGGCTGTTGAACTGATTTGAGCCACTATTCCGCCCAATTAACGGCATCAAAACGATAATTAGCTATTAACAATAGCCTGACAGATACAATCATAGACAAATTAATTATTTGTTCAATAAAACAAATCGTAATTTTTGCTCATAAATACAACGATGTGTGTAATGTATGTATGGAAAATAAGTCTTTTCTGTTTCCTCCTTTCTCCAAAGCTGCGTCAGTTGCATTGACGTCACGTTCATATTCTCCTCCTTTTGCCGTTGCCTTAATGAAAGACATTACTGTATTCGGTGGCTGTTTTATCGTATAAGGCGATGTGATAAATGTTTGAGGCAAACATTTTAACATTATTGAAACCAGGAGGAGTTTTTTTTACACACACTCACGCTAATAAACACGCCAATATAGACGAATCCGACGAGCGTTCTGTGTAGGCTGCCATCTTGTGGCGACGCCATTACTGAGCTGTTACACAGGCATATAGACATATGCACCGGTATGTAAACAAACCTCGGTGATAACGCGAACTCACCCTCGATGACAGCTACAGCCAGGCAGAATGACTTGTTGGTTTGATCTGTGACTGCAGTGGCCTCCAGTTACAGATGAAGGTACAAACGATCTTACAGATTAACGTTATTTATGAAAATAGCTTGGCAAGCTAGCTAGGCTAACGTTTGCTAACGAGGAAACTATAAAAAGATCTGTCCATTTGGCAACAATAAATAAATAAATGAATGAAATCAAATAAACAAATTCATGTTTTTCATTTGTGTCCATTATTTATGTCATTTTCATATTGCAACAGGCAAGGGTAAGGTAACGTTACAGCTAGAAAGTATACATAATATCGACCAATTAGTGTTTTTAAACCATGGAAAGAGGTCAATATAACAGCAGGTAAACAATTATGTCACATAACGTTACATTTAGCTCAGGAAAGCCATTTAATGACCATAGCATGTTAATTGAATAGAAAAAATAGCAAGAGAAGAGATTTTGCTGATCACTATATGACATATTTATTATATTTTTTTTACTTATGTCATTAAATAATTGTTATTATACGCGAATGTCCACGTCTTGTACTCGCCCAGGAAATCTGTAAACCGTACGGCACCAGACAGGGGCAGTCCACCCGGGGTATTCACAGTGTTTTCTCTTCAAAATCGAAATTTTACTGCCACCATTGAAACAATTTATAACGGAAACTGTTTACCCACTCGACATTATAGGGATAACGTTGTAACGTTAGTGACAGTCGTAAATCGCGAGCTGTTTATTCCAGTGGACGCAAGTTGCAACTAAAACAATAGGAGGCAATGGCGCAACGCTACCCAGCAACAGCTCAGTAATGGCGCCCCGCTTACTTCCGGTAGTTTCGCCGGATTCGTCTATAGCCTACTGTCAGTGTTAGAGCAAGAATGGACATTATACTCTTTCTTGAAAACAGAAGGACCAAGTAAAAAATGATTGTTTCTAATGTTAACCTATTCGAATTCGTGCAGTACAAACCAGACTAGATGCAATAAAACCTGACACAGGCAGTCATAGCCTATAATGGTTGTGCCAATGGCTGATGATGATGCAAAGACGCAGACGGTGCCAGAAAAATCCAGCTCTGGCTCTGAGGCCTTGTGCAAGTCCAAAACTACGTCCATCTGATCGCGATTGTGCTGCAAAAAGCCACAGTTTATCCTGTTCAATTTATCATAAATATTCACAAGTTCTGAAATACCGTTTTGTAATAGCTACATTTGAGGCCGCAGCAGCCCAAAGTAGGCTACTCGGCCCTAGTAAAAAACGCAACGCGCAAACGAAATGGAAATGTATGGTAATGGTTTGCAAGGTACACTGGTGACAAAGCCTATAAAATACCCATTACGTAGTTGCAATGTGTTTATGAATAGACTTGCTAGGCAATTTCATGTTTCATGTCAAATGTAGTCCGACGCAGGCGCACGCATTGAGGCCTGAGGTAGTCGCTGTCCATGGTTCTGAACCAGCCGTTCGCTCATTTAGCCGAGGGAACAGTTTTTCTTACCCTTCATTGTTGTTACTGAGGGACAGAGTTGGCAGGGTCTAGATATTCCATGTTACAAATTCAGTGATTTAAGGTCTTAGGGACATGCGAACCCTTATCAATATTGTAGCAAATCAAGCTAGAGGAATAAAACACGAACATTTTTTCATTATTTCATCCGTTTGTTTGGTCTTTTTAAAACGTAAGAGTGGACTCTAAACGTGTACCGGAGATATCAGTGCGATTCATAAATGTTACAACAGTGCGTATCTTCACATTCAAGGTAAGAATTTACTTAGTTTTGCTAAACAAAATAAATGATTTTGATATCACCCCGAGTTTGTGTGATGTATAGTGTCCCAATGTATTTTTAAAACGTGTTTTGTCATTCTTTATATTCAGTTACTTTGTGTAAATACTCCGTATGCTTTATTTAGCTAATGGACACCGGGGCTTAGATACAGCAGTGTCATTTGTGTTGGGTGGAGAGCACAGCTTTCCCCGCCACCAGCCTATCACTGTGCTATTGACCCGCATTGACGTCATTGCGTCATTAGGTTTCCCTGGGAAACGCAGAAATTCAAAAATAGCATCAAATTAATTCAGCTGACAAAGAGAGAGGGCGGGGTTGTGGGTAAAACGGGTTTGATGGGGATGGCTAGTTGGGGGCTCTCCTAAGTGTGGCACTCAACTAGACACGGTGTTACTACTGAAGTGTCAAGCAAAATCTATTGATGGGTAAGTCCAACTGCTGGTGTGTAGTTAGTTAGTAGCATTTTTTTTCTTTTTTTTTGTAGCAAAGGATCTTAAATAGGCTATATTGGGTAAATGATCAGGATTAGCCTGCATCTTGATCTAAGCATAATCTTGTTATTGACATTTTAAATAGCAATTCTTTACCATGGATTAAGATGATTTTTTTAAGTTGTTAATAGTACACCTAGTAGTACGCATCAAAAATAACCTATCAGTATGTTTATAGTCATCCATGTTTTTATGCAGTGTTATGAGGTTTCACAGCCACCTTGTGGTCAAACTCGGGATAGCATAAACGTTTAGTTTTCAATGTTAAAAATTAGCCTGCCCTGCAATCATATTAAAAAGTCAAAACATAATTACAATATATCCATCCTGCATCCCAACAGCGCTTTTTATTAATTTAAAGCTAGAAATTTTCAAGGGGTTGGCTGATTGGGTGAAACATTTTATAATGTGACCCATTCACAAGGTTGCTGGGGTAAACGCTTTACAGGGGACACAATGATATTATTTTTTGCTTAACAATACTGAATGTGTGATTCAAGTTTAATTTAGGTAATTAATTAGAAAACAATCATAAACATGTCTTTAAAAAGCTTGTGTCCATTTCCAATTTAATTTTTGATGCTTTCACATATTGTAGACTATGGACCAGAAAAAAAAAAAAAATCTTGACTTTCCAATTATTATACATAGAACAATACAGTTTAAAACTTAAGAGTCAACAGCTCAGCTGTGAAAAGTAAAGTGATTGGAAGTGTATTATATAACGTTGAGCAAAATCTTCGTATTGAAGGTCTCTTAAAAAAAAAAAAAAAAAAAAACCGACAATAAATATGCTGTTAAAAACACAAACCACATTGTTATTGATCTTTTGCTTAGTTTAAATATTGCCAATGGCTCTGTCTTCAGCCTGAACGTTAAAGATTGTTTCCATGTCAGCTATAACAGTAGTTTGAAAGCAGTGCAGTAAACGATCAGGGGAAACTCTCCTCTCCACATGTTTGCAGTAGTGGATATTTTAGCTAAAAAAGCAACAGGAGGACGTACAAGATGCTTCAGCCTGCTTTGATGGCAGATACAAGGAAATCCTCTGAGTATACAAGCCTAGATAACAGCAAGAGGTAATGGTCTGAATTGTTAACATTAGCAATAACTAATTGGATGTGTAAAAGAAAGGATTATAGTGTTTCTTTTAACAATCTGTAATCTGAAAAAACATTTTAAGACACCCTTTATATACCTAGCAGCTATTGCTGAGAGAGAGAGACTTATGGATATGGTGGGACTAAAAGATTCATTGTATTATTGCAAAAAAAAATGTTGACTCTCAACCCCAGAAAAAATATCCCTTTTTAGAAATATCAGGATGTTTCACTAAAAAGTAAAAGAATCAAACAACCCTTAAGCCATATAACATTATAAAATTTTCTTAAATATCTGAAAAAATTAAACCGTTTTCATTGCTCAATTGAAAGTCAACCTTATAGACAGTAATGGTATGGTTTAAACATGAAATTAAGACAACAAATAGACAAACACTCTGTTCCTCACTGATATCTAAGATTAAGGAGCATGTTCAAGTTATATATGTGTGTGTGTGTGTGTGTGTGTGTGTGTTTTCAGGGAGCTCGCCGGTCCCTCTTGGAGAGGAGGTAGCACTGGATGGTACGCAGACGGTCTTTGGCTGGCCCAAATTCTGGCTGGAGTTTTAGAGTCGACTCATACCAATGCATGGCCTTCTCAAACTCCTCCTATGAAGAAATCATTTAAGTATTTATTAGAAACAGTCATCATTTAACTTCAACAAAATACTTCATAATAGTAGGTCTCAAAAAAATAAAAAAAATAAATAAATACTGACCATAGCTATGTAGACGTTTGCCAGAGTAAAATGATTAACAACAAAGTGAGGAGCAATTTCCACTGCCATGCGCGCCACAGTTAGGGCGTCCCCCCATAGCCTCGCATTTTGGAAGATGTTGGCAAGGCTGATGAGAGGCACATCCTAACAGAACAAGAATAAATATTTATGTCAAGCCAACCAATGGAAAATAACTTTCTGAGACTGCAAAGGCCCCGATACACTCCAGGCGAAGTTCTTTTTTAGTTTTTTCACTTTGGTGTAAAAATAATTTTGAAATATCTTTAGGAATATACTGTTAGCGAACATCCCAACACTGCAGAGAGCATTTAGATGAATATGTAAATATGTGCTGCGCGCTTTTCTCTCAATAACAAAATAAACGCACAATAAAATAACAGTGGCAAGAAAACAGAAGTTTAGAAAGCATCCGATCACAGCGATGTAGATATATTTGTACAAGTCCTGTAATTCAGCCCTTGCCAGGTCACATTAAATTTATTTATATACGGTCACACTTCATACAATAGATTGCTTAAAATCAAGCAGCTTTACAATATTAAACATGAAAAAAAGTGTCAGGGTCTCTTCCAATTAGAATTACGACTTCAATTCCTACTATAAAGCAACTCTCCATTATGTTCAGGTCCATAGACTGTAAAAAATATGGACAAAGCATCTGTGACGTCACCCATAGACTCTCTGAGGAACGGGTTTGAGGCTGTTTATGGGGGGTACTGGAAAATCTTGGGGAAAAAAAATACAAAAGTTTCAGAAAGGATACAGAGGTGGTATGATGTGTTGTGTCACTCAGATCATGGCCGAGACGTCAAATTCACTCGGCGCAGCCCGTTATCAGCTGTCAACCAAAGTTAAAAGCCCTTATTGTCATACATTTTATATCTAAATATGATCTAAACTAACGAGTTAGAAAAAAATTCACCCCCTCACAGTTGTCAGGCACGCAGAACATATTGAAGATTACAATAAAAGTCCATGGGACCAAACTGTAAACATGAATTTATGCTGTGAAAACAGATATTTTAACATGACGTGTATGGACATTTGCTCCCTTTTGGGACCGGCCTCTAGCGGATTTGAGATGTATTGCAGTTTTTCGCACTTCCGGGTAGGCTTCATCTTTCAGATTAGAATGTTGCCGCTTGGTTTTTACTCATGGACGTCAAGACCTCAACAAACTGAACAGATCAACAGAATATATGAACCGGAATGTTTCCAATTGAAAAAAGGTGGAGCCACAGAGTAGAGGTCCGCACAGGCTTTAAACTGAAGCCCGAACATGGGCCGACACCAAGATTGTTTGACCCGACCAGTACTGTTACATTTTAAGACTGAACCCCGTCAGTCAAGGGTCTTTCATGCAGAGAATATTGCATAATGATGCATTAAAAAGTTAATGACCAAACTTGTCTTTACAAAAGTTCACAATGCTGTTGCAGATGAAATATAATGTGGATAACATTGAATAAATATATTTTCGTCAGGTTAGATACTGACCATTAAATCACTCGAACCTCTTTATCTAAAGCTCTCTACTTAACCGTCGGACTCGCACACCGGCCATGTTTTTAGTTTTACTGAACACATTTTATTCGTGTTTGTAGTTCTCATTGAATCCTCATCTGATTCGCAATGGGTTGTGGGCAATATTAGTGGTTAAAGTGTGTACTGATCTGCACTTCGAATTCTAACCGGAGTATCTTTGGAAAACTCATTTCAACATTCTACAATTTGGGACACACTAATTCTACTATTTAGGATGGATAGTATGCAAATTGGGGCACAGCATTTGATTTAGAGAAATGCACAGAGACAGCGATTTGATTTCATTGAATTCATATAGTTTGCACTCAATCATGTATAATATCATACAATGTTTTAAACATTTAAATACACATATTAAATAGTATAAATGTGTTTTATAGTAATGTTGAAAATAGTAACCTACTCTTGACAAAGCTCTAATTTCTAGAGATGGCAGCTACTTGATGTGCGACGGCGCTGTGCTCAGTTTACACTCAGTCACTCCACACATTCATTATTGTGCAGTAATTTTAGATCTTTATGTCTAATTTTGTGCAATCCCCTGGCTCACCTCTTATCCAGCAAACACGAGAAGTGACTGTGTCTGCTGAATATTTTACCTTTTCGGTGGAATATGTTGCAGTGCAGCTTTCCCTGCATAAATTTGCATTGTAAATAGTTCTCTCTTATTATTATAATTATTTTTTTTTGTCTTATCGCACTCATAGTTAAAGGGTTAGTTCACCCCAAAAAGAAAATTCTGTCAGTATTTACTCACCCTCATGTTGTTCCAACCTCATAAGACGTTCGTTCATCTTCAGAACACAAATTAAGATATTTTTGATTAAATCTGAGAGCTGGATCACTCCTCCATAGACTCCAAGACCCCCCTTCCTCTCCGAATCAATACTGCAAGTCCATACGAATGAAAAATAAAAACATCCTGAATGTGTGGAAACTCAGGGATCTGAAGGCTGGTCGATGTTATCAGTGAACAGTTCCTCTGATAGATCAAACAATCGAGTCTATGTTTGAAGCGTCTAATGTCCTATGTGTACATAAACATCACACTGATCCTCACAAATTTCTTCGGAGAGCATTCGTTATAAAACACCCACAGAACAGTAATAATGACAACTACGCAAATATATTGAACTGTGTTCATGCAGAGATACAAAGTTAAAGCGATCAGTGAGTCGAGAGCGTACATTCACGTTTTTTTTCCGCATCAGTAATGATGGACTTGGGCGCCTAATGTACGACTGCTGTATGTCAATATAATTGCCTTTACCTTCATTACAATCGTCATCCATCAAAGCTTTACTAATAACGTTGGTTTTCTTTATCCAACTAAGTGATGTAGTTTGCGTAACCTATGTTCATGAAGTGGTTGAGTGATTGGCCCAGGAACAGAGACCCCACTCCCACTCTGTTCGCCGCCGCCCTCCGCACAGGCCCCGGCCAAAGATTGAGATCAAGATCGAGGCCTCAAAGTCTTCCTAGCCCTCCTAGGAAAACGACGGTGTTCAAGTCTTACCGTGGCCAGACTTTCACCGAAACGTACACACCGCATGTCCCACGGTTTCTGTAAAAATGAAACCAACACACATACAGTCCCAGGCCGGCCGTGTTTTCAGTGCAGTAAATGTGCCGCTGTCCCACGCCCACATTCACTCACAGACATGTTAAACGCCACGGCAGCAAACTGCTATAAGGGAATTGAGCTTGGCCCCCCGCCTCAGTCACTGCAAACACAGTGTTAACGTTACAGCACACCAGAGCTCCCTTGTCACCACTATGTTGCGACCAGAGCCTACCCCTAGCTTTTCATGTAAACGCGTGGGCACGGCATCCCAGGGTATCGGAATTGGTGCTGAACACTATAAAAAAAGGCTATGCGCTACAATTCACTCGATGTTCCCGCCGTTACACGGCGCGTGCCGAATCTACGGTGACAACTGAAGTAGCCCATCTACTTCGAGCCGAACTATTGAGCAATGGTGCAATAGAGACCTTTATAACGCATTTTACATTAATTAAAAATTAAGGATAATTTTTGGCTTCAATATCTCGTGGAAAAGAGGTTTTCCCCTAGCGCAAGATATTACGCAGTACTCGGTCCCTCTTCTAGAGTGAATCGAGGTTACGTTAGTAACCGAGTACGTTCTAAGGGATCAAAACTTGCCGAACGAGAAAAGTTAAAGACATACAGTGGCTCAATTTTAATCACTTGGACTATTTTAAGGATGTTTTTACCAACTTTCCTGGGCCGGCAAGTTTCAATCCCTTAGAAGCCTGTGGAGGAGTGATCCAGCTCTCAGATTTAATCAAAAATATCTTAATTTGTGTTCTAAAGATGAACAAATGTCTTAGAGCACGTGAGAACTGGGGCACATGCAAAAAAAAAAAACAAAAAAAAACAACAGTTTTGCTAATATATAAATTATTAGCCTAAATATAAATGTGCTCCCATGCTCTTTCGCCCACAACACAGCACACACCATGCAAACCGTAAGATATTTAGTTTTTCTTGATTTCAAAACCAAACCCGAAGCTATTCATGAAACATTAAGCTGACCTGCGGGACCTGTCGGGCTTCGGATGGGTAGCAGACCACAGAGCACACCTACCCATTACATAATCGCTATGGACCAATGGTAGTTTGAAGGTGCAAACTACCAGTCAGAGCTAACCATTCTGGAAAGTTCGGTTTGGCAAGCTGTATGTCGGGGCCTTAATAGTAAGTGAATGAGCAGTACCTTCATTTGGTGAGGAGCGTAGTTGAGAGCCTGGCGGAGGCAGTCGATGGCTCTCTTTCCCTGACCTTTCACCCTCCAGTACAATGCTGCCATGCTGGACAGAACCCAGGACGTCTGATTCTGATGGATATACAACCAGATCACGAAATATAACAGAATTGATCACTTTTTTCACTGATAAACTTTCCATTGAGTTGTTCTGGGCTAGATAGTCATGAAATATATTTACCTGAAAAAAAAAATACATATTGTTTGCACAGTTGAGCTACTGTCCTGTTTGTTTGTAAGGACAATTTTTGTCAGATTATACATGAGGGATAAAAACCAAGCCGCACTATCACTTTATCTATACTACTGTACATAAGATTGGGGTCAGTAAGATTTTCTTTTTTTTTAAGAATTTAATTTTGAAGAGCAAAGACATTTATCATGTTACAGATTAAAGATTTAGAATAAATCATGTTCTTTTGAACTTTCTATTCATCAAAGAATCCTGAAAAAAATCTACCACTATTTCCACACAAACACACACACACAAAAATTAAGCAGCACAACACTGTTTTTGACATTAATAATAATAAATGATTCTTGGGCACCAAATCATCATAATAGAATGATTTCTAAAGGATCATGTGACACTGAAGACTGGAGTAATGATGCTAAAAATTCAGCTTTGCATCAAAGGAACAAATCAAATGTTAAAATCAAATTTTTAAATAGATGTTTTATATGTTTAATAAATGTTTATGTTTTATAAAATATGTTAAATTAAATTATAAATTGTAATTATACTCCATTATTTTAAATAAATGCAGCCTTGGTAACCAAAATATTACAAAATCTTACCAAACTCAAATTTTTGAATGGCAGTGTATCATTCATCATTCAGACTAAAGCCCTATTCGCACTGGATTAGTATTATCTGGGGACCTCATGTGATTTAAAAATCACCCACCCATATCTGAATTTCATGTGGCGTATTCGCATGGGATAAGCGAAGGCTGTGATTTTTTTACTCGAATTTACCGACTTATCTCTCGGATATGATGGCGATAGGCTATTGCTTGGAAATGTCTTGTCGTTATAGGTCTAGCTGTATGACACATCATAAAAAGAATAAATGTTCCTTACCGCATGCTGCTGCTATAACATGTCATTCATTTCCATCTAATCATTCTTTTTGTTTTTCGCTCTTCTGATGATTTTCAACCTTATCTTTCTGCAAATTGTGTAGTTGTGGTGTAGGTTTAACGCAATGACCCAGAACCCAAATTAATATCAAAACACTCTAACACAGCCTCCATTCTTCGCGAAAGATGTATAAAAAGGGGCACAGGAAACAAAAACCTTGAAAAAATTATATACGACCCTGCCAAATCACAGATATGCCGATTCGCAAAAAGTACAAATAACAATTCGCTAAATAAATAACGATTCGCATGGGATTAAGATCACAGACATCCACAATTATTACAAATGACAAGAGGTCACCAGGTAATGCTAATCCAGTGTGAATAGACCCTTTTACAGTTGGTAAACATGGTGACATTTTTTTGTGGGCGGAGCTTAGGTGGAGGCAGAAAGATCCATCTGGCCGCTTCACTAACGCTAGTTAGCAAGGATTGTTAGCTTGTTTTTTAACAATGACTGGAGAAAATCCGATATTATCTTAATGAGTAAGGTCACTCAGTGTCCAGGACCGCGATTGTTATTTCCAAAAGTTATTTTTAACGGACGGAACCAGATTGGCCGACCTGTAGCCGCCTACACGCTCATTCAATGCGTGGATGATCTGACAGGATTAACGTACGTTACCTCGGTTGAGTGGCCTGACTTCTACATCTACCTTATAGAGAAACCGATCGTAAATAGAAACTGAGGGCATATAAATCTTTAGATGCCTATATGGTCCTGTACAAGACTTGTGTGTACGATCCGCAGTTCTGCCGAGCCAGCGCCGAGACCACGACAATGTAAAGAGTGACATTACAGTGCGATTTTAGTGATGTGAATATTTTCTAGAAATAAAAGTTCCAGATACAGCATATTCATTTCATCAATTCTTGCACCAAACAACACAACAAGATGACATTTGATAATAGTAACAATTATTTAAGCTCCTTATTATGTAGCCGAATCTGTGCTGTTTTGCATTGGCCGCCTCCAGTTTTCACTTTGTTTTGCCTCCAGCTAGCGCCGTGACGTAACTGTGACGTCGGCGCAAAAGGGGTCTATATGGCTTAAAGCATTTACATGACATTATAAAAAACAAATAGTTTTAATCCAACTGAAAGCAACTTTTAAAGTTCATGTGACCGCACTTGGTTACATTCCCATATCAGACAACACTCTGTGTCATACCTTTTCCAACACCTTAGCAATACGTGTCCCCACTTGTTCAAAAGACAGTGAGGGAAATTTATCTTTTCCCAGATTCTGCAACACCTGTAACAGAAGAACAAGAGTGAGGCAAGACAAGACAAGACAGCCATCCAAAATCATCAGAAGCTTTCAGATCAGCAGAATCAGTCTCGGATGTAAACAGGAGGAAAAAAGCACCTCTCTGAGCTGACTCTCTCCAGTATAGTGAATGCCTCCGCGGTTGGCCACACCACTCAGATGGTCCAGTGTGTGCATACTGGCAGGGAGGTTGGCATTGCACACAGGCTCCACCGCAGGTTCCTGAAGTGGAGTGGCAAAATCTATATGCTCTGTGATACTGTGAGGAGTTCAGAATCATATGTTAGTGGAAAAGAGCCAACTGTGAAAGCATCCCAATTGTGTTTTAAGAGTACAGAATGACCCGAGGAATGATGTCCTACTCTATGTTCTTGGCAGACACAGCCAACCAGGTACTAGCCACAGTTGTGAGGTCCACACGACGCGTGCGCTGACATTCCTCAGGACCGGGCCAACCCAGGCTGCTGTAGTCCTTCCATCGCTCTATGAACACAAAACATTAATGTTGTAACAATAGCTTTTGCCACAAAATATACAAATATTAGATGATCTTAAAATCTTAAACTTAAAACATAAATATTAAGTGTTGCCTTGGAAACCAATTGTTCCGAGTTTCCAAGGCAACACTTTAAATCTTAACGTTTTAAGTTTAAGATTTTTTTTAATCTTATCAAGAAAAAAAGATTTTTTGTTAACAAATATGACTTTCAGACAACTAACTGAAATTTAAGCTGAAGTGGAAGTACTAAAAAACAAAGCTAAACAGAAACATTAAAAACAATATAAGAATATTAGTAAATATTAAAAACAATATAACAAAACAAGAATATTAGTATAAAATATAAGAATACTCAAAATATGAATAAACACTATAATTGTATCTAAATAATACTATAATAGCACTGCTCTGCGTTGATAGTCAAAGCATTCTCAGTTCATTCTCAGCACCTGAGGGTCCAGGTGAGGGGATTGTGGGCCCACTGATCTCAAGGATGGAGTTGCTTGATGTCGGTTCACTCTGACGAACATCTCCATCTCCCACCCAACCCTCTGAGGTATCGGTTTTGGGCTTTTTCACACGTTTCACCTGGAATGTTATCTGAAGAGATAGACAAGAACAGGAATCAAATTCACTTCGATTTCGAATGCAAAACGTTCTTGGACTTTCAACAGACAGACGTACCCATTCAGCTCCCTCATCATCCTCACAGTTGCCAAAGCAGGGTCCTCCCCCTCTTGCCCCCATGACCCTGTCGTTTTTCAGCACGCGGATACCCCGTAGGTCCCCTGTCTTCCCGTTCATGTCCAGAGCCCCCTCAAACGCTCCTATCAGCTCCTCTCTCAGACGCCAGTCCTGTTCCTCTTCCTCCACCCCCTCGGCCTTTTGGTCTCGGCCTCTCTCCTGCCCACTCGCCTCCCCTGAGCCGTTACTGTCCACCACCACCTCTGCACAAGACGAGAGAATAAAAAGTAAGAGGAAAGCTGTTGTTTAGAAGCACACTGTATTAGAATCAAGAGTAAAGCAGAAGTCCTTATTCAGACGATTTAATTCATTTATTTCCATGTATATTGACATCAGCAATGTGATCAATGAAACACCATAAAACACCACTGTACACCATGTGTCAGCTGCCAGCTATTGTTTAAAAATAGTAAGTGAAACAGCATGAAATATGAAATAGTATAAATTATGCATCCATACATTTTTAAAATAGTAGTGTACTATACTGCTGTATCACATGACCTCACAACAGTGCATGTTTAATTTATCAAGGCCAGGACAGTTACCATCTCAGACTTTTTTTTCACACTTTTAAATTGAATCTCGAGTATTGAAGGAGTTTCACAGCACTCACGATAAAAAAGGTGCCAGACAGACAAGACTAGAAATCTAATAAACTGTCTGCACACTTAAATCCTTAAAGCAAATTTAATCACGAAGCTTTCGGTCAAAAGACCATGCAAATGGAATCTCGAGCATGGAGCTCGAGCTCTGTCCATAAAGCATGGAGAAAGTTGTTGCAAATTATTACACCAAGTTCCATGTTTACATTTCCTATGCGTTTAAATGCAGTTTAAGAGATTATGTTGTTTTTTTGCTTGAAAATCACATTTAAATGTTTCAATGCAGTCTCTAGCGCAGTCTCTTGATCTCTGATAAAATAATTAATTAGTTGAGAAAGCCATAAATTTCACAGATATAGTATGCTTACTATTGTGCTATCCTTTCCTGTACAGAGCCAATTTAAGACCCTAAAGATGCAGTCACATTTATTTTGTAATGAAGTTTAGTGGACATGCCAGGCATTTTAACAGGAATCCTCAAGAACATGAATTTCATGTGAGCGCAAAATTTCCCCAAATATTTAATCCAACGTGTTCAAGTTGGTTGAGCAAATGTGAACAATAAGCTGCTTGGTTTGAAAATGACTTTTGTGTAGTGCTTCTTACATCTATACACTATTGATAATAGACAATGGACTTATTTGACCTCAATTTACACAATCAATTTTAACCTGGAAAGAGAGATTTAGGATTTTGAACAATGTCAAAAAGAAATACCACAACATAAAAATGAATAGGAGATATTTAAGATTCATTGCTATTCATAAGTTACTAAAGGAATAAATACATTTGTGACAATGAGCATGTGAACGCACTTAAGCTGTTATGCTAATATCATAATTTGTAATATATATATATATATATAGAGAGAGAGAGAGAGAGAGTATATATTGTACACACACACACACACACACACATATATATATATATATATATATATTTTTTTTTTTTTTTACTAATTTACAAAAATGCTAAATAACAATTGTTTTGCTAGTGGTCTTATACTGTTGCATAGAGTCCACTGCATCTTATGTGAACATCAAACACAAAGAAAGAAGCAACATAAGCTCCATTATTAATCTTACTCTCAAAGAGGAGAGAGTCTTCTAAAGCAGAAACAGGCATGGCATCAGTGTCCCAGGCCTCCTGCCTGCCGCTGCTGCCTGAGTCCCAGTCCTCCAGCTCAGAGTCTTCCTCTGCCTCACAGCCAGAGCCAGCTACACACACACACACACACACACTTCAGCTCACGTGTTGCTTAACTTGCATTCAATCAATATAACTGCATTATTTATAGAAAAAAAGTAGCAAAAGGTAGAAAAACAGGACACTTGGACACATTTTTATCATTTGGACTGTGAATAAACAAGAGTGTTAGTTCAGAAGGGGGTCGCCAAATGAATCCCTAAATCGATAGTTCAGAGTTCCCCCAAATGAGAAGAGGACAATGAGTTAATTTTGTCTGCAGAGTGCAGCGGCATCTAAATAAAGCCTGTGCTATTTTCAGTGCCCTGAATTATTGAGGACACGATTTCGCTATTTCAAAGTGTCTCTTGCTCAGATGAGTGCCAGGGGAGAGAGAGCTGAGCTAGAGAAGGGGAGCAGCACAGGATGCAGAGGAGAAGAGAAAAGGGGAGCAGGGAATGGAGCAAACCCAGAATAGAAGATGCAATGGTAAAGAGTCTAAAATTGGCTCAAAGATTACAGTGCCTGGGCTATAAAAAGAGTTCTGAGCGCTCTGCCGTTGAAGTTGCAACATCAGGGAGAAGGAAGGAGTAAGTGATGGAGAGAGGTGAAGGGGGGTAGCTGTCCAGGGGGAAAACTCTTGGATCAGGTCCTATGGGTTTATATAGGAGGATACTTACATGGACAGGACTGGTGCTGGAGATTATAAAGAAAGGGGTAAAACTGGAGACAGCGCATTAGAGGCAGGCTGGCACGACACTGCGGACAGTGAACCGTGAGAGTCAGGGCCCGACGAAACACTGCCAGAGCGCCAGACAGGTTACCCTGACAGAGGTGAACGTTGACCAGACTTAACAGGGTGTGAGGCTGGTGTAGAGAGAGAGAGAGAGATACTTAGTGAACTGAAAAAGTCACAAGTAAGCATACATCCAATTTTCTTTCATTACATTTTTTTTTTTAATTTATAAAATACATTTATGACAGGGCTGTCAAATAAACATGTAAGTGTGAATGATTTCAAAGAAAATAATGGCAAAAAAATGAATGCCCTCTGACTTGTATCAAAATATTAAATTTCAATTCAAGTTAAGGGACACCTGCATGTCCACAGGTAAGCGAACAGTCAACTAGCCACACTTACTAGAAGCAGCTAAGCAAGTTACGAAAATAAAAGCCAGCAGGAGCAGCTATTCTAAATTTGAATGTACATAAAAGATTTTTTTTTAATTATTAAAATTAGGTTCCTAAAGAAACGCTGTCCTAGGACTGCAGCCTTCCGAATTGCAGGAATACCCTACTGACTTTTTCTAACTATGCAGATTACTGGCATGTGGTCACCTAATGGTGCGTTCACAAATAGCGCGTCAGGCGCGAATGATTTTAATGTTAAGTAAAGACGCGTATGCAAAGACGCGTTACGCGCGTAAAAATTCAAAAGATTTCCATCAACGGTGTTCGAAACTTTTGAAACTTTCGCCTCTCTTCGCGTTAAATTTCGCTTCAAACTTTTGTTTTTCGCACTCTTAACGTGCGAATTAACACAAAGTGGTCAAGTTTCAAACACGCGGTAGGCGCGAATTTGACGCGCTAATCGCATCTGGTGTGAACGCACATCACACTAGATGCGATTAGTAACACATGCACTTATTTTCTTTTTTTTTTCTTTTTTTTACTTTTTTTCACTGAATAGTTTAGACACAAGGTGGCAACACTAATCTAAAAAAAAAAAAAGCCCACAGTTGCTTATTACAAGTGGACTTGTCATCTCTGGTTTCGTTCATTTCTTTAAGTTGTATAAAAATAAATAAATAAAATCAAGGGTTGCGGTTATTTATATATATATATATATATATATATATATATATATGAAGAGTTCAGATGCAAAGCCTCTAAATGCCATTTGAAATTTTCTTCTAAAATGGTAATTTTTATCAAGCTTGTATATTTAAGTTCAGTAATTTCACTTAAATGGCAATTAATAGGTAATCGTCATTGCCATTTAAGTGAAATTACTGAACTTAAATATACAAGCTTGATAAAAATGATAATTTTAGAAGAAAATTTCAAATGGCACTTAGAGGCTTTTGCATCTGAACTCTTCATATATATTGGTTATTTTTTTTAAATATGGTTGCTTGCTAGGAAAATCTGACAAGCAAATTTTTCTCTTCACATTTATGGTCGCTGTTTCCTCCAATACATTGCTCAATACTGTCTGCTCACATCTAATAGTCAATATCAGTGCAGTAGCCCCCTCCTCCCCCTCATTGACATGTGACACTAAATCAACGCAAGCAATGACAGAAATAGAAATAAATAAAATAAATAATATAATAAATAAATAGTAAGTAGACGTAAATAGACTTATATACAAACAATGCCACCAACAGAGATGTACTAGAGATGAAGAGGAAACACGGGAGATTTCCTCCATTTGTTGTGATACGAGCGAACCGTCTTTGTATATCTATAGTCTTTGACGGCATATCAAAATAAGATAAAGTAAACAAGCTGTCTACACTGCAATCCAGTTATGTAATCACTTACAGTGTAAAGTGGGTGGTTGAAGTCAAAGTCTGCACTATAACAGGTGTGGTGTTCAGCGGTCTCCATTGTAGGTCAGTGTCAGTACGTACCTCAGAGCGGTTGATCTGCAGGGCCTGTTGCAGCAGATCATGAGCCTCTTCATGCAGGCCGTAGTGCAGCAGCAGGTTGGCAGTGTTGACCAGAGGCATGTCTCTGTGCTGAGGAGGGGAAGAATGGAGCGCCTGACGCAGACACAGCAAAGCTTGTGAGCCGTTTCCTTTAGCACGCCAGAAAAGACCTGCCTCATTCTGCATCAACCACAGCGGTCCATTCATCTGTGAGAAAGAGACTTTCCATTTGATCTTCTTTAATGCTCTTGATTTTAATGTCACATGTCTATTTCTATTTTAAAAATGCTGCAGAAAAATCTAAATCATAAGCAGCTAACAATTTCTAAGATGTGAATCCAATCAAAAATGAAACGTCTGTCATTATTTACTCACCGGCATTAGGTTCCAATATTTATTCAGTGGAACACACATGTTTTAAAAGACTCTTCACATTGAAATGTTCCCCATCAAGACAGTGACTATGTGCTGTTCAGTTCCTAAAAGGCCAATTCACCAGCACTATAAAAGCACCATTAGATTTTGTTTTTAATTAATACTTTTATCAGCATAAATACATTAAAAGTGATCTTTTACATTGTTACAACATTTATTTAAGATAGATCCTGTTAATTTAAATGTACCATTATTAAAAGAATCCCGAAAAACAAGTTTCAAGGTTTGAAGACTAGAGTAATGATGCAGAAAATTCAGCTTTGCATCACAGGAATAAATGACATTATAAAATAGATTGTAAAAGAGATAATCAGTGAATAATGGCTATAAATTGGGATTGTTCCTCATATAAATGTATTGCATGGTTTCAGAACAATTACATTACATTACAGCGACAAGTCGTAATTTATGGTGCTTTTATAGTGATTATTTTTGTCTTTTTTTGAGCTGAACAGTCAATAGTAACTATGAACTCTCATTGAATAGAAAAAAACCCTTAGCAAAATGAACAGTATATGGGAGTGGAAAGACATGAGGGTATATTGCTATTACTTTTGAAATTTTCATTTTTAATTGATTGATTCTTCAGTTCTGTCTGTACGGCTCCACACTGTCCGTCCTTACACAATTAGTCTAATCTTTTTTTAATCTTTAATTTACATTTCAATGGAGTAATTTGGTCTGCAATTGTCAAATTGTGCAACCGCTAATGCACTCGACATGAGCCATATGCAACCTTGATTATTTTACCTTGTCCAGAGCCTGAGCAATCAGTGCTCCAGTTTGCTCCAAACTCCTCCCACCACTGCGCTTCAGCAGCACCTACACAAAACACAAACACACAGAATGACTCACCTGAGAAAACACAACACTCCTACATACCAAATATCCCACTGCTTCATCTACCTGTCCTGCGCACATAGCTCAGCTAAACTGAGGGTGTGGTACAGAACTTCTTTTACACTGACAGTGTTGACAGCGGGCTCATACCTCGGCAGCATGTGGATCAGGCCGCTCCTTCTCCAATGCCCAGGCCAGAGAGTCCAGCGGGTCTCTAGCGGTGACAAGACTTTTAAAGCTACAGTCTGGTGTCTTTTCTGCTGGTGGAGGACTTTTGCTGTCCAAGAGGTTATTCAGAGCCCTGGTAAACAACAATAAAAAGCTCATTGATTAATACAATTCAGAGAAATAAAAACATACCAGACCTGCATTACATCTCCCAAAATTCGAGATGGTTCTCACTGCAGAACATGAAATCCACGGGGAGGAGTCAGATCCAGATCCAACTCCTCCCACCTTACATACACCTAAACCAACCCAGCTCCACCCCCTCAGATCTGGATCCGACTCCGCCCCCTGGATCTTGTGTACTGCAATGAGGTGCTACTGCAAAATCCAGCCAAAATGTATTAAGCTTTCTGCCCTTAAAATAGCATCATAATAATGTATGTAAAATCTGGAAAGGTTATGCTACTATACATCGTGTCTGTGATCTTGTGGTTTATACTGATGAAATGTAACAAAAGAGTTCATGTTACGGTTCCACATGTCTTACTTAAAGTTGCGGGACTCAGGGACCAGGTAATAGGTGGGAAGTAGGTGCACAGGAGGGATCGTGGGGAATCGCTGTGCACAGTCAGACCTCCTGGGCCACAGCACCGTCTGACTCTCCTGTTCACACACAACAACCAGAGAGAATGTGACGTCTAGATAAACAGGACAGTACAGACATATGGTGCTTTCACACCAATTACAGTAATTATCAGATTACATGACAACCTGGACTTACTACTCTGAGCTTTACTTCCTCAGAACTGGAATTGTGCATTTCTGTGGCAACATTATTAACACAAAATGTTATTGTTCATTTGTCTTATTTAGTAGGAAATTAGTTAGTTATCCAACTGTGTGCTATTGAATTATATTGTAGCCTGTTTTTCGTTTATTTTTCAGATTATGCTTGCATTATTAAGACATTACTAATTGTTGGAATTGTTAAACAGAAAAATTCAGAGATAATGTAACTACTCAACTACATTTGACTGCTGAAGCTGCCACAATTTTGAGTGTCTTCTCATAGTGTTACAATGGTCAAGTGACACTTTGAAATTTCTCCAGAGCTCTCTGAAGTTGTAATCGTGAGTTCAGGAGGATATGATTTTTTTTAGTCAGAAAAAAATATATAATATACAGAATAATGTAATTGCAGTAACTCCAACAAAGTGTGAACACACCTTTATATTGTGTTCTAACATACACTGATTATTCAGCCACAGTATTAAACAACCTGCCTAATTTTGTATAAGTAACCCCCTTGTGCTGCCAAGACAGCTCTAATTCACAGAGGCATGGACTCCACAAGACCTCTGATGTGTCCTGCTGTGATATCTGGCACCAATACATTAGCAGCAGATCCTTTAAAGGCTTAGTTCGCCCAAAAATGACGACTGTCAGTATTTACTTACCCTCATGTTGTTCCAACCCCGTAAGACCTTCGCTCATCTTCGGAACACAAATTAAGATCACTCCTGTATACTAGTCCATAGGCTTCTTGAGGGAATGACTTGCTGGCCTCGAAAAGTCATTAAAGGACATTGTTAAAATAGTCCAAGTGACTACAGGGGCTCAATTTTAACTTTATCAAACGATGAACAAAAATAACGACTTTATTTCAACTATTCGTTTATTTCTCCCTCTGCCTCGAGTCAGGTTACTAGTTTAATAGCGTAAGCTTCTGTAATTGTACGTCACACGCATCACACACACATGACCAGCGTCGGCCAATAGTGAGCCTACGTGTGACGTAGCTCTACGCAATCACTCTACGTTAACTGACTACAGGCCCATGGAGAAGGAAGTGAATAGTTGAAATAAAGTAGTTATTTTTGTTTGTTTTTGCGCACAAAAAGTGTTCTCGTCATTTGAAAAAGTTAAAATTGAGCCCCTGTAGTCACTTGGGCTATTTTAACAATGTCTTTAATGACTTTTAGATGCCAGCAAGTGTCATTCCCTCAAGAAGCCTATGGACTAGTATGCAGGAGCGATCTTAATATCTTAAATATCTTAATTTGTGTTCCGAAGATGAACGAAGGTCTCACGGGGTTGGAACAACATGACGGTGAGTAAATACTGACAGAATTTTCATTTTTGGGTGAACTAACCCTGTAAGTCAGGCAAGTATCGATGTGGGGCTCCTACTGATCAGATTTGTTAGTCCAGCAGACCAGCACATCACACAGGTGCTCGATTGGATTGAGATCTGGGGAATTTGGTCTGTGGCCACGGTGATCCATATACAGTAAACTGCGATGCACTGTGTGTGTGTGTGTTCTCACATCTTGCCATCATGGGCAACATTATGTTTTTGGGCTATAGTAGGTCTTCTGTGTGATCAGACCAGGCAGGCTAGCCTTCGCTCCCCATCGCCTTGACGCTAGTTCACTGGTTGTCCTTCCTTGCACCACTTTTAGTTGGAACAAGCCACTGCATACAGGGAAAACCCCACAAGACATGCCGTTTTGGAGATGCTTTGTCCCAGTCGTCCAGCTAACTATCACTATTTGGCCCTTGTCAAAGTCACTCAGTTCATTTTTCCTGCTTCCAATACATGAAATTCAATGATTTACTTAATCAATCCCATCCCTATGTCATTGTATAACAATATAATGAAGATAATACTGTCACTTTTGTGAAAAAATCCTAATCGATTTTTGAGACATAAGTGTTCATTGAGTTGATTGTAAAATAGATTTTCCATGTCTAAAGACGATTCCATTTTCAACGCCAAATATAGGCAAATCCACGGGCAACTCAAGTCAGCAATGTTTCTGATGATTTATTGGTGTGAAGTTTCGTGCACAATGACAAACAGGAGTGCAACATTCTCGAAAAACAATAAGCAGAGTGGACTGCAATAACATCAATGAAAAGCATTACTGCAGGCTTCAACATGGCTATGCTCATGTTTAGAAAGGTCAAACAAATTTTGCCTACATAGGCGATTGTAGCCTTGAGCCCGAATCTGTATCTGTATGCATGAGACTGTCTGAATACTGAACGAAAACACATTTGCTGTTATGTGTTTGTCAGAGCCTGCAATTGCTATGTGACGCGCGTACGGTGCGTGCGTGTCGTGACGAGCAGATCTATAACGGAGAGAAGGCCGTTAAAAATCGATTCCCTATTTTCGTTTTCGATACTTGTGTTGGTTGATCCGATTAATTGTGCAATCGATTTTCGAACGTAAAGTGACAGCATATACACACACATGTACTCACTGTATACGGTGTATGTATGTACAGTATCCATATTTCTTGACCATTTTTAAACCCATTTCACATAATTTTCATCTTCCATCAGATCTTACATCAGTAGAGGTGATCTTCTTGTCCCAGTGGGCTGCAGGTTCCCGTCCTAAGGACACAGTGTAGGACTGCTGAGGACTGTGACTCTCATTCACACTCAACTCGGACACCAGAGCAACACTGTTGGCTATTGACACCTCCTCACCGAACTACAAACACACACACAACATGTCAGAGAATGAGATGACTGACATCTAAAGCAATGTCACACAAGCAGGAGATATTGCCTTCATAAAACTTTTTATAAACATTTTACAAACAAGTTTGTTTCAGCTAATCAGACACCAAAAAGGTTGAGAATGACAGTTGTGCAGTGGTGATGTTTAAGAGTAAAAAAACTGCTCACTATTTAAGTCCAAGTGAACCAGAAGTTGCAACCAACATTACATCAGTAAGTTTTCAGTCTCACCTGAATGTAGTGTACATTTTCAAACACTTCTCCACGATGATACCGTACAGGCAAATCAAAAGGGCAGTGCAGGGTGAACTTCTGCTGGCCCATATGACACATTTGGTGATTTCCTGAAACAAAACATCACATACCTCTTATGCACATTCATGTGAGCAACAAAGAGAGACAATAAACCTGGAGTCAACAATTTTTGGCAGGCTTGCGAAACTTGTTTATCCGGTATATTGCACAATCTTATACAGGACCTTGAGTTTGAGGGTCTATGTAACAGAAACTGTTTGAATGGAGCTGAAAGGTGAAGATATGCAGTCTAACCAAGTTGTGCTTCTTTAGCCATCTGGGTCTCGTGAATGATGTTTCTCAGGATTTGCTCCTCCTGAATGAGCTTGTGCTTGTCCAGCATCTCCTGCTGCCGCAGGTAATGATCGTGTTGCTTCTGGTACTCCTTCAGTTCATTCAGGGTGCGTTGCAAAGACCTGCACAAACAGTGAAAGAACATTGTGTTTTCATTTCACACTTGCAGTGTTTTTTTTAAATTATGTGTGCTCCCTTCCTTGTGAGAAAGAAATGCAGAACACTAGTCATTTTATTCTATTTATTTGTTGTAACTACCAAAATATTGACAGAAACAAGAACATTGTGTCAATATTGCAACCAAATACGTGGATCTTATTTTGTAAGACAAAGTCTATGAGAAACTTTATGCTCAATGAATGTTATTTGTATATATTGAGCTAATTTTTCATCTAACCAATGTTTACATCACTATCTTTACTGCTTCAAAATACATGCTGTTATTGAAAACTACGTTTTTTACAGTTACTATACAAATAAAAACATTATAATATATAACACAACATCTACACAACCACAGTGAATAACTTCACTAGGTGAATTAAGCAGTATGCGCAAGCCTTACAAAGCAAAAATCTGTATTCAGATTTCAGAAGAATCATTTTGACATTCGTAATACAAATGTTGAGGCGTCTCGTCCATCAGAAGATATGATATTCGCTACTGTAAAATGAAAATGAATGTAACTTTTTAATAAGTGGGGAAAATTCCCTACTTTAAGCAAATTAAAATTAAGGTACAGTCTGTAAGAATGACCAGAGTCCAAATAAAAAATATTAGAGATCGTTGTTTCCCCTGCTCCCTCCTCCTCAGACTTGGTGCTCGTGCGTGTTCCCAGTTTGAGGACAGCCAACAGGAACGAGCGTAATTAACAATGAAAGCCGAGGAGACTTACACACTAAGTTTATGAGTTGATTTATCCACGTTTTAATATGCTCTCATTCATAGAGATTTTTAGATGGACACCGAGGCTTTTTAGGTTGGGTAGAATCTACAATCTCTGACCCAGTTTGTTTGCTGGCTGCAATACACGGTGTTTCCTGCCAACTGGCATCCCGGGGTGTTGAAATACTATTGGGTGAACTGGCAGTGGGCGAGATCACACAAACATTCCGACACAGAAAGCCCATTTCAAAGTAAAACGAATGGCTGTAGAAGCGTTTTTCAGATAAACGAGTATGTGAACTCAGCATGTTAACTAAATATCTGAAAATGCTTTTTTATTTAATGCTTTAGAAGAATGAAAAAGTTACCAATAGCACTTTTAAACCATTTAAATGTTTAGGACATTTGCATTGTAGGAAATGTACAGGGAGTCTCCAGATTTGTTAGGTAATGTTTTCTCATTAAAATCAGATGATTTCTTTTTAATTCAATAGAATGTAAAGGAATATTACCAACACAGAAGCCCGGTGGATTACATTTTTAATTTATATAGATTATATATTATAGTGGTTTGAGACCTACAGTACAACACTAGAGGTCACGGATCCCCTATTGAAAATCAATTTCTCATTATAAAAAGAGTGTATGGGGAGCCACTCATTAGCAGGAACAAGGCTACTTCATACTCTGAAGGTTTTACTAATGAGACTGCATAGAAAAGGAGTGACAGTCCATGAGAAAACAAAAGTTACCGGTGCTGAGCCTCAAGCCGCTGCTCCAGCTTTTGCTGACATAAGACGGCATGTTTCCTCCTCAGGGCTTGTTCAAAGCCTGGCTGAGCCTGCAGGGCCTGCTCATAGCACAGCACCGAGTGATTATACTCCCCCAACATCTACCACAGACACAGGAGGAAGGAGAGAGATGCAAAAGGATCTGAGTGTCATTTGATACAAAACAAGGAAATCAGATATTTAACCAAAACTGCCATTTCCTGCCCAGCAGAAAGTGTGAGCACAGACTGGATTATGAGGAAGTTTAAAAACGTTTTGGAAAAATCTATTCTCTTCATCACAATGCTGCACTCACAGCGTAAATGTTGCCCAGGGTGTAATGGCTGGTTAGCAGATCTGTGGTGAGATCCAGAGCCGCATGGGCAAGGATGGCTGCGTCAGCTGAGAAGTGTGCTTGGTGAAGTACGTTCGCCATATTGACGAGAGCAATGTCTTTGTGCTGCCTGCAAAAAAACAAAAAAAAAAAAAAGTGGAAATACATGAAAATTTATGCAAAACAAGATGACACAACTTGTGTAGTTCTTTGTGCAGGTGGCGAGAGACCAATTTCACTGTTGATACGTTATGCACGCAATACAATTGGCATTTGTATCCATGTGTCATTTCCAGTTACCTTGGAGAAAAATGGAGGGCGCGGACCACACAATCCACAGTTCGCCTGGGTTCATTCTTTATCCGCCAATAGAAAGAGGCCAAGTTATAAAGCACCCATGAAGAGGAATTCTTGAAAAAGAAAAGAAAGTCATCATTAATCTTCAGGAATGACCATTTCAGTGACTTCTGCTGTTATATGTGAAACTTTAACACTTGTAATCATAGAGGAAAAACTGCACCATAGTGAAAAATTAAGAGATTCCAGTTTACACTAATGCATTTCAATTACTTCACCAGTTATGAGTACAATCCTAAGAATAAGTCATTTAAAACAATTATTTTTTTATTAATGTCTTCAATAAAGCAAATAGCAGGCTGATAAATGGCCAATATTGAATGATCTACTGTTTTGTCTAAATAAATAAAACAAAATGAATTATTTCAAACACTACAAGAGCATCACATCATTATAATTTAATGTTAATTAAAATGTTTTCTTTTTCTGTTTTATCAGTGTTAGTGATACTGCTACAATTTATGTGTATGTTAATTAAAGTGGGACGGTGTGTGTACCAATTTTGAGAAATACATTTTCTTGGTTTAAATTCTTAAAAATCTAGGTCGCAGCTTAATGACCATGGGAAAATGTGGGTCCCATAGCGAAACCAGTTGAGAACCACAGCCAAAAGAAACTATTAGTTTTGTGTCACAAAGGCTGCTTCCCTCATTCCCGCATATTGATACTGCTTGCATCTTAAGCAGAATAACCATATTATTTAAGAGGAGAACATAGCAAAAATTTCCAGTCACTATAGAAAATTTGGTCACACTTACATTAGGTGTTCTTAACTACTATGCACTTCCATCAAAAAATAAGTACAAAGTACATATTGAATTGCAAAAAAACTTTAGCTGCTATTGAGGTGGGATAAGGGTAAGGTTAAGGACAGGTTTGATGGTATGGGCAAGTTTAAGGTTGTATTAAATGGTAAGGAAAGGTCAACAGTGTAATTAGGCTATATACATGAATTAATTACAGCAGCAATTACATGCAGATGTTTTTTTAAATATAAGATCATATTAAAACATGTATGTACACAATTTAATTGTATCAAATGTTTAATTTCAGTGTTAGTACATAGTAGTTTTGGCTTGTTTCCACTGAGTGGTACGGTACAGTACAGTTCGGTACATTTGCGTTTCCACTGTCAAAAGTTGTGAATGTTACCAAAAAGCCGAACCGTACCATACCACTTTTTGGGTACCCTTCCGTTGGGGTACCTAGCACAGTGAAAGGGTACTAAAAGGTGGAGCTAGACTCATTGCAGAACGTTGATTGCTCGAGTATCATCATTTGCACGTGCTACAAGGGCATTAGAAGCGCCATTTTATAATACAGTTGAAATATAATACTACTGTTATTGTGTCACGTAATGTATTTTTAAGAGTTTTTCAGGTGAGAATGTATTTTTTTTAAAGCTCAAATCTGTCGTTTATTTATAGATTTATGATAATTTGACTGAGATCCATACCAAACCATCACCGATTGCTCAGCGCTCATGCACGCCACCTGGAACAGCCTTTCCTCGGCTAGTCGTTCTGATGTTTACCACTGACTCTGACGTCTCTGTAGTGGTTAAACATGAGATATAATTCGTCTTGTATAGACTTAACAGGCTATCTTTGGTCTCATGAATCTATAATTTGTTCCCTGGTCAATAGTTTTGGCAGAAGGCTAAGTGAAGTTTCATATATTTGAGCGCTGAATTTGTATATTTGACTGAATTGTTTGCTTTATGTTATTAAAGCTTTACTGCATAGCTTTTTGTACCTTTTACTTTTATTTTATAATGGCTATTATTGATAAAAATGAAATTTAATATAAAAAGAGATAGGGTTGAGTTTTGTCATTTTTTTAATTTTATTACAAGATCATCTGTACCAATGCACATATTGCCTGGAATATGTTTAATATTTTTATAAATTTAAACGAAAAGAGGCAGGGTTGTGTTTTATATTTAGTTTTGTTATAAATCTTGGCAACTGTACATAAATGCAGTGAAAATAATCAATAGGCTATGCATTGCCTGAACCACATGTGTGCTTATAATGCTTATAATGTGTGCTTGTTCTGCTAATGGAACGCGCTGTTACTGGACTCGTGTCCTCGGGAGTCGTTCTTTACGTAGGCTACTTGGTATTGAGAAACGCCTAATGCCGGCGCTTGTTTCTTGTGACTAACATGCCGAGAAGAAGCAAAAACAAGATATGCTGTATGTGATCCATTGTTGTTTACAATGTCGCTTTCATCTTCGCGCGGAAATGATCGCTTCTTTGCGGCAAACACCATGCCTATCAAGTAATGGTACTGTTGGCGATGGGATGGAAACGCTAGCCGGATCATGGTTTACCGACCCGAAACATATTGTACCGCTAAGTGAAAACGCGTCAAAAGACACCTAATATAAAGTGGGACCAAAAATTCCAGACTTTTCCAGGCTTAGAAATTATAACTGTAACATTTCAAGGGTTCCTATGATTGTGGAAACCCAGACGATTATATAAATCAAGAAAAACAACTTACTTTTAGTAGGGCCTGGTGTATCTGATGCCCAACCTCATCCATACTCTGCCCCAGCTTGAGAGGCAGGGAGGCAAAGATTGGGTCATCCTTTGAAAGCAAGGGTGATGTTAGGTTTACCTTCTCTTGGACACCCTTAGAGAAAAACCAGAGTAACAAAGACAATAAGGATACAAGTGAGAGAATAAAAGAAAGATATTTGTAAAGGTGCAGCTTAAAAGACTCACCCTGAGGTGCTGAAATGCATGAATGCTGTAAGGGAGATCGAGAATTTTTGTGCAGTCAGGTTTTTCCAGGTCTGTAGGTAGAGGTGACATCTGATCCAAAAAATCCGCTGGACTAGAAAAAAAACGGAATGGTGTATGTGATAACGAAGACTGAAATGTTCATTACATTAAAAAAAAAACCCAGAGGAAACAGATTTACTCCATAAGCAAAAACTTACTTAATGTCTTTGCTTTCCAGGGATATAAAAGTGCCATCATAGAGATCCAAGTCTCCCAGAGGAACCTTAGCTGTGACACAGTCAGCATCTTCTTTGTAATGCCGCTGCTCTAAACCAGTATCCCGGTCCTCGTTCTCTTCAATATGAATCTTCTGAGCAACTAGTTGCTTCTGCAAAATGTACAATAATTCACTGTCAGGCTAATAGTTTAAGGAAGCGTGTTTACTTTAGAGCGGTCTTCTTCAAGACACGGCACATTATAAAAGATCCTTTTAGGCTGTTGAATGTGAGACTTAACATCACCTCTAACTTCTTGAGGTAGTTCACACGAGTCTCTTGTTGCATGAAAAGAACTAAATGGTGGGGATGTTTCAAGTTAAGAGGGGAGTCCACCTGAAAACGAAAGAGTGTGTGAAAGGCAAAATCAATGCACACACATGCTTTAGAGCAAGAGTCACTAACGTTACCTGATAGATAATATATCACAGGTTATATGACATCAGAAAGCCAAAACAAGCTGATGATTTGAACAGTATTGAATCAGTGCACAAGAGAGCGCTGTGATATCATGATAAGCAACAGACGACAGCTGTCAACGCACGCATCTGCCTGACAGCTGTATAAAGCAGTGTTAGTTGGTAACAATCAGATCAGAAAGTCAATGTTGAGGCTCTCTCGTCTTTCTTATCTTGTAAATATGATCTAGATAGTGATGGAGTGATTAAACACGACACAGTTGCTTACCTGCTGTTGGATTTTGCCGTCCTCCGTCACCACCCAGTGCGTCGTAGCTCGCCCGGGCTCGGCCAACAGTACACAGATAAAAATGAACGCCGGTCCTCGTACGGACGGTCTCCAAAAGATTTTATTACTGGAATGATTGCCTAAGCTATTGCTTTTGACACCCGCCATATTTCTACCGTCTGTCCATTCGACCCTAAACTGGTTCGCGTCATTCACCTCAATCTGCTTCCGGGTTACAGAGTGACTCCGCCTCTCCACAAGACCTAAGTCGACAATTTATTTATTTATTTATTTCACAATTATTAAAGAATATTTCACCATTACAATCAAATAAATAAACATCAAAAATGTTATTTTATTCAGGTAAAACGTTTAAGGTCAAGTATAACCTACTTAAGACTACCATTAATAATTGCATGTACAACCTAACAAGAGTCCATAATTTACCCACATATTTCACATACACTGTAGAAATTAGTATGACAGAATGTTAAATCTAATCAATAAAAATGAGGAAACAGATTACAATCAATATTATTAATTAAAAATTAGATTTGAGTAAAAATTAACCAAATGAATTACTGAAATAATGATTATGTTAAAACACAACCAACACCATCAGATCACCTTATCTATTTGTTCATCTGGCTGTTATAATTCACATATAACAGGCAAACAACATTGAAAGTTAATGATTTAACTTACTAAACTAAAACACACACTGATTTACGGTTTTCTCCTTCAGTGACTCTGCTTGTTATCAGGAGTCTTCAATGATGGCAATAAAAAAAATAAGGTTTTTATTTATTTTTTAATTCACCTTTGACGTCAGTCTGTTTTTACGATATTTTTGTTTAAAATAATGTGTAAATTCTACTCATTTTAAATGGTTAACTTTAAAGTAATTCATTTAGTTAATTATTACTCAATTCTAATTAGTTAAATTAAATTAATAATGTTGATTTTAATCTGTTGACTCAATTTTATTGATTAGATTAAACAGATTCAGTCATATTCATTTTTACAGTGTATTAGAAATACAGAGTTGGGGTCTCTATAGGTTTACATACACTTATATATATTTGTACATAAATATACACACACACACAAAGGTTAACAAATAAAAAAAGTTCAAAGGACTGCTCTTCAATTCTTTAGCATATTTTGAGTTACCACACTTCCAAAAAGAAAAATACACATATAAAAGTCATAGCAATAACTTTTTGAAAAAGGACTTTATTATTATGAATTTGTTTGTTTTTTAAATGTAATTTGCTAACAAATAGCTAATGTACAACTGGAGGTGAATGTACAACTGGATGTAATGTACAACTTGTTTGGAATAAAACAACAATTTAAGATTAAATAATCTTAGATATTGTGAACATAAGGAATAGTTTGAATAAAATGACAGGATTCATAGAATATTCAAATAAGAATCTTTATGTAGTAAATTGTGCAATACTATAAAAAATGCAATAAAGAATTTTTTTACATTGTGCAAAACATTCAAAAGCATAAAAACTGTGATTTTGAAAAAGTAGCTAATACTGAAAAAGAACTATAAAGTATGTCATTTTTTGTCTTAATTGGTTTGAGACAGCGGACCAGTTGTAACATTAAAATGTACATTCATTTGTTAAAAGTACAAGTACAAATAAAGCAGGGCTTGTTCTAGTGTTAAAGTGAACATGCATGTAGAATCCCTCAAAAACTTTTAAATATATATTACCTTCATTTACATATAAAATGCATAGCTATAGCTAAACATAACAAGAACCCACAAGCATCATGTAAAGATCCCAGTCCTAAAAGCACAAAGTGTTACATGCAGTAGAGTTAAAGTTGAATGATGGTTGAGTTCAGGATTTCAGGCACGTGTTTTGATTTAGATGACTTGGAGAGGTCTCGCTGTGACAAGAAAATGACACATTAAGAGATTTTAAACTGGTTAATATGTTCTGAAGATTGATTTGAACAGTGGTCATATACTGATTATATTTACAGCTAGAAAACAATATGAAAACGGTCATATACTGTAACAAACAGAGCGACAGATAATGGCAGAAAGGCATTAAACTGATTTGTAAAATAAAGCTCTTGGTTAGAAGTGTGGATTAGGAGAAAACACAGTCCAGTTCAAAGAGAGGACAAGAGGATGTAAAAGAGCAAACTAATCAGAGATTTATACATCCACCACTGTAGAGGCAAAAGCATTCATTGTTGTTTTTATTTTATTTACTAATTGATTTTGTTTTTAATCACACAATGCCGTCCTATGATATATCTCAGGCTACAAAATAATTAATCGGCCATTTAACATATAAAGCATGTCCCACAGCAAATTAAAACATTACAAACATCATAGGCAATGTAAATCTAATAAATACAATTTGACAATATTGTATAAAAGATACAATTTGGTAAATATTCAGTTAACATTGTAGTTAGTTAGCAAGTCATTACAAGACTGTAAGAGTCCCAATCACCCTGTCAGAGTTTATTTTTCAATCATCTGAATGCTTATTATCCCTTAAAGAGGTGCTATTTGTATTAGTGTTAGCCAATAAAATGTTGTTTAATTGGTGCATTGTTTAAACCATGCAGTAGCCAAATTTAGGTTGTCTGGAAAAACATCATCTCAAACAAACCTTGATTATATGGATTCAGCCTTGATAACTTCCTTTAGAAACAAGTTTTATTATTAGTAAAACATTGTGCCAGTAATACCAATATTTATATAGGAATTTATACAATTTAAAACACATTTAAGTTCGAGCTCTTGCTCTCTTTGACCAGACTGTGAGTTACTGATGAACTAGATAAAGAGTTTACCTGAAATTCTGAATAGGTGCTTGCAACGGAGTTAATGCTGAAGTTACGCTGTGGACTAGATGGCACCTTCATCAGCCCAGCCCCACCGCCAGGTAGATGACAGAAATTTTCCTTATTGCGTTCTAGCAAACCTTGATGAGGAGGTTTGCTTTTGCCTGGAGTCCTCACCACATTACCCTGCTTTGAAAAAAGACATATAAGGAAAGAGGAAATGTAACATTACTTAAGTTAATCAGTAAATGATTGGGAAAATTAGTTAATTAAAAGCTTGAGAACAATGGTTTTGTCATAGCCATGCACTGACCTTGCTACCAGATATCGGAGGGCGTGATATAGGAGAATTACAGACGGTACCACCAAAGACAGATCGGATCGTGCTGTTAGAAGTGCCAGTACTGGAGGTTGCATTTAACTAAGGAAAAGTCAAAGAGTTAATACTGCAAATGTGCATGTTTAACTCGCTGTCGGGTGCTTGGTCGTCATGAAAAAATAAATAAAAAGAAACATTTGTCTTAATTACCTTTACAAAGAAATGAAAATAATCTAAACGGTAACTACTTTGCCATTGAGGACAAAACATATCTGTTTAAATGACTGCTGCAACAGGGCAGGCTGTGTAAGGTTTATTTTAAGATTTATTTTTATTTTTTAAATAACGGGCTCGGGTCGGACTCGGGCTGATCGTTCTGATGAGCTGTCGGACACGGGCCGGGCTAGGGCCTGGACGTCTCGGGCCAGGGCCGGGCTAGGGCCTAGATTTGAGGCCCGTGCAGGGCTCTAATGTGCATCAGGGTGTGTTGTGTAATGGGAACATTACTTTTTAATGTTAATTTTCAGTACGCTTTCTAATGCTTTTTTTTTTTCATTAAGTGGACTGTGAACTAGGTTTCACATGGACTTTAAATATGCTGTTTCCATCATGAAAAATATTTTCCCATTGTACTTGCCTTTCGAGCTTTGCAAGGTGTTGTGCTGCCCAGAAATCTTCGTTTAGTTGGTGACCGGACCACAGTGCCATAGACCATGTCTTCCTCTGTCTGCTTACTCTTCTTTAGTTGCTGCAAGACAGTTCTTGTATTACTAAAATCCAGCTAAATATCTCTCTCTCATGGGTTTTAAGTTTAACCCAGTCATTCCATAGTAATGTATTAATTCACAAATACAAATGACTCTGTAGATTTGGTTGATCATGCAGATTCACAGCTCAAGCCTAGAGCATGATATATATGTGATATATATGTGAAGTACATACCCGCTCCTGCTTCTCCCGCTCCTTCTCCTGCCGGTACGATTCCCATTGATCAGTAACAAACTGCATGAACTTCTGACCATTCACCAGGAACTCTCTGTTCTGCTCATGTTCCCACTGTTCAATCTCAGCCTTCAGTTTCTTCTCAAGCTAAATAAGAGATACTCAGTTACTAAGCTTTTTGAAAAGAAAGCTTAAAAGAACAGCATTTAATTGTAACAGAAGTCTTTGTTACAAAGTAAAACATTACATGTAATGCATCCTTGCTGAATAAAACAATTAAATTCTTTAAAAAAATGTCTTACTGACCCCAGACTTTTGAAAAGTAGCGCATGTATATAATTCACCTTTGGCTAAGCCCCGCCCCCCTTAGTTACTGTTGCTACATCCGTCAAACTTCATCTGCGCTCTGCATGGCTTATGCTGTGACAACTCTTCCTGCTGAAATGTTATCAAACTTTTATAAAGCAGCAATTAAAGTGTCCGATAGAAGTAGGCAAAAGGGGCTGCAATATGCATTCGAATGCTATATTCAAGACATACGGGTGAAACGCAAGAAACAACAAGGCATCCAAAATAGAGGCAAAAGCATAACGTTACCGGTCACAGTCAAAAAAATGAACCACCGCATTCTCTACTAATCGAGACGGAGGCTGGGACTAACAATATCAGGGAGCAACACCGTTCATGCAAGCTGGGTAGGTCTCTATTCTCTTCTATAATCGTTATTACAAAACAAACGGACTAGACGAGCATAACGTTGTATTTATTAGCAGCGTGTGCTAGTCTATAAACAACCGGTATGAGAACCAAAATCATAACCTAAAACATTATAAAATGGTCTAACTAATATAACTTCACACTCACAGTAAGGTTAGAAGTAAAAAAAGATGTGCTTGTTGATCTTTGCGGGGTTTAGCTGACTGAGGACGTCCACACAGTTCAACGTTAATCCAAAGACGACACTTGTCAGGATTTTACTTCGGTTTTGGGAAGGGAAAAAACGGACACCCCCCTCCCAACCTCTCTGGGAAACACGTATCTGTCTTACAAATGCCCGAGGCACAACGTTTAACCATATTTTGGATAAAACTACGACGGTAATAGCCTGCCGAGACCAAAAATATGAGACGCCTGTGTTGAAAGTAAATGGAGCGCTGTCAAAAAGTGTCCGACCTCTGTGGGAGCTCGTTCTTGGCTGCGCTGTGATTGGTCAATCTACATTCTAGGGCGTGGCTTAGCCAAAGGTGAATTACCTTGGGGAGACCTTTGACCAGATCTGCCCGTTGTTTCTCCTCCTTTAGAAGGTTTCCTCCTCTGTTGGTGAATCTGGATGGATCTTTGGCCTTTTCCTATTACAAAATGTGCGGTGTTAGTTAATGCAAAAACAGTTGACAAAGATTTTCAGCCAGTTTAACTTACTTCAAGCTCTAAGAAAAGTCTCCAGTTCTCATCCCATTTGTGAACACCTTCAAAGAGTTCTTTATGATCCTCGTAATACTGTTTTAATCGCACATTTTCTTCATCATGTAAGCTCAGGAGTTCCTCACTAAAATCATCTGAGAGAAGAGGCATCCCTTAAATCTTTGTATTTTTAGAAAAAGACTGGCAGATTTCGAACGGTCAACGGTGTAATTGTGAAAATTACAACTCACCAACATAATAAGGCACAAACGCTTGCCGCTGGTCAGCACTATAAAAGCACTTATCCCAGAGCACAGCAATCTCCTTTCGAATGGCCTCAGTAACATTTTGCATATTTTTGAGCTTCAGTTCTTCAAGACGTTGAACCTCTGCTAGTAACTGGACATAAAAATGTAAAAACTTTTGTGTTCAGTGCAATGGTTAGCAATTTAATAGCCTTAATTAATGCAGCATAATAATAATCGCGAAATTCAAAAGGTTACTAACAGCTTCCATATTCGTTTTCTTTGACAGGGTCATGTGTTCAGAAAATGCATCACGCTCTTCCTGTGGAATCTGCAGCCTTTCCCACAGTTCCTGGATCTTCTCCCGATAAGAGCCACAGACAAGTTCATTCTCAGCCTTTCTGCTCTCCAACTAAAATATCAGAATAATGTATTATACAATTGTTATCGCTTAAGTTTATAGTTTGTCAGACTGAGTTTATATTGTACCTGATGAAGAAGGACTTTGAGTGAATCGATGTTTTCTTTAGACAGGCAAAAACTCTCCTCATCTTCACATACAACATCCTTTTCAAAACTTGTTTCAGGCAACTGATCCAGATCATCCATGCAAAGTATTATCTTCTTCTTCAATGTGATAAATTCCTTATGTCTTTGCACCTTGAAAGATTAAAAAAAAAAACATGCATCAAACTGAACACAACTTTCATAAATCACCATGAATTTCTAAATAAATTGTGTTTAAAACAAAGACTCATTGTTATACTTTCTCAGCAGTGAGACAGGAGATGTGCTGACGGAAATTCTCCAGCTGTTCCAGAGAAGGAACTGCACTGTCAGAGATAGAAAACGGCTGTGAGCAGAGAAGGTCACAGAGATCCTGATCCTGTTCGGTTAAGGCTTTGAGTGCCTGCATTCTCTGATTTTTCTCTTTTAACATCACTTCAACACGGGTCCGGAGGTCTTTTTCCTGTTGGAGCACAGTGCTACTCCTATCCTCCTAAAATGATTAGGAACCACAAAAAAGTTTAAGACATTTCTGTTACTCCTTTTTGTAGATGCCCCAAAAAATCAAAAAATTGTTTTGTGGCTTTCAGTCAATGTCTATTAGCTATAAAGTCATCTACATTACCACACAAAAGTTTGGCATCATAAATGCAGCCTTTGAGAACATTAATTTGATCAAAAATACAGTAAAAACATTAATAATTTGAAATATTATTATTATTTACGATAAATGGTTATTTATATATATACATTTTCAGCATTGCTATTGCCTATGAAAGGAAGATTTGGAGTTTGAAAAACTCCCAGAGAGGAGTGAGGCATTTACCAGTTCTAGGAGATCTGCTTCAAAACAGTTGAAAAAAGATGTGGGAAGTGTGTCAAGGGTGCAGGTTGATGTTTTAAAGTGCTGTACGAATTCTTCTAAAATTTTGCCATCGATTTCTTCAAAATCAGACATAGTAACTACTTTTTCCGGCTGTGGTCTGATCTATCTGACCTAGGGATGGGACGGTATGAAAATTTCATATCACGATTATAGTGTCCAAAATAATCGCGATTATCAATATTATCACGGTTTTGTTAAAAATTTATGAAAGTGCTCAAAAAGAACTGATGCTCACACTGAAAACATTTCAACAAGTTTTATAATTGAAAATCAACAAACAACAAATAAAACAAGCCTCTCTATGCAGTTTTTTAGGCAAGATTCTATTCTATGGCATTTGCTTCTTTATAATGCCCGTCGTCAATAGCAACGCATTATTACACAGCGCGCATCCATATCACAACGGATGCGCGCTCTTGTTTCATTCAAATACAACTTGCCGTCTTGCGTCTCCGGTTTTTGATTGTATTGCAAAAATGAAATCAGAGTTGATTTATTGTTTACAGAGTTTGATAATATTGGTGTGATATATCTCGTCTGGACGATTGTTTTACAAAATGAATTCATAAACAGGTAAGATTTAAAACATTAGCTAATCTCATTATCAATTCAATATGTCCCCATAATTGTGGTAAAAACAAATTTTTACACGGTTTAATACATGATGCATCTATACTTTACTATCCCTTAAAATATCACTCTTAATAATAGTCCTGTTTGAAGTTGTTCGTTCGTCTTTGGCTCAAATCCACTTGCTACGAACTTTTCTTCGCGGAAGCTTGACGTCTATTTCAAGTGAGTGACATAAAATGTTTCAACTCAAAACAACATTTCGTGCCCAATTGTTTCCCAGACGTAGTTTTGGTATTAAGGTCAAAGTTAACTTGCCTTGCGTTCGGGTGATGATCACACAAGACGACTCGGCAGATTTGAAGTGTTTCTATTGCAGTGACTTTTTGTTCGGCAGACAGGGTGACCATCCTCGATCAAGTTTCCCTCAGGACTTTTGTAAAACCCAAAATATGACCACACCTCAGATTTGGTCCTCTTAAAAGGCTGAAAAATCTCCTGAGCACGGTCACTGCCTTCCACCATTCCTTCTCGAATAGTAATTTAAAAAAATATTGCGTGCTGCGCGCCTGCGTCAGACTGGCCGACAGGATTCAGTGAGTTATTAAAATCGCGATAATCAAACACGGTTTTAATGATAATTACATTTTAAACGATAATACTAACCGTCAGTACATTTTATCACGGTTTATAGTGAAACCGGTTATCGTCCCATCCCTAATCTGACCCCTGTGGAACTCAAGGATGTGCTGACCACCTTTTCTGATATTATTGATTTTCTCAAAGAAGGAAGATGCAAACTCACTGCACTTGCTGTCTGAGAGCATTTCACTGGCAATCTGGCTTGAGAGGTTTGTCAGTCTCTCTACATAGCAAAAAGAGTGCGTGTTGTTTAGGTCGCGGTTTATAATATTCTAGAAGAAAGTCTGCCTAGCTTTGACATCCGGTAGTTCCATATTGAAAGCATGGATTCTGTCTTTGTAGATGTTATAATAACTACAACATCTACTGTAGGTTGATATTGGACATCTACGTAGAAGCATTTTCATGAGATCATTGAGGATTGGGGATATCTAAAGATTATATCCATGTTAAATACTTGCCTGAAATGGGGGAAGCTGCAGTTCCGAGCACAATTTACTCAGCTCTTTGTGACACATGTCAATACTGGTCATCAGACGTTTACGCAGACTCTCTTCCTCTGCAATCATCATGTCCAGAAGACCCTAGAGTACATGTTTTGTTAGTTTATCAATCAAACATATTTCACAGGATCCATGTTGCACAAATACACTCAACACTCACTTTGATATGATTCTTAACCACATTTGTTCTTTCTAAACGCTGATCCTCGGGGATGCCAATTTCCTCCCATATATCCTTCAGATGGCAGAGAGCTTTATTCAGACATGCCACTGATTCTGCAGCAATCACCTCACTAAAATCATGGAGAGAAAGAGCATGCATAGAATGGATGTTTATCAATAATGTATTTATATACTTTGATCCACGAGTGATAAAATTCATTAAAAGCATTCAGTAACAGAAGTTATTAACGTTAACGTTACATTATTAACGTACATACTCCACAAATCTTTCATTTTGTCAGAGAATGACTGTTTTGTAATTTCAGGTAATTACAAGATGTTATTAAAACGTTTTCATATAACGTTACTGTCACATATTCATTCTAATGCACATGTACTACAGCACTGCTAAGCATTATAACGTTATATAGCAAATGTTTGCTAAAGGCATCATCGTTTATAAATAGAGACCCACCCATGCGAGCTAACTTGGTCAAAATGTGCTAAAACACCAGCTGTCGTGTCAATGCAATAGCGTTAACATTACCGCGTTCATCTCAGGTGTCAAATGCCATTTTGATCGCGTGTTTTGATTAACATGCAATGCCAATGTCATATTCAAAACTATCTACGTTAGCTTAACTGACGTAAACTGCTCAAACTTCATATTGATCCAACTAAGATACACACATGTTTATCTGTCTGGGTATTCGTAGAAAACCACCATAAAATAATAACGTCAGTAAACAAATAATCAGTAAACATGCTCACCTCTTCCTCATCCTAGAACCCCAATACGAGGCTTTCCGCTTGTTTATTTGTATTTTAAAAAGGAATGTTTGACTCTGCAGACCTCCTCACACGCGAGCGCGTAACCGTTTCTGATTCAAAAATATGCATCTAAATAGCGCCGCTTGTCTGATTGGCTGGTTAGACATACCTGCGCATGCGTGAACATGTGTCACACAACAGACGCGGATTGTTCCACCATGACCTCAGAAACATTTTCAAAATGACCACTCCTGATTTTTTTTACTTCAAAATACACAGCTAAACAGTGCCACTTCACTGTGTACTCAATAATAGTTAACTGGAAATAAAAGATTCACCTGACACCAGAAACTGTTTATTGTATTCAGTCTTAAATCAGTTATTACAGTTCTTGGCACACTCTGAACAAAGTTTTTAACTATGTTTGCCACTTCTCCATTCATAAATTCAGATACCTGCCTATCATAATTTATTCACTTTTTTCTGTGAAACATAAAAGAATTTTGAAAAATGTCTCACTTTTGTCCATAGAATGAGAGTCAATGGTAACCGAAGCATTTTAGTTATGACCAATGGTCAAAATATCTTCTATAAATGTTCTGCAAAAAAGGGAAGTCATCCAGGATTGGAACATGACAGTTTTCCTTTTTGGGTGAACTATACCAGAAAACATTTTATTATCATCCCCTCAAACAATCCATTTGTTTTGGGGAGATATAAATGACCATGATGATTAGTACACATTTTGTCCTTTTTGCTGTCCTAGGATCAGTCATAAAGTGTCCTCTTGTGGAATGTTGTTTCAGACTCAAGGGTGGTTATCCAGTAATGCTTCCAGAAGCCGCGCACTGTTCGTGATGGCTGTAGTGAGCACTATGAATCTGCAACCTTTCAAATGGACAATTTTATGTTAATCAAATATTCAATTTGTTCACCTACTAATATACTTATGCACATATAATACATGAATAATACTAATAAAATATAGGTATACTAATATATTAACATATATAATACTTACAATTAAGTAACTATAAAAAGACAAAAAAAAAATACATTCTGGAATATTATATTTCACCTCTTTCCTTGCCAAGGAACCGGAGTGCAGAGATCTCAGAGAAGGTGCAGCCACCAAGGAACATCACTAGAACGATCCGTTGAGCGTCAGTTTTGGTCCTGGCTTCCGAACTACTACTGCCACCTGAAACAAAAATGGGGAAAAGAGGGGTAAAAAGCAGGCTTGATAGGAGCATCAATTTCTAAGAAAAAAAATAAATTACTTCTAATCAAATCATTTTATAAGACACCTTCCCAATAAGTCTTAGGATTATTTATATTCAGTTATATTAAAATAATCTTAATTAAAATGTTAAATAAAAAAGATAAAAATTAAACTGACATATTTGACTAGATATACAAATCAGCTTAAACAGGTGGGCCTTTGACTCTTAAAACTTTATACAAACCTGTTACAGCAAACTCCTGTCCATTTAGCATACGGGAGACCTCCTCTAGACCAGTCCAACCATCTCTCTCCAACACCTGCGAGGAGCACAGTCCAGAAGCAAGCACTGTAAGTTGTTCAGCAAGAAAGAAAAAAATAATGGCTAACCAGTCAACGCCTTTTTGGAAAGCTAACCTGTTCGATAAGTTTGCAGCTCAGAGGAATATAAGCACCACTAAAAATATATGCCATGTCTCGTGGAACGCGAAGATCATATTCCTCCCCAGACTTTGGTACCTGTACACGTAGATCAGAATGATTATGATAATTTTATACATGCTTTTTTGTGTTCTTTTAGTAATTAAAAAACTGGACATATTTGCTAACCAGAGTCAGTTTTTTACTTAGAGCTCGAAAATTGCTCTTCTTAGCCAGTGAGGAGAAAGCATCTGTCAGCTTCCCTGGATAGAAAACATGTACTAAGTAACTATCCAGTGGATGTACAATATGTGCACGTTATAGTCAGTGTAATAAATATGAGAGCGAAAGTGGTCAAGATTCTCACCTGCAGTCCTGTCATTGACAAGTTTCCCTACTTTACTCTCCATGACTGTCAGTGTTTCTCCAGCTTGCTGTTCTTCCAGTAGACCCAGTTGCTTCAGGTTTGCAAACGTCAGCAGGTGCTCTATACCATAACTCTGAACAAGAGACAACACAGAGTAACAAAAAATAAACCACAATCTTAAAAACATCTTCAGTAATCTCATATGATTCACTTCTTACACATTCTTACTAAGATTACACAGAACACATTCTAATAAGTAAAAATATGGCTTTATAAAGGGTTATGTAAATGAAGTGTTCGCAAATGTACAATTTAAATTCATAACATACCTGAAGGTACTGAGCTTTAAGAGATCGATAGTCTTTGGACAGAAGGCCTGTTGGACAATTAAATGCAATATTTAAATGAAATTGTTGGAATAAACAACTTGAGCCATAAAACTTGCATACAAGAGTAAATCAGTCTCACCATTTTCTGTGATGGACAACAGGCAAAGGAGTCTAAGGCTTTCAATCATTGACACCTGATGGACAGAGTTTTTTCATTCCTTAAATCAAGCATCAATAATAGTGTTATTATACCAGGGCTTGACATTAACTTTTTTGCTCGCCAGTGTTGTAGAAATGTTAATAGTCATTGATCCCTAACAGATATCATAAGAGAGAGAACCTATTCAATGTGCAAAAATATATGTGTGCACGTGCTTGTGCGTGACGTTTCAGGAACATATGGGACAGGAACTCTGACCGTAGGGACAGCGTAACTCTGACTCTCGTGCACAGCGTAACTTCTGTGTAGTAGACTGAACCTATTCTTGTAAGAACAAATACTTCTCTTTTATTAATTTGAGTCTGAGTGTCTCTTACGCAGTGATGATATTTAACAGAATTTTTGCCACACCAGCCACTGTGGCTAATGGTTATTCTATTGACATCAATAACATGGGCAAAACTGCCATAGATATTTTTAATATTATCTCATAATGTGGCAGCAGGTTTGTTAGTACTGTCACTTTAAGATCTGACACACACATCCATTATACTGTTACAAATGCATTTTAATTCTCGACTGTTCACATTCACTTAAAACATGTGTGAATACTCGCCACATATGTTAACATTATGTTGTGTGTAGTTGACTGTTAAAGTGCAATAAGCAGCGAATACTAACTCAATACTGAGAGGCAGGTTTATGTGCGCACACTTTGGGTGTGAGAACAAATTACGTTGTGAAAACACAGTACGTGCAATCGCCCACCGTCATTCAAGCCCTGTGCGGGCAACAACATTCATCCGGAGCAAATTAATCAAGTGATCGAAGGGAGTGAACGGAGACGGGTTTGTTTGTAACTGGCTGTCTCAGAGATGAGAGAGTGAGAAAGCACAACTGCTATTGTGTATCTATTCGGCAGAAAATGAGTTTTTCAGTATTGATATTTATTGAAAAATATATATTTTTGTCAACACTACGTTTTTTTTTTTTATTTCAGATGCCTTTTTAAAAGACAATTGAAAAATTTGTATATCATATATAAAGTAAAAACCCGCCAAAGTGGCTAATAGAAGTGACTACATTAAACGACACTGCTGAAATATCCATCCTCATTTGGAGGGTTGGCGGGTGTTAATGTCAAGCCCTGTCGGTGTCTTTATTAAATAAATCTTTATTTTTATACCTGTCTGTTGATATGTTCTTCAATGCAGGTGATGCATTCACGGATCTCAAAACCTTCAAGTAAAGCTGGATATATGGAAATGGGTGAGGTTACAGTGTGATGGTGTAGATTTCTATGTAGATTTCTATGTATTTGATGAGCTCACATTTATCAAGACAACTTACAATGTTCTGTCTTCAACAATTCCTGGAAGTCTTGTTTTGTTTTCTTCTTCATCATCGATTCACTAGCACCGATATCTAGTGGAAGAACATGAAAGCACGACGTTCTTTTATTTATTGCTAAGAAACTGTTTTCAAGCAATGCTACTAACTAACAAGATTTGCTCTATTAAAGAGACCAGAGAAAATATTTAACTTTGATTAAAAAAATGCAGAAAAAAACACTCAGTTTTCAGTGTCACATGATCCTTCAGAAAACTGTGTAAATTGTTTCCAGGATTCTTTGATGAATAGGCCGTTCAAAAGAACAGCATTTGAAATAGAAATCTTTTGTAACTTTACTGCTACTTTCAGTCAATTTAATGCATCCTTGCTGAAATAAATATTAAACATTATTTTCTAAAAAAAAATCTCATTGAGCCCAAACTTAGCTTACAATAGTGTAACTTATACAATAGTGTATACAAAACTTACGAAGACTGAGAAGACGATGTTCCTGTTTCAGTCCTTTCAGTTCATCTGCAACAAACGCCTTCATCTGCTGGATGTCCATCCCACGCCGTTTCTGTTACCAATTTACACACATTTTTTGATAATCTTCACACTTAGAATATGCTCAAATGTATCCTGTTGTCTTTACACAAATGCGCTTTGAAACACAAGCCATCTGCAGTGGACACTTACATCATATGCTGTTTGAAGATTTTTGGCCTTCTGACTTAAAAAGCCAAACACATTAGAGAAATGCTCGTTCCTTATTTCATTGAACACCTGATGAATTAAAACAAGCAGGGTCATTGTTTAAAATAGCAGTTTCTAACCACTTTCAATTAAATAAAGCCTATATCACTCTTACTTTATCTTGAGAGTTAAGCATCACTTTTATACTCTTGTCAGAGGAAGTGACATCAGGCCCAAACTCCACACTACCTGGTAACAAAATAAAAAAAAAATGTCAGAACTAGCTGTTCAGCTGGTGATGTTTTCATTAAACATGTTTTGAAAAATTTCTTAGTATTAAGACACAAAGACTCTGTAATAAAAACAATGGTTACTTACCACATTTTATTCTGAAAATGTCATCTACTAATCCCTCATAAACAACTTGAGAGCAGAGAGGAGTAACAAAGTCCACATCTAAAACAGTACAATCCAGTGATCAGGATATAAGCTTTATTTTCAAGTTTCAAATAACTACAAGAATACGTCAAAAGGTACATTTATTTTCATTTTAAATAGCTGACCTCTGTCAATAAGAAAGACTTTAGCGAATTCAGGTTGCCTTGTTCTCTGTTCCCCCTCCTCCATTAGCTCCCTCCAGGATTCATACACCATCTACATAACAAGAGACATATAAAACGAAAGACTACCTTGATTTTCATCCACCAAAATCTCTTAATCTTTGAGGTTAAGGGTTTTGTCGCAAATCCTCACCTTGGCACATCTACCAATACCATAAATCTTTGAGAAGGAACCATAGACAGACTGTAAAAGATTTAGAGCACTTCCTCCAGTGGTCACCCAGCGCTGGTCTCCTTCCTGACAAATCACATACATTTCAATTATCACTCATCAAAAATTAGACTACTGGTCAAAAGTGTGGGTTAATAATTATTATTTTTAAAGAAATTAATACTTTTATTAATACTAAGTGACAGTGAGGACACTTATAATGTTACAAAATATGATGCTGATTTGAATTAATAGTGTTATTTTTGAATTCAACGTAAATCAATATGCCTTTAAGAATGATATCAAGTTAAAGGAGTAGTTCACTTTAAAAAAATTGCTGATAATTTACTCACCCCCATGTCTTCCAAGATGTCCATGTCTTTCTTTCTTCAGTCGAAAAGAAATTAAGGTTTTTGATGAAAACATTCCAGGATTTTTCTCCATTTAATCGACTTCAATGGGAACCAAACGGTTCAAGGTCCAAATGAGAGTTTCAGTGCAGCTTCAAAGGGCTTTAAACGACACCAGACGCTGTCATTTAAAAAAAAAAAAAGTTTAAGTTTTATAAGCACAAATGCTCGCCTTGCTCTGTTCTGTGATGAGCGTTTGTGACTCTCCTGTTCAAACAAATCTTTTTTCAAGTCATGACTCGAAGGGTCCTAGATAAGACCCTTATTCATCGTCTGGTGTCGTTTAAAGCCCTTTGAAGCTGCACTGAAACTCTCATTTGGACCTTGAAATGTTTAGTTCCCATTAAAGTGCATTATATGGAGAAAGTCCTTGAATGTTTTCATCAAAAACCTTAATTTCTTTTCGACTGAAGAAAGAAAGACGTGGACATCTTGGATGACATGGGAGTGAGTAAATTATCAGCAAAAGTCTTTTTAAAGAATCAAGAATACTTGTCATACTAGAAATCTCAAAAGAGATAAAAATTACATTACAAAAAAGGTACAAAAAATATTACAAAACAAAAGCTTTTCTTAGCTCTAATGATTTGTGCATAGCATCCAGAACAGCATTACCAGAAAGTTATCTCTGAAGAATTCAGGCAGCTCTAAACTCAGGATATCATCATCAAGAGGAAGAATATAGAAATTCCACTCATCGATTGTAACGTCTATTAAAAGAACAACATAGTTAATGTCTGTATTAGGTGATGCGTTAACAAAACTAGAACAATTAAGCACACTTAACCCACCTCCATAGACTCCCTGCTCCTCCAAAACTGTCTCACATGCATAAAACTGTAAATTTTATGATAACATTAGAATTGGACAACAAAATAAAGTATTTGCAAAATTTAACATAATTCTCAGATCGCTAGTTACCTTTTGTGGAGTAAATATGATCTTATATCTTCTGAATCTTCCAGCCGTCTTATCTGAATTGACTAACTCTGTAAACACAGTTAAGACAAACTATTAAACTATACTTCCTCCTGCTTTTATCAAATAGATTATGTATCACTATCGAACAGCAACACCAACCTGAAATCCACTTCACAGTTTTTATTCGAGGACGTATCAGGAAGCAAAGCCTGTAAAAAATATTGAATATTTATAAGGCACATAACCTAAACTTGTTGAGTTTATGCTCAAAACTCAAGCAGTGCTGCCAAAAAGACTATTTTAAAGCTATAGATAGAACCATCCATACCTACAACTTTCATTTGGCTATCGTATTTTAGAGACATTTTATTGATAGAAAGTACCATGGTCAATGGCACAAAGGACAAGACTATTCAGAGCTGGACAAAAATAATCTGGACGAGGATAATTTATTAGATAAACTGAGATTATGACAGACATACTACATGTTTTTTTTTTATATGTGGACAGTTTTCATCTGTCTGTATGTAGTTCATGTGAACACTGATATGTTCCTGGTATGGTAAATAAAATACAAATTTTGATCACAAAAAAGAACTAAAGTTTACTTACTGGTCTGAACTGCTGACAATTGGCTTGAGCTCAACTTTGTACAATTTGTCGACTTCATGTTGCTAAAAGGCAAAATCAAGCATAGACATGTTAGAATTATAAGGGTGCGACTACATATTTGTATATCAATAATATTTCAAGATGATATAAATTCGTTATTATAAGGTTCTATCTGACATTTTTGTCAAAATTGAGTTATTCACATTTTCTTATTCTGTGGCAATTTATTTACATTATGTGATGTGTTTTGTACATTTAGGGTCCCTGTTATTTTTTTGTTTGAAAGAAACATGTTGCCCATACACATTTTCCTATATGGAATGCAAAAACTTTGAAGCTCAATATCTCAAAACTGCTCAGAACGCAGATAGAACCTTATAATTCCAAGGGGACGAATTGCTAGTCGTTTAGAAATACAGAGTGCCATATTTTTCACCTAAAATTTCATACATGTTATCATACCTTCAAGATTGTGACATTTGCTATTCGATCAAGAGGGCTCATTAAATCTGCATCAATGAATAAATCCTTCTTCCCTGGCAACTGCGAAACATACAATAGAATTATTAAATGAAAAGTACTTTGCATTTAAAGAAAAGGTGGGTGGTGGCCATGTCACCTGTTCAAGCAGGAAGATGAGCTGGTCTCTGGCTAGTCTTTTGAGCAGAGAGAAATCAGGCAGCTCAGGAGCATCTCTCCTCTCTGTCTGTGCCATATGGAGAGATCCTACCACACTATACGCATCTGGATAAACCTGTCAAACATTTCAGCATAACATTAATGCCACTTAGATCTGTGGAGACTGAATTTTTAAGCTGATTTCCATCTAGCAGCTCAAACTGTCATTTATTTCCACAGTATAAACAGATCTGAACGTACAACCCCACATCCCAAGTTAGCCACAATAATACAATTTTTGTAGTAATCCAAATTCGTTTAATTAGCATGTAAAGTTATACAAAAGGCGGTGCATTCGTATAATACCTCGTCTACCTTTTCCCGGAAGTGGTTTTGCTATAATCTGACGCTCGCTTAGTGAAAGTCCGATTCATTTCCGCAAATCGATTCTTTCGAACAGCAAAACCAATTCAGTGATTCTTTTTTCCATCCCGTGGTCTTTTGGTGTGGCAGTGGCATGTGCTGAAACTTTACAATAAAACCATAAATGTAAGCACATATCGCTATTTACGTCGTTTTTGTAATAAATTACGATGTTTGTTGTACTTTTGTTCGATCTGGTCCAGTTGCAGCCATAATTCTTGTTATTTAGTCTACAAGTTGCAACCTTAATTTGTTTTTACAATGATCAATACACTTGTTGTTAAACGCACGTTTGCCGTTTTAAGGAATGACATCACTTATGTTTCATTTTTACGATGATACATTTATCACTTGGCTAAAAATATTTTTGCATGCTTTAAAAAAAGTTATTGTTGATAAAACTGTAATACAATAACATATTAAATGTTAATATATGTCAATTTTTTTTTCAAACACCTGTCAAATATTCGGTATACAAACAAATCATCAAGGAATTGCAAACCGGTGAACTGATTCATTGAAAAGATTTGATTCAAACAAACACGAATCGAATATTGCGATTCTTGTTTCAGTACGGACATCTTAGACTTGCGGACACAATACACCAGTAGCATATGACCAGTCGTCAATAAACAAACATCATAGGTGTGATGTAACATTGTCCACGGTTTTAAAACATACGTTACCTGTATATTCTGGCCAGTCTATTTTTAGACACAATAATCCGATTGTGCACTCTCTTATTCTTCTTTAAAGTAATTATGAGTTCGTCGGCTGCATTGCTGCTGGAAACGGTCAACTTCGCTGCAGAGAAACATCGTAATCAGCGCCGTAAGGATCCTGATGCCACACCATATATCAATCACCCTATAGGTACTATAAACTAGAGCACTTCACGTCAAATTATAAATTATCTGTCTCACTCCAAAGAAATGTGGTGCTCTTCTTATCTTTACAGGGGTTGCAAGGATTTTAAGTAATGAGGGTGGAATCACAGATATCGAAGTTTTACAAGTGAGTCAAATAAATATTTGTGGGTGACCTTACAGTTTGTGCTTCATCTATAAATATTATTATCCATAGAGCAATAACAAGAGGTTTGTTTCATGAGTCACACAATGATTTATTACAGAGGCTAATGGAATTTTGCAAATGCATTGATTTTATTGAACTGTACTTGTGATAGGCAGCATTGCTTCATGACACAGTAGAGGACACTGACACAACTTTTGAAGAGCTGGAGTCTGTGTTTGGAACCACAGTGGCAAGAATTGTCCAGGAGGTGACAGACGACAAGTCGCTGCCAAAAGAGGAAAGAAAACGCCTGCAAGTGGTGCATGCGCCACATCGCAGTCATCAGGCCAAGCTAGTTAAACTAGCTGACAAGTTGTATAATTTACGGGACCTCAATCGTTGCACTCCCACAAGTGAGATATTGAAACTGCTGCTCAGGAGATGTTCATACGCATGAGTATATTTACCACATGTAATTTTACAGTTAGTGTAAAAATGCTGCCTTGTATCTGTATCTTACAGGTTGGACGGCAGAAAGGGTTCAAGAATACTTTGTATGGGCATCTCAGGTGGCAAAAGGGCTTCGTGGCACCAATCCAGCACTTGAGGAAAAAATGCAGCAGCTGTTTTTGGAGAGAGGAGTGCAGTTCTGATGTGTTTTTGATGCAACTGATCATGGAATGCTCTTTAACCTAAAGGAGCAGTTCAGCAAAAATTATCTTTCTGTCACCATTACCTGCCCAGATGTTGCTCCAAACCTGTATGAGATTCTTGTCTATACAAAAGGAGACATTTCTTTTTGTGTTCCGCTTAGTAAAGTCATACAGAGTGAGAACAACATCCGGGTAGGTAAAGGATGACTGAATTACATTTTTTTTAAGATATCTGTCCCTTTAATGTAAAGATTGGGAGATGCAATGCATGCACAGTTATGCAATTCAATTAAAGTTTTGTTAAATGTGATAAATGTTGTGTATTATTTCAGAAATGTATCAATATGAATAATAAAATATCATATTTCTTTTCCCAAAAAAGTATCTAGGTAAACATATTGTTTAGTTTTCAGACAGTTACTGTTATAAATGTACAGTTATTGTTTCTACAATAAAACTGTACAAGAGTCGTTTGGACTTAGTACCTTTGGAATAAACCCCCACTGCGGATTTTAATTAAAAAATAATAATAACAAGATGATTAAACAGTCCTAAAAGCTTCTAACACTGTTCGAAGGAGAAATTAATTTGAGCAAGAGGAGAATATAATTACTGTATTATTTCAGAATAAAAACCAGCTGTAAATTGTAACTGGTTTCCATAGTAATTGTTCGGTAAAGAATACATAAAAGTTAATATCAATATGAATATGTATAAAAATTATATTTAAAAAAATGCATCAATTTTACCTGATTATTACTATGTATATGATAACTTATCAGAATAGGACAGGGGAAATTATGGGGAAAACAATAATGCGTCGTTAAAAAAGTGATTGAAGGTAGGAACTACTAAAAAGATCAGTGTTTCCGTGGGGGAACTTTGCGTCCGCCAGTTACCGTCATATTTCCGGGACGTCCATGTTAGTGGATAAAGAACTGTAAACAGGATTTTTTACGCAGACTTTCATCGACCGTGTATTCTTTAAGTGTAAAGGGACACACTTTAACTGTTCAAAATGTCAGGACCAAACGCATTAAATTCCAAGCAGCCACCGATTCAGTCGACGGCAGGAGCTGTGCCGATCCGCAATGAAAAAGGTATTTCTCGGAGAAACTGAGAAACAGTTAGCTTTGATCGCTTTGCTATTAGCATGTCATGTACGAAATCATTATAATGGAAATTTTTCTCTCAAACTTCAAAAAAACACTGTATTAGACTGGTTTGGATCGTGTCCCGTATTTTGACTATTTTCGTAGCCTTGTGCATGATGGTTGTGCTGGAACATGCTCTAAATGTTAACGTTACTCATGTCTGAGAGAAGATGAAGCGAAAAGCAAATAACATTTTTTTTTTTAAATAATTTGACACACAGCTTATGACAATATCACCATTGTTTTGCTTTTATTTAATTTCAGGTGAGCTTTCTATGGAGAAGGTGAAGGTGAAGCGATATGTGTCGGGTAAGCGTCCAGATTATGCCCCAATGGAGTCCTCAGATGAAGAAGAGGAGGATTTCCAGTTTGTTAAGAAAGGTAAAGAGGCTGAAGCAGAAATGGAAGTTGAAGAGGAGGAAAAATCTGATCCTCGTCTTCGACGTCTCTTGAATCGAGTCTCTGAAGACGTTGAAGAAAGGTATAGCTCATCTATTTGTGGAAAACAATTTATTCTCATATATTATTCTTGTACTGGGGACCAGTTGGTGGTAATGTGAAATGCACTCTTATGACTTCCACAGGCTTGCTAGACACAGGCAGATAGCAGAGCCAGAGCTGATTGTTCAAAGCAGCGAGGACTCGGATGAAGGAACCTGGCACCCTGAGCGAGAGGAGAGCAGCGAAGATGAAGAGGAGGAGGAAGTTGATGATGAAGTGGGTCACTTGAACAAAATATTTAGGAAAAGTAAAGACTTGAATATGTATTAAATGAGTTTACAAATAAGTGGTGTTATTTCTTCTGTATAGGAAATTGAGAGGAGGAGAGCTATGATGCGTCAACGTGCACAAGAGAAGAAGAACGAGGAAATGGAGATCATGGAGGTGGAGGAGGAGGGGAAATCCGGTGAGGAGTCTGAATCAGAGTCGGAGTATGAGGAATACACAGACAGTGAGGACGAAGCGGAGCCTCGGTTGAAACCGGTATTCATTCGCAAGTGAGTTTCTTAATATAAATGAATGTTAAAAAGGACGTATTATGCTTTTTTTTTTTACTTATTCAATATGTGTATTGTTGCCATTTGAGCTTGAAAAAGGTCTGCAAAGATACAAAGCACAATTTCACCTCCAAAAGAAGTTATTCATTAAGTCAGTACGCTCTGTTTCTGTACTCCCTGAAATGCCTTGATTTTAGTCTAGAGTTTTCGAGTACATCATAATAATCCTCATTTAAGTAATACATGCCCAAGGCATACGGATAAAAAGGGGATGAGTCCTGGAAATGTACGGTTATGATAAGGGGTGTGACACGTTGTTCTTATTGTAAGGTGGGGCTTCATAGAGACAGGAACTAGACGGAGCGTTACTGACAGACTGGGAAGAGAGGAGCTGCAATAATGTTAAAGTTTTTGGAACAATCAAGCACAAAACCTATGCTTGTAGACCCCAGAAGCAAAATCAAGATTTCGAAAAAGGGCACAATATGCCCCAATATACTCACAGCAAAGTTATTTTTTTGTTCTTTGTTTAGGGGTAAAACAAAGTTCGAAATACGTGAGCAGAAATATACTGATATGGAACTGTATTTTGCTGAGAGCGGCGTTTATGTGAATATGTAAATATGTGCTGCGTGCTTTCCTCTCAATAACAAAATAAACGCACAAGAAAATGTAAAAGTGTATAAGAAAAGCAGATGATTAAAGCAATGTGAATGTTTGCACAAGCTCTGCAATTTAGCACTCTAGTAAAGTCACGTTTATTTGTATAGCACTTTATACAATAGATTAGATTGCTTTACAATATTAAACAGTGTCAGTGTTTCGTTTCGTTCATTGTCTATAAAGTATTCAGTTTGTTCACTCGCAAACCGTAGGGAAAAATTAACTGGAAAAGATTTTCACTTGAAAGAAGACGGAGCCTCCACACACACCTATCTATTACGTAATCGCAACGGACCGATAGTAGTACAAAAGTGTTTTCGAACTCCAAACGAAGTTTGTTTTTGCCTGATTTTGTTCGAAATGACATCACACCAGTTCGTTCTTCGATTTGCACTTGAAGAATATTGGGGCTTTTAAGTCTGTTTATTCAGCAAACAGGCAGCTGTTTCATTACATGCTTTACAGTGCCGGTGAATGTTATTTTAATCTTGTGAGATTAATATAAGGCTCTTAATCCATACATTATATATATAATCCTTATATATTAATGTAAGGCACTAGAGATTAATATAAGGCTAGACAGTTGACAGCTGACCCTTGAAAATTTAAAATATGAAGCAAAACTATAATATTATTTACACAACACTGATAGATACTCAAATTGTTCATCAATGTGACATTTCAGGAAGGACAGGGTGACAGTCGCAGAACGAGAAGCAGAGGAGCAGAAACAGAAAGAACTGGAAATCGAAGCCAAAAAACAAGTTGAAGAGAGACGCCGCTACACACTGAAGATTGTCGAGGAAGAGGCCAAGAAAGAGTTTGAGGAGAACAAACGTACGCTGGCTGCTCTTGATGCCCTGGACACAGATGGAGAAAATGAAGAGGAGGAATATGAGGCCTGGAAAGTGAGAGAACTGAAGCGTATTAAGAGGGACAGAGAATGCAGAGAAGCGTGAGTACTCATCATTTTCACAACAAAAACATTACATTATTTTTAGAAAGTAAGTCATTAAAAATTTGGCATGGCATTTCTTTAAATTACAGAATGGAGAGAGAGAAAGCAGAAATCGAGAGGTTTCACAATCTTACCGAGGAAGAGCGCAGAGCAGAACTGCGCACAAATGGAAAAGTTGTCACCAACAAAGCATCAAAGGGCAAATACAAGTTTCTGCAGAAGTATTATCACAGAGGAGCTTTCTTCATGGTGAGTGATATACGCAGATCATCATTAGTAGATTACCATCATTTTTTGTTTAGTCTGATATACATTTAATCTTTTCTGCAGGATGAAGAGCAAGATGTCTTCAGGAGAGACTTTAGTGCTCCAACTCTTGAGGACCATTTCAACAAAACAATCTTACCCAAAGTCATGCAGGTCAGTGCCATGTATTTGAATATACCATAATACTGGTTTAGAAATAAATGTAATTCTGAAGCTGTATAGTTTATTCCTCAGATCAGTTATTTTTGGTGTTGGGTTAGTTTTCCAAAGGTAGCAATGTTAAATACTTAAAATCAGATTTTGGAAATGAGCACTACTGCCAATCAGAGGTGAGATTATGAGATCCGAAGTAGCGGCAAACCTTTTCTGATGTATTCTGACATACATCTGAGTGAAAAGGATATTCGTAAAGGAAAAAACTGTTCATTTCCTTGGTTGTTGATTGGATGGAGGCAGATTGAAATGCGAGTTTGTGGTCAGTTGTATATATATAAAAAAGAGGTGGTTAAAGTAGACTAAATCATGTGGGATAATGTCTGTTCAATTTAGTAGTTAGCAGTTAAATATAGGACCTTCTAGCAAATCTGCTTTGTCACATTTTGGGACCATAACTTTAGTAGTCTAGCATCCATGTTTATACTAATATAACTGATTATTCAATATACTTTGTAGGTCAAAAACTTTGGACGTTCTGGACGCACCAAATACACGCATCTGGTGGATCAGGACACCACTTCATTTGATTCTGCCTGGGCTCAGGAGAGCGCTCAGAACAGCAAGTTCTTCAAACAGAAGGCAGGGGGCGTGAGGGACGTGTTCGATCGGCCGACAGTGCATAAGAGGAAGACATAATCCTGTTATTTATGCTAGAAGAGCAAATTCAGCTCAAACAAGGACTCTTTCAAATTCCCTACCCACATCACCCTTATTTTACATGCAAGTGTTGGAGAAAGCTCATAAATCCATTAAATCTTTATTGCATTTATATTGTACATCTAGATGTTTCATGTGTACAGAATCTGGACTCTTTAGTTTCTTTGTTTCTAATGGAAAAAAATGTACTTTGTTTTATGGTAATAAATTACTATGACACTGATCTCCAGGTTTTCTTAAGTCTTAAATCAGATTTGAAATATTTAAGGCCATACAAAGTATTATTTTTACTTTTGAGAGGACTTAAATTTCGGATGACACTTTGACTTCGTCATATCTGAATGTTTTTTTTTGTTTTTTTTACTTGGCGTGCATCTTGTTCACGTGACAATTCGCCTCATTTACAGCACTGTCTACGCAACAGGAGGAGAGAAGGAGAAAAGGGGAAATGTCAGTTGAGTTGTGAGCTCATGTGCTGGGGGGTTTGCAATATGTATTGTCTGTGATGATATTGTAATGATTGTTTTAACGATGTTCGAGTCACTGTGAGGCGAGCCGAATTTGTCACTTGTGCTTTCACTGTGTGATTGTGTGCAGTTGTAGGTAAGTCTCCGAATTAATTTTTGTGTTATTTATTTCGTATTATGTATTACAATATCACGAGCAAGAGTGCCGTTGTCCCCAGCACAATTGCAAATGTGATTTTTAATTATTGTACTACAGTTAAATGACCAATAAGTTAAAATTGTTACATTTTAGACTCAATATTGTTTGTTCCTTTATTCGTCGACAAAAAATTCAAAATGAAACCGTAGCAGAACCTTGCAAATAACAGCGATGTCTTTTTTGTTTGTTTTTTGAATGAATTCGCGTTTTGAACAAATCAGTTTAATCAATAATGCCATAGACATCATAGGCACGGACGAGAATTGGAGCCGCCATCTTAAACCGGTCATCCGCTCCGCTCAGTGTATTCTGAATGGCAGGTGAAATGAGCTGTCAGCGCATTAAATTAATCATATCTCACTGAATACTGAACTGATTTTCACGCGTTTTTTTTTTTTTTTTTTTGCTGCAAAGGTCATTCATGTAGCTATGATACAGGACACATGGTTCGGCGTATTTTAATATCCATTGTAGGTTAACAGTAATATAATATTCTGATATAAGATATAAAGTGACCAGACACAATATATGTGATGAAGGATATAGTGTATTTTATAAATCACACACTATAAATATAATAAAGAAGTAGAAACAGATACTAGCAGTAAAGTAAGATATTTTAATAAGTTGAAGAAACAGTTTATGATTGACACACGCACATACACACACTCTCTTTCTCGCTGTCTCTCTCACTCTCTCTCTCTATCTCTCTCTCTCACACACAAAAATTAAATTCGGACAACATTAAGGCTATACCTTATTTTATTGTATGTGGATGTAGGAGGGGAAAATGTCGAGACTAAAGCCATATTCGGATTAACTTTACAAGGGTAGATGGAGTAATGTAATTAATGTAATTTTACCACAGGACTTCTGTAATATCAATAGCCAAATCGCATGTGGTAGGTTATCAATAAAACTAAAAGTTGGAGAGGTAACTCAATTTGCGCATCGCTGTCATGCGTGTATATGGGTCTTTATGCACGGCGTTATTTCCGGTGAAGGATTAAGGATGCTCGATAACTTCCGCCGATCATAGAGTCCAATGCAATACCGAGAGTTTATATTGAATTTTATACTCCATGGTTATACTAATGAAACGTTAGTCACAAAAACAGATAAAACAGACACCCCTCGTTGTGTTTATGCTTCTTTTAAAAATTATATTAAATAAACATAACTATATATAAAATTACATCTAAACGTATGTACGTTTCGTTTCAAAGACGGGAGGACAGTAAATATTGAAGACTCTGCCATAATCCCGTTTTCTCCGGTTTTCCTCCGCTTTAATCTACACAACCGGAAATGGACGAGCATCCTTACGTCAAATGCGGAACTTATGCGTGCATATAGCCCATTACTTTGAATTCCTCTTAACATCCTTATTATTTTTCCTCTTTCATTTACTATGTATGTATGTATGTATGTTTCTTTTTGTTGTTGTTATCACTTTTTTTTTTTTTGTATTTGTTTTGTTTTTGTTTTTTTCTTGCTTCTGTTTTTGGTATGGTTTTGTCTGTACAAACGCTTGATTGTATATTGATGTTCTTCTTGTTTGTACTAGTTATTGTTATCAATAAAAAATAAAAAAAAATAGCCCATTACTTTGCTTCCTGATTTTTTTTTTTTTTTTTTAAATATTTATTTTGCATTTCAATGAACATACAGAATCAATGCCATGGGGTAAATACAATTGAGAATACAATTACATGTTATAAAGCCAGGAGAGTAACATGTAACTGACACAATGAGAAAGTTTTAAGAGCTTTGGAGTTGCTGGATGTACTGAGAGTTTCTAGGTAGGATTTAAGTTCTTTACAAAAAATAAAAAAGTAGGGCTTAGCACCTTGAAATTTACATTTGTGTAAAAAAAATTTTGCAAGGAAAATAAAAAGGTTTATCAAAAAATATTGGTCCTTTACATCTTTCCCAAAGTTGTGCAGACCAAGTAGAACATCTTTGTATGACAAAGAAAAACTCGGTAATGAAAATGAGCGAACAAAGATACAGAAATCCTTCCAGAACAGACTTGTATATGTGCATTCCCAGAAGAGATGGGAAATAGATTCTTTGTCTTCTAAATATTTAATAACCAATAAGGTTAAGGAGGTGTCTTACAAATTACTTCATCTTTTTTATCCTGTGAAGCTTTATTTGAAAAAAATGTTTCCTGACATTGACACTTTATGTTCTTTTTGTGATACGTTGCTTCCTGATGTGCGCAAACACAATTTCCCACATGACGTCACAACATACGGGCATTTGCCGATCCGGCGCCATTGCTGAGGGCAAAACATTAGAAGAAGCAATACGACTTGAACGAAGTGAAATGAGTTTCGTGCTATTAAGTGAAAATGGTCATCTCCTGCTGGGTCAATGGATGATAAAATCGTGCCGGAGGTTCAGTTAAATCGGGATTTTACACTATACCCGTCATTAGACTCCGTATGGATGAAGCTTTTGTCCGAACAACGACGGAGATTATGGCTGGCGAGCATAAACAGGAAAGAAACTCACTCAAAACACGCAAGAATTTGTTTGACAAAAGCACAATGTTGTGTTTTATTGCTAGTGTAAACAAATATAAGTTTACACATTGCAGTTTGAATAATGTCCAAATGACGAGGTATTAAAAACATACAAAACAACATTGTTTCCACTGTTTGATCTCACATTCCAGCATTGCAATCTCAGATTATGTCCCTAAAGATCCCGCGTATAATGTAGTTCCGCATTACATTAATTAAATTGCACGCAAGTTATTTATTTTTATATTCATGCACCGAACCATGACGCCCGCAAGTACATGCATATTACAGAAAGCACCGGTGACTGTTTTAAGGGGAACATGGGAATTAACTTGTGCAGGCTATGGCTTTTTAATAGACAGATTAGCATCATGCTACTTCGCTATGATGACTAAGTTACTTTTCCATCGATTGCACTTAAGCAAACGTCACCAAACCAACCCCACGTCAATCTGATCGTACACCTCCAGTGTTTTCCAGGCTCAGAATTGCTTACATGTGTAAAAACTCCTCACCAATACCAGATAATGGTACACATGAAAATACTGTATCTGAGGCAAAGTTGCATAATCAGTGCTCAGTGCTTCCTTCGTTACTGCATACGGATCCACACCATTTATAAATGAAATTTTTGCATTGTAGCTCTCTCTGTCTTCATGATTTGCATAACAATATAAACAGAAATAAATATTTGTTTGTAAAACGACCTTCTCTGATAAAACTTTGTAAACGCCTATGGTAAACAGCGGTTTTGCCCTCAAAGATGGCGTCTCCGGGGAGGTCACGTGACATTAATTCGCCTGTGGGAACTATGTATACAACAGGGCAGTTGAATGCTTATCTGACAACCTAGAAGCTTTTGTAATTATTACTTTAACAGTTACCCCACCTCTCCATGCCGGGTGAACACCGGCTGATGCAGTAAACAGCATTTCACAACGATTTCAGTAATAGCAAAATATCCTTGCTCCTTCTCGATTATCTGGTAATATTCTATTCACAAAATACAACCAATAGTACGGTAATGATAAGACTTACTTGTAAAAAGCCCTATTTTTGGTGGTCCGGCGATTAGAACAGGAAAATGCTCCACAGTGCTCTGGCATCTTATCTGCTGCCACGCAACGAAACTAGGAATACGACCGGTTCAAGATGGCGGCCGGATTTCTCGTTTTCCAGCGGCCAATAGGGTTTCTAGTCTCTATATGATATCTATGAATAATGCAATGGCCCTTGATTCTTTCCCGAATGAACCAGCCGTTTGAACAAATCGACTCCAATAGTGACTTGATGCCACTTACTGGCGATTTTAGTTTCATAATTAAAATACCCTTAAATTGAAAAGTTAAAATTAGAAATAATTTCATTTTTAAATATTGAATATAAAAAATAAATCATAGCATTATACAATTGTTAATGCCGTGTAGTGTGTACATATTAATGTCACTTCTGATGCATTGCAAACATGGAATTTGTTGATAATTATTTAAATTGACTGGTAACCCTATACTGTTATTGTTCTAATATAATTTAATCTGAATGTTAGAATTTGACTTAAAAGGTGATGCATGCATTTAATACATACAAAAAATGCACTTATATAGATAAAAATGCCCCTGGAAATAAATTTAAGGTGGCAAATATTGGCCCTTAATAAAAATGTTAATTTCTGTCACTGCTGTAAACTGACCAGTGCATAGAATATGGATAATATGAATATCTTTGTGAATCGGCTGTCATCAACACCAGTACAATTTTTTTTTTTTTTTCAGGTCTTAAAGCCTTAAATGTGACTTTAAAAAGTGTAAAGCAACCATGATCTCATTGGTTCATCTGGAATGCATTATTAAAAAGGAGGCTGGAGCTTCTATGAAATGAAAAGAGGCGAGTTGTACTGTTTAAGACTGTTAAAAAAGGTTGCTTTATTAGAGACTAAATACAGTGTGAAAAGGGTTGATCATGAGCAGGAATGAAGCAGTCCAATGTGTCCATACATCTCAAAGCTGTCTCATCCACTCAATTGGTCAGAGCAATCAAAGCCTCCACCACATTTCCCATGTGTTCTCTCAGACTGCGCTCTGCCACTGATCTGGGAATCTCCATCTCTCCCATCTGTCAGGATGACATTATCGTGTTTCTTCATTTCCATGTTAAAATAAACAGGTTTGTGAATCTCGCATAGTAAGACACTTCTGTATACTTACAATGAGCTCCACATCTTCCTTCTTTATTGTTACCTTGGCCAGTTCTTTTTCTCTGTGGAAGTGATAGAAAGGAGTATTGTTGTGGCGGTCATTTATTAACTTTTGTTGCTAAAATATTTATTTTATTGTTGAAACAAGATGATGAGTGATCAAAATTTCCCACCTTTCCTGTTTCGCCTTTTGCTCTCTGGATCTTCTGTCTCCAATCACAGACATGGCCTTTAAAAACGCAAGTCAAATAAGCATTAAAATACATAACATAACTCATTTATTCTTCATATTACTTAAGATTACTGAGCATCTATTTTAAGGAACACATGAATGCTTTAATGATCATTTTAAAAGGGTAGTCTCACTTGGTAGCACACTAACTATGCCGGTAGAGCAGCAGTAACTGCTGAAAATGACAATATTAAAACTTTATCATGATTTTGTGATTACAGAGGATGCACCATAATGATATGGGTGTTAATAATAGAGAAATCTACTGTCCACTCATGCCGCACATGGTTATTCAGCTAGCCAGGTTATCTTCATTCGCTGCTGATAACTTACTTTTGTCAACTCACCGTTTCCAAATTCGAGCTGGATATTTCTTTTTCCTCCGCATAGTCGGTAACCCTTTCCAAATCAGCAGCTCCACTATCATGTTTTCGGGGCTTTTCTGTTGGTTTTCCCGTGCAGTTCTCATCAGCTTCCAGGTCCAAATCCACATCTCCCTCGGCCGCCATGTTTGCTTCTACACGCAGCCGGAACACAAAACAGTTATGAAACCACCCGGACTGAGATTCATGTAACACGTGTGCGTGTGTGTGTAATAATTATAATAACAAAGTTGAAATACTCTCTAAACCTGTGTGTTTGTGTAATATAATAATTATAATAACAAAGTTGAAATAATTGTGTGTTTGTGTAATATTATAATTATAATAACAAAGTAAAAATATAGAGATACTCTTATAACTGCAAATCTCTACATTAGGCTAGTTTATTAACAAGATAGGAGAAATCTTTTTTAAAATCAACAGCGAAACAATTTCTTAGTTTGTTTTTGTTTTTTTGTTTTTTACAATATGAAAGTCCTCAAGTAGCCTATGCTGGACTCTTGTTGGCTGCTTTTCCCTCAATCTTTTAAAGTCACTGAAATCAAAATTTCCGTTTTATCGAATCTTGCAATCTTGAATCTTCATCTTATTATGAATTCATCTGCATGCATCTAATACAAAAAATGCCCTTATATAGATACAAATGCCCCTGTAAATAAATTTAAGGTGGCAAATATTGGCCCTTAGTAAAAATGTTAATTTCTGTCAACGCTGTAAACTGACCAGCGCATAGAATATGAATAATATGAAAATCTTTGTGAGTCAGCTGTCAACACCAGTACTTAAACACTCAACAAAACCTTGGAAATATCACAATATAATATTTATTTATTTATTTATTTATTTGTCAATATTGCACACCCCTAATGTACAGTATTAATTTTTCGGGTCTTAAAAAGTCTTCAATTTGAATTTAAAAAGTGTAAAGCAACCATGATCTCATTGGTTCATCTGGAATGCATTATTAAAAAGGATGCTGGAGCTTGTAAGAAATGAAAAGAGGTGAGTTGTACCGATTAAGACTGTTTAAAAAAGGTTGCTTTATTAGAGACTAAATACAGTGTGAAAAGGGTTGATCATGAGCAGGAAGGAAGCAGACCAATGTGTTGGTCTCATCCACTCAATTGGTCAGAGCAATCAAAGCCTATACTGTGTGTTTGTGTAATATAATAATTATAATAACAAAATAGAAATACTCTCTAAAACTGTGTGTTTGTGTAATATAATAATTATAATAACAAAGTAGAAATATAGAAATACTCTCTATAACTGTAAATCTCTGTGAAGTTTTAGCTCACAATACCCCACAGACATTTTTATATAACATGTTAAAGTTTTCACTTTTTGAGGGTGAGCAGAACATGGTTTTTGTGTCTGTCCCTTTAAATGGAAATGAGCTGCTGGCACAGAGGGCAGAGCTTCAAGAGCTTGTGTTTTAGCAGCTCCGATTACCTCACACACGCACTGAAAATTTCAAAACTTTTATGTTCAAACCTTTTTACAGTTTATGGTTCAAACAAAAGATGGAGAGACTCAAGACAACATGTAGACAACATTTCTGAATGGTTAGTTGATGAATTTATGTACAGTAGCTTATGTGTAGTTATAGTCTGGTCATTGATTATATTCTGTCTTGATAATCTATAAATCTTGTTCCGGGGGTAAGGTTTGTGTAAATTTTTGGGTTAGTGATCTGTTTGTTGTAGTCCTTAAAAAGCGATTTCTGTAAAATAAAATATCTTCCTTTGCTTTGAACTTTTGAAACGGACTAAAGTTAGAAAAGTGAAATCATAATCAACCACCCTTTTAATAAAAAAACTTCCCCTCCCACTTGCAGTCTTCTCTGGTGATATGTTTACGGGCGCGAGGGCGGGACAACCATGTCACTCACATGAGCAATAGACCTTATTCAGAGCAGCGCCATAGGTATGAAAGTGAGGCTATGAGGGAGACTTGCCGTGTTTTCAATGTCATCTGCTGTAAAAAGATTCATAAGCTCCTAGATCACTTATGAAATTTTGTACAACAATTCAGAAACACTTTAAATAACAGTACAACCCACAGCCTCGCTTTCATTCCTGAAAAAAAAATCAAACATGGTGCTGCTGTGAATACGGTCCATAAATCCAATCAATTCTGATCCAACAATCCAATCCATTCCCGGTGGGGGAAACAAAATCCTTTCTTGTTTGGGATATGTTACAATAGAGACAAAAAGACTTGCATCTTCCGTTTTGTGCAGATTTTAAGCATTAGGATTTCATTTATATTAAACGTTTCATGAGAAAAATTCAACCTTTGACTAGTAGGCACAATGTTGAGCTTTTTTAGAGTGAGAAAATTAAAAGTTTTTCTTTTCTCTGATAAAAATTATACTGATTTTTGTATTATTATTATTACAGTCACTCGCAAGGCTGAAGATGATTATGGGTATGAGATGCCATAAAATAGTAGGCAATATTAGTTCCCAAATTGTAAGCATTCAGACTTCAGTTCTGACATAAAACCATGCACACAAATAAACAGCCTCGCTTAAAAACAGACGAATGTTGTTTATGTCCCAAAGCTTTCACCACACTATTTTTGTCCCTTAATAGGTTTACCAGTGACAAATACTTAAAGCAACACTGTTACTACGAGCCTTTCTCATCCACCTGGGTTTTTCACCTCCTCAACTCATAATCAGCTTAACAAAAAGGATCCCTTTTCAGAGCACACCTACTCTTCTCTTCTGCGATTCACTGTTATGTTTGCAATCTTTGAGGAATGTTACAAAGGTTTCATAGGAAGCCTTTCCCCATCATTACCAGTCTATTTATTCTACTGTACGATTGATCTCTGACAGCCACTGGACTTGGAGATTTCCGCTGATAGCCGGATCAAGTGTGGGAAGTGATGCGTTGTCGCTGTTGCTGGGCACAAGTAAGCTTTCCTGCATGTGATGGTAGTAGCACTGTGTGAGCTTTAGCATTTAGAGATTGACCTAAAATCTAGCTTGATTTTATCATTTAGTAGGGCAGCACACTTCAGTGTGGATCAGATTGAGCTGTGGCTGTCAAATTAGTGAACAGAGGACATGTTTTTTGGAAAGTGTTCACTCTGTTACAGTGTCTATGATGACAAAATTTGAAATTAATAATTACCTGAGCCCCTTTTGACTTAGCCACAAACAATAATGCTCTATGGGTTTTTTTTTTTTGGTGTGTTTTTTTTTTTTCGCACATTCATTCTGTATATTATTTGTTGTTTATTATTATGAATTTTTTCTGGATCACTTCTGTTCCATCAGACGATGTTTTTCAGATGTGCTAAAACATGAAACACAAAGTAAAGGTATAATAGTGATTAACCCTGAAAACATGGAACTCTCTCAGAACTTTGGCTAACATTCTGGCAAGGTTATGAACAAATGTTCCTCCAATAATGTTAATAGAACGTTTGTTCAGAGTTATCTGAGCTGTAATATAGTTCTCTGTAATAATATCTGACCGGTAATGTAAGCACAAAAACATTATTCATGCATCATTAATGGAACGTTTTTTTCTGTAAAAATGTAGTGTTGGATGTTTGTCTAACATTTTTAGTTTCACAATGTTGTTAGACCATTAAGAAGTCACATTCCCAAAATTATAAAATGGAATGTTTGTGTTCCTCCAACATTCGCATAACCAAGAAAAAAGTTTTTGAAACAGATATGAATATGATGAAACATGAAACACAAAGTAAAGGTAGGCTATACACTCACCTAAAGCGTTATTATGAACACCTGTTCAATTTCTTATTAATGCAATTATCTAATCAACCAATCACATGGCAGTTTCTTCAATGCATTTAGGGGTGTGGTCCTGGTCAATACAATCTCCTGAACTCCAAACTGAATGTCAGAATGGGAAAGAAAGGTGATTTTGAGTGTGGCATGGTTGTATTGCACAATCTGCTCAGTTACTGGGATTTTCACACACAACCATTTCTAGGGTTTACAAAGAATGGTGTGAAAAGGGAAAAACATCAAGTATGCGGCAGTCCTGTGGGCGACAATGCCTTGTTGATGCTAGAGGTCAGAGCCACTAATTAACATTCTGCTCGTTACAACCGAGGTATGCAGCAAAGCATTTGTGAAGCCACAACACGCACAACCTTGAGGCGGATGGGCTACAACAGTAGAAGACCCCACCGGGTACCACTCATCTCCACTACAAATAGGAAAAAGAGGCTATAATTTGCAAGAGCTCACCAAAATTGGACAGTTGAAGACTGGAAAAATGTTTCCTGGTCTGATGAGCCTCGATTTCTGTTGAGACATTCAGATGGTAGAGTCAGAATTTGGCGTAAACAGAATGAGAACATGGATCCATCATGCTTGTTACCACTGTCGGTGGTGGTGTAATGGTGTGGGGGATGTTTTTTTGGCACAATTTAGGCCCCTTAGTGCCAATTGGGCATAATAAAGGGGTGATGAACTGAAAAATCAAATTTTCCTTGAGCTTTTTGCATCTAAAAGGTCATCATATTATAAGAATATCCTGTAAGTTTCAGAACTGAAACTGCGATTAATTGATTTATTTACTATCGCGGCAGGCCTAATCCAGATTAATGCTGGCAAGCTACCAGCTGTTAGCCACTTAGCTAGCCAAAAACTCACTACCTAGTCAGAGCAAACTATACCACCAAAACCCTACCCAATATTTCCCATGATTAAATATAAATCCTTGGTGGCCAGGTGCCGCAATTTTACATCGTTTACCCATCCAGTCACAGCATATTGCAATGCATCTGTACTTTTGAAAGCCTTCAAGCCATCCGCACTGTATGGGGAGGGGTTATGCACAAGATAAATATATATACATCATGGAAGGCAAATTGAAGCAAATCTGGGGCAAATAATACAGGACAAAAGAAAACTGGGTGTAACAAATAAGGATCAATTTTATCCATGTATCTCTGTCTTTCTCTCTCACTCAAATGGGCAGTTTGGGCGGCCATACTAGGTGAGATTGGTCGTTAATATGGCGTGTTCTATTTCTAGTGACGTAGGTGGCATCTATGAATTAGTATGGTGTTCCTAATAATCCTTTAGGTGAGTGTGACATTAACCCTCCAAACATTCTAATGTTCTGGAAAGGTTCTATCAAAGTAGAACAACACCTAATGTGTGTATTTGTGGATGATTGTTTTCCATCATTTCTTCTAAAGCCCATTAAATAACATAGATCAGATGTTTCTCATGGAGCTTGCTGAGTGATTTGTATTGTACGTTGGGCTTTTGTTCGAACAGTGTGCTAGTGTCCTTCTCTCACACAAGGCCCCCAATTATGGAGTGAAAAGACCTCCAGTCATTCTGGGTGTTTCACTCTGAGGGACAGATTACAGCTTCATTGAATACACTGTATACTTTAAAAGACTCTAATTGGTTTAGAAAAGTTCATGGCTGTGTCATTTAGCTGACTAAGGATTAAAGCTGCTAAATTAAACTGTCAGTTCCTAGTAACACATTTGTTGTTATGCTCCTATTCACAGAACAAATAACACTGATTTATAAAGCAGAATGTTAGTTACAAAAAGTAATATCTGATTCTCTCATATTTCATAGATATTTTCTTTTTCTTAAGAGAGATTAATACAATGCCCGTGCAGTAATGTGCTGTCACTCTGATAGCTGCATGCCATGAACATTGTTACATAATGAAATTGTCCCAGACAATGTTTCGGCCACATGACCCTGTGGAACTGTCAATACTTTGAAATGTTCTCTCTAGACTGGAATAGTACAGTACCAGTACAGTACAATAGTCTGTTCTGAGAGAAGTACTTTCACAACAGTAAACTCAAACACTGTTTTTCAGCGAGTTGTATGTTTGCGCTTTTTGAGTTGTATGTTTGTGTTGTATGTTTGAGGCCAAGATGTCAAAGAAAAACCTAAAATGTTTTATAAATCTTTAAATATTTTTTGATTTTTTTGCCATTTATTATGATAGGACAGTTAGTTGACAAGAAGCGAAGTTGGAAAGAGAGAGGGGGACAGAATCGTGAAAGGTCCAGGGACCTCGGGATCCCCGAAGCAACTGCGCTATATGTGGGCGTGCTGCCCACGGGGCTATTGGTCCTGACCAAATAACGTTTTTGCTAACCCTTTGAGAACATTAGACCAGATAACTATGAACAATCATTGTATTAACATTACTGGAAAAAAAATTGTTAATTCATAACTTTGAGGGAACTTTAGCTAAAGAGACAGAATGTTAGCCAATGTTCCTTGTTAGCTTGGTTGACATTAGTACCACATTTGAAGTTAGCAACAGCAGAAAGGGACAGTTCACCCAAAAATATAAATTCTGTCATCATTTACATGCTCTTATGCCCATTGCACATCTGTAAGACGTTCTTTTGACTGCAGGACAAAAAAGAAGATATTTTGGGGGAAAACTGTCCACACATGGGGTCCAATGCGTCGCAGCTACATCTTCTTTTGTGTTCCACAGAAATAAATAAGAGTAATGCAGGTTTGGAACGACATGAGGGAGAGTAAACGATGACAGACTTGTGTGAACTGTCCCTTCAAGCGGGATTTCTGAATCAAAACCGCAACTGATTTTACCATATGTGCGATGTCAAGTTTGTACATGATGCTGAAGGCTGATGAGTTTTAAGTGTTTGTCAGACCCTGCTGTCTGGATTAGTGTGTCACTCTACTGGAGAGAGAAGGTCATCCAGGCTGAGACGAGGACTAAAAACTCAGGATAATCCCAGCACACATACACACTGACCCAAATATAGATCTACCGGGGCTCTGCACGCTAGAAACTCATAACACACACCATAGAAATGAGACACGTATGATGATGTCCGCTTCGTTATAATCATTCTCTTCAACTGAGAAAACTTGTCTCGTATTGTGCAAACTTATTATGTGAAGTTTGCCAGTGTTTGAATGTTAAAGTGTACCCCCATTTCACATTGAGACTGTGGGCAATGTACGCAAAAGAATGCGGGATTGGACCTGAGCCGATCTTCCTGTGCATTCTTCTAAACACCCAATTCATTTGCCTCCCTCTGTTTCTGGGTCGATGACCAGATTACATATGCGGTCTCTATAAAATCAGACAAGTGAGTATTTGCTAAGGTGCCACTTAGCCAGAAAAGGGGGGTCTAAAGGTATGTCAACTTTGCGAGAGAAATCACAAAATCGCAAGTAATTACATTATTCTGCCCTAAACCGATTAGAACCCTTGGGAAATCCTATTGTACGTGAGGGTGCTCTGGAGCCGGTGCACTGGAGCGAGGGCCTGGGGGAAGGGAGGGACAGATGGAACCTGCCCCCTCCTCCCGCTGCTCTTGTTGACTAATCTCACTGGGTGAGTACAGGCGACTGGAGGGAGGGCAACTGGGCATCCACTCTTGCTCACAAACTCTCCTGGCACCATTCGATGCCACTAAGCAACTCGTAGGATATGGGAAGACTGTTCGGATGTTCCAACGCGAGGAACATGAGGGTGTGCAGTTGGAGATCCATGGAACCACACCTGCAGAGGAAACTAGCTGAGGACCATTTCGTGTAAAGCTACAGTCGATTGTCCTGACTCACTGGTTATAGTATATAATTAGATCTTTTCTTTTCGAGGACTTGTTTTAATGATTAAGCATCCTTGACAAATAAGACGCCATGTCGACAGCTCAAGCTTTACACCACACCGGTGTCTACAACTATTTCCTCAACATGGTGGCTTATCAGGTGAGAGAGAAATGAGAGAGATTGATATTTATTCATAGTAATGGGAGATGTGCAATGACATATCAGGTGTTTTTAGATTCTCATGGATCTATTATTGGAACACAAGAACAGCCTTACACAAGCATTGATTATTCTTTTACCAGAACCTGGCTTTGTAGAATTTAGAAATCAAGGACAAATTATGACGAATGTTGAACATACGGAACCTGAAAATTTCACATATCTGACAACATTGTCAGTTACTGGATTTCACACTTTTTTGGCTGGTTTGGCTTTTCTATTGGTCCTAAATATGAGTAAAGTTGCCACAGAATGACTCATTATGAGCTCATTATGATATCATTTGTATTTGTGGAGCACTACATAGTATGTGGAATATGTACAATTATATATATACTGGAACCTATTTTTTCAAGCTTGCAAAGATTCAAGATATCTACAGGTTGTTGCACAATTTGTCATAATGCTCTGTGATGGGCCTCAATTTATGAGCATCATATTTTCATTTTATTGTTTTAACGAATTAACCTTGCATTTCATTTGAATAACTCAACTTAGATGACTATTGAGTTCACTCGGTGTTGTCTGAATTAGGATGAACAGTCCCTGAAAAGAATAATCCACTATTAAATGATAATTGCTATTATAATTGCACTGTTAAAATAATTGGTTAGTTGTTGTTGTTTGGTATAAGAAGGTAAAACTCTTCTCTCAACAGAAACGCACTGACATCATGGAAAGTGCTTTCTGTCGAATGAAATTAAGAGGATGAATGACTCATTCATCATAAGCTTTAAGAGTCAGTGTGTTTTCACCCTCCTTTTGAGAAGTGGGAATCAATAATGAAACGTTTGTAAATTCATTTATAGAAAGGATCAAATGTTGTCTCTCCTTATATTCTTATTTCTAATCCACAAACTGGCACAAAAATCTGAGATTTAATTATAACTTTTAAGTTGCAATCATTATTTTGTTGAGTTCTGTTGACATGAATTTTTTTTTCTTTTTTTTTTTCTTAAAGTTAAAGTAATTGAATAAAATAAATAAGTGGATTTCAAGTGGCTTATAATAGTGGTGTATTTTGGGTGAAGTGACATACCTGTTAATGTAAACGAGGCCATGGAGGTTAAATGTTATATTTAGCATGTGCTGTTATCTGTGGATTTGAACTGAAATAGAGATGACTTGGTTCCAGGGCTACTAAAAAAGTAGTTGAATCGACTTAATTTTTACAGTGTTTGTTACAAATAATTACGTTCCTGTAACTCACTGTAGTTTGTTGGTTGAATAGTCAAAGTTGTCAATTAACCCTTAAATGCATGAATGTTTTGCCAATCATTATTACACATTTGGGTCTTTAGTGACCCAGATCTATATTTAACACATATGAATCTCTACCTGATTATATAAAACTGTCCTGATATTAAAATAACAATTACAGAAGAATAAAATAAAGCATTTTTGTTACCTCTTGAAGCTTGGAAGGGTTCAGTTTGAGCAGATGTTTTATACCATCACTGTCCTTTTTAGAGCTCATTTACCATTCAGATTCTGATTCATATTTGAGATCTCAAACATGTTCTTAAAACTATCATTTTCAACATCTTCAAAATCAGTATTTTGATCTCTGATAGCTTCTTCCCCAGATCCACCATCAAGTAACAGTGACACTAATATTTGATTGCGTTCAGTACTTGCTCTGCAGTAAATCGCTGACCCATTTCAAGTTTTGCTGATGATACTTCCTTTTCTTTTGTTTTCTGCCTGCGGTAACTATGAATGAAATGTCACTTCATCATTGTGTATCAGACAATGTGGAATAAAGATGAAGTACACTTATTTAGTCATCAGACAATCAATTATTGTTCTGCAGCCTATACAATTTTTACCAAAAAAAGGGTAAACAGGCATTCATTTCTCTTTTTTTTTTTTTATAATGAATTGATAAAGGAATATTAAGATGTCTTGATGTCAAAAAATGCAATGATCATTTGCTCATTATTTACTTATCTTCATGTCATTTAATTACCTTCATGTGAAGATATTTTCAAGATGGTTTTAACTGTTCTCGTTAATGAAGTCCATGTTAATGAGGTCCAAAACAACACTGGTCCCCACTGACATTCATTGTATGATCAAATAAACACTGATGCATATTACAAAATATCTGTTTATTTGGAAGCTTGTTTTCACCACAGAATTTTTAAAAAGGCAATTCTGACCTTTTTTATTATTTGTGGTAATTTCTTTTGAAATGAGTTTTGATACTTTTGTGTTCCCCTGAAAAGAAAAAAAAGCCATATAGATCTTGATCATGAGGGTGAGTAAATGTTAACATCGTTTAATTTTAGGGTGAATTATCACTTTAAAGACTACTACAAAAGGGTTAGACATGTAAATATCTTGACATTAATTACTCTATATTTTGATGGTTCTCTTACGAGAGGTTCTCTGGTACTGCGTAATATCTTATGCTGGGTGAAAACCTCTTTTCCACGAGATAATGAATTATCCTTAATTTTGAATTAATCTAAAACACGTTGCGGCAACATGCAGACATAGGCAAGACGGCTGGCGTGCCTATTGGCTGTCCTCCTGCTGATGACTTCTCTCATCGTTGCTGAGAGACACCTATGGCTGATGTTATCTGAGATGCCGGTCTCGGAGCTCTCCGTCCACAGTCAGTTCATTTAGATCTCATGTGTCTCGCTCATCTGTTTTCAGACAGACTGAGCAGCACTTCTTTTCATTCAGCAGACGTGCTAAGGGAATAGCCACATCGAAACAGAGCCTATTCAGATAGTTGACGCCATAGCGCTGGCACACAAGTCTAACAGCCCATTCTCACCCCCAAGGCGTCACGTAACTGACGCCTTGGTAAGCATTTGGACATGCTTCAATATCTGACGCTTTAGGTGCCCTTTGGCGTCAGTTAGATGACGCCATAGGATCGCGTGTACCCTACCCCCACCCCACACCTAAACCTAACCGCTTCCTCTAACTGACGCTTTCCTTTAGCGTCAGTTAGATGACGCCGTAGGATTGCGTCATGTAAGTGACGCTAAAGGGCGCCTAAAACGTCAAATATTGAAGCATGGTCAAAGGTGACGCCTTGGGGTGAGAATGCGTTGAGTCTAAAGGCTTGAAGTGTCCTTTAGGTGTTGGTGCACTCCACAAGAGGGGCTCATCGTGGGCTTGGTCTAGCGGGATTATCTTGCAGGATATCTGTATGGCGGCTGGATGGGCCTCCCCATCTATATTTATAAGTTTTTATAACCTAGAGGTTCCCACCTTACAGGCTAAACTACTTTCGGTCTAAAAATCAGTATTGTTTGGCTCAGAATACTACAACCGCTTGAGCACCGCTCGCTGAACGATAAAATAACTCCATGGGCAAAAGTAAGACCCACACCCAGTTCAGGCCGAACATTTTCACCCTGACTGTGTCGAACACTGTTGATGTGATTAGCTCCCTTAGGATGCTAACTTATTGGAAATGACGCTTCTAGCCTCTCTTCTCAGACTCTTTGTGAGTCCCTGGTTATACGTGCCCTTGGGACTTTGGTGTTGGATCCCAGCACGCACAGCGTTTTACTAGCTGTTTACTAGTTGCGAAAGATATTACGCAGTACGAGAGAACCTCTCATAAGAGAACGTACAAGGTTACTAATGTAACCTCGGTTCTCTCTAGAAGAGGGAACGAGTACTGCATATCTTTGCCGTGCCTGCAACACGCTCTGGTTTGCTTCGACGATGAAAAAAACACATTATATCATCCCATCGAGCTATATTTATTGGCCAGCCGTCTTGCCTATGTCTGCATTCTGCCGCAAAGTGTTTCATTTTTGGCTTCAACATCTCGTGGAAAAAGAGTTTTTCCCCTAGTGTAAGATATTACGCAGTACTCGTTCCCTCTTCCACAGAGAACAAAGGTCACGTTAGTAACGAGTACGTTTTCCCCTCGAGTCAAATAGTGAACAACTGTGATAGGACATCGAAGCATATATCATTCAAAATCCAGTATACACTAATGAAAAATAGATTATCAATCTGTCAGTTGGCCCAATCTCTGCTTCTGGGTTTAGCTGAGGATAAAAGATGTTTGGACCCCATCCAGACAACCAGCCCCGATTCCTCAGGAAAAAAATCCTGATGCTTTGAGCGACCTCGAATTAATCCTAAACACTGTATGGTCTGCTTTTCTTTCTATTAGATATGCTGCTGCTGTGGCCCAGCACCATGTTCCCTGTGTTGCTCCTTCTGTCCGCCTGTCAAATCATCATCCAGCACGCGGGTCATGTACACGTTATTCCACATCCTGGCCTGCACTGTCTCATGTCTCATGCTGTCCAAGACCGTGTCCGAGGCAGTGAGGGAGAATGTAAGTGTTCTTACAAGTTGCCGTCATTCGCTTAACCGACTTTTATTTGTGCTGGTGCTGTAAGCAGCCAAAACTCTGCTTTATTTGTATCAAGTCTCATCCAATCAAATCTTGGCTAATCTGCTTGGCTGGACACACTCCAGCTACTCATGCTATCAATTTGTACCCTACAGGCTGTGACACAAAATAACAGACAGCTCTCTTCCTCAGGTGCCTTTCTTTAATGTGGTGTGTGATGAGGCTCATGGTGGAGGAGACTGTCAGATGTTGGTGGGTTACTCTGCCGTCTACCGGGTGTGTTTTGGCACAGCTTGCTTCTACTTAATGATGGCCCTCTTCCTCATCGATGTGAAGTCCAGTCAGGATTTCCGAGCCCTCATTCATAACGGGTTGGTGACTTTATTTCCTGTAGTTTGTTTACACTGTCTGTAACACAACATATAGTTGTTTCGATTCTTCGCTCTACAGATAGTTGTGGAGCACTCTTAGAAGAAAAGGTTCTATCAGCGCTACGTATTTGGAACCCCTAAAAGGTTCTACACTCTTAAAAAAAGTGTTCCTCTGGGTTCTATATAGAACCCTGAGGTTCCATACTTGGCCAATAGAACCTTTTCCAAAAAAAATGGTTCTATATAGAACCATTTTGGTGTTCCATATATGAAGCGGGGGATGGAACCATTTCTAGTTCTAAATAGAACAATTTCTTGTAAGAGTTAAACCAGATCCTTGGACCATATGGTGGACATGCATTCATGTAGTTACTTCATATGAATAAACTAACACACTCTTATTCTCCTCATTCTCACTTAGGTTCTGGTTTCTGAAGTTCATCACCATGCTTGGGATGATCGCTGCTGCCTTTTTTATTCCAACAGAATCCTTTTTGCATGGTGAGCTATTCATCTGTGACACAAATGTTTATATTTGATAAAAAATCGAGATTAACTGATATTTAAATAAACAAATAGCATTACCATGCAAATGTTTTGGGTCAATAATTTGTTTGTTTTTAAAGAAATGTATACTTTTATTCAGCAAGGATGCATTAAATTGATAAAAAATTAAAAGTAAGAAATTTATTTCAAATAAATGCTGTTCTTTTGAACTTTCTTTTCATTAAAGAATCCTGAAAAAAAAAAAAACGCATCGGTTTCCACAAAGTATTAAGCAACTGTTTTCAACATTGACAACAAGAAATGTTTCTTGATCAGCTCATTAGAATGATTTTTAAAAGATCTCGAGACAGTAGAACATAAGAAAAACACATACTGTCTTTTTTGTTTAGATTTGCTAAACATTGAATTTAACAGTGTAATTAAATTATTACAATTAAAGGAGAACTCCGGCGCAAAATGAACGTTTGGTCTAATAAAACATTGGTACCCTGTCGACCATTCTCTGAGATTTGTTTTCATGATAATCAAATTTAAAGAGTTTTATCTCTAAAACTGTTTAGCGTATAATGTTAATATATGGTGGCATATAATAAGTAAAAAGAAATCGCTAGTTAATTCCATTAACAAGGCTCAAAAGTGAACTCTTTATAAAGCATCTTCTTATTAAACGGTCTGTACACTTACAAAGTTCTCAATGCTTCGTTTTGCATTTATGGACCCTCATTGTGTTACTGCGTTAGTGTGGGGCTATTTTGAGCCTTGTTAGTGGTATAAACTAGCGATTTCTTTGTACTTATTAAATGCCCCCATATACTAGCATTATACGCTAAACAGTTTTTAGAGATAAAACTCTTTAAATTTGATTATCATGAAAACAAATCTCAGAGAACGGTTAACTAGGTACCGATGTTTTATTAGACCAAAGGTCTAAGGTTTTGCACCGGAGTTCTCCTTTAAATATTAAGCCTACTTTAAATGACTGTTACATGATTGCAAAGGTCATCACAATTATGAATGCACAATTAAATATTCAATATCTACAAATGAATATTTAATATTGGCAGATAAACTATATAATATCTATATATATATATATATTTGCATTCCTGATATGGGAAAGGAGGTGTATTGATCAAAACATAGTGATGTGTTGTAGACTATCTAAACTGATTATGTGCTTAAAGTGATTATGTATGTTACAGTCTTGGTTCATGGCTCAGTCTGGATCATGTGATTTGCACTTCTCGCTTAAATCCTCCAGGTGGCCCCATGGACATATTGAACGTTTTACATTTGCACAGAAAGTGGGGATTATCTCAGTCAGTGGGCCTAGTTTATAAAACACCATCAGATTTACAATGTTACAATGTTGCATTCAACTAAGTGAGACATTTTATGTAATTTACAAAAGAATTTGTTTTGATTCATAAATACAGCCCAGTTCGCCTCATTTCACTGTACTTCATAAATACACTTTTTTGTCCTATTTTTAATAGTTTTCCCCATTTTTCCTCTTTCCATGTAGCTTGGCATTACGTTGGAGTAGTGGGAGGCTTTTCGTTTATCCTAATTCAACTCATTCTCATCACAGCTTTTGCTCATACCTGGAATAAAAACTGGTAAGTGAGGAAACTGGGTTCACACACCAACAATATGTCCTCTTGAGGCAACCTACTACAATAACTATTGTAGGAAAGTGCTCATTGCCAGACTATGACGAATCCCATCTGGTTCGTTTCTGGAGTCACATCTCACTCAGGAATGATTAAAATATCACCCTCCACAGTCGTAGAGTTTTAGATAATCTCTGTCCTTCACTCCCTTCCTGTTTCTCGCTCTGGTATCTCACTTATTCAGATACACACGCATTCATACTAACTCCCCATTCACCCTCTGACCCCCAGTTTATCCCAGATGTTTGTGGAATCCACCTCAAGCCATTTTGAGGCAGAATGTCATCTTAACACAACAGACATAATAAGAATTCTTGTACTTCCTGTTTTTCCTGATTTTTTTATTTACACGTGAGGCGTCATTAATCTCACTCACCCTGTCTCTGCCCTGCCTCTCATTGCCAGGTTAACCGGTGCAGCTGAGAATAAAAGGTGGTACGTGGCAGTCATGTGCGCTACCCTCTTTTTCTACACCATCGCCACCATGGCCTTCACTTTCATGTACAAATACTACACTCATCCAGCGGGATGCCACCTGAATAAAGCCCTGCTATGGACTAACCTGGGCCTCTGCACCATCATGTCTTTTATTGCGGTCACTCCCTGCGTGCAGCAAAGTTAGTGCTTCATCTGTTTCTGTTCTCTCACCAAAACAATAGTTTGGTAGTTTATATCAGCAGTTTAGATAGAAATACTCTTGCAATTTAACCATAAAATGTATATAAATCAAGAAGGATTAGTTCACTTTTAAAAAACTTTTGCTGATAATTTACTCACCTCCATGTCATCCAAGATGTGCATGTCTTTCTTTCTTCAGACGAAAAGAAATTAAGGTTTTTGATGAAAACTTTCCAGGATTTTTCTCCATATAATGCACTTCAATGGGAACCAAACGGTTCAAGGTCCAAAAGACACTTTCAGTGCAACTTCAAAGGGCTTTAAACGTTACCAGATGATAAATAAGGGTCGAGTCTAGCGAAATGATCGGCCATTTAAAAAATGTATAAAAAAAGTTTAAGTTTTATAATCACAAATGCTCGCCTTGAACTAATGCTTTAAGTTGACCGTCTGTTTCACTCTCCCTCTTAGAGCAGCCTCGCTCAGGACTCCTGCAGGCTTCCATCATTTGCTGCTATGTCATGTACCTGACCTTCTCTGCTCTTTCCAGCCGCCCACCAGAAAAAGGTAAGCAAGATTTGCTTGTTTCATGTAGAACATGTTTTAATTTTGTTTCATGCTCTGGTCAATTTTAGGCTTACTCTTTCAGAATGGTAGCAAGAAAACATTTCAAATATGCATTTATGAAAAATATAAGATATCAGTTCTGCTGTTGTTCATTAATAGGCATACCTAGTGTAGAAATGGGAAAATAGAGTTATCATTGTCCCACTGTGGTGTTGAGCCAGGATCCTTACTGTCCTTACCGATGGCAAATTCATGTACACGATATACTGGCTCATGACCGGACCTAAGAAGTTAGGCAGTTGATTGAGAAGCACCCATAGTGATAACCATAGCATGGGACGAAAATATGACTTGTCAAATTACTGTAGTAGATATGCATTAAGCAATATAAATACAGACATGAAAAAAATAATTTTTTAAAAATTTCTTTTCCTATTTATTGTAAAATAAATTACTTGTGAATAATCTGAAATGTTTTAATAAACTTAAAGCTAAAGTTAGGGAAAATGCTCAATTGTCTATATGACAATAAAATTAAAACATTAATTATTAGTAAAAATCGAAGCTAAGGTTTAGGGAAATGTTTAATGTTTCATCCGACAGTAAAATTAAAAGGTATGAGTCTGCAAATACATTAAAATAATTGTGATTAAAACAAATGTGAACAAATAATGAATTGTGATTTAAAGCAACATGTATGTTCTTTATGATGCATAAATTTCAATTTGACCATACATGGCGATTTGACCATATTAACATACAACACACCTCCAGAGTTAGACAGAGAAGCATTTACTTGTTATTAACAAGCAAATAAATCAGTTCGACATAAAATGTGTATATTCATAAAGTTTTTGACAATCTTTTTTTTTTTTTTCCATTTCACCATCAACACGAAGTATGTACAGTCAGGAAGGGTACAAAGCCACACTAAAGATGCGTAAGCTGACAGAGCGATTGAAAGCTTACTGTAGAGGTCACTCGACCAATCACCTCAGGGAAGGTCTGAGACAAGAGGCAATCGTTGTCCTGACAGGACATCATCCGCTCAGATGAGCGAGCGCACAGTAAACATGGATCATACAACACGTGGTGTTCTCGAACAAGACTGCTGATGCGACGCGGCTAGTGTGATCAGTGCCGCATTAAGAGCTCACTGAGCCCCGGGGCTATGAGTTACTGCAGGCCCAGGACTGTTGCTCAGAAATCCAAAGCTTTGCTCTAGATCTCTATGAGTTGTAGCACCTATCAAGCTCAGCCACAGGTTTGACATTGAACACACAATGTCATTGTGAATCTGCCACAGATGACTCATCTGGTTCCGCTCCTTTCTTCAAAATCTCACACTGATTAGTTGAATATTAATATGAAAGAATGTAGCCCAACTCAATTATTAAAAACCAGGAGATAAAGCTTGCAGTTGCCATGCTATATTACAGACCATTAGAAACTACATACACAAGAATGACTTAAAAAATTATAAACTTGATTTGTAAAAAAAAAAAAAAAACTATTAAACTAATTTTTCATTAATTGAAATAAAGCTGGAATAAAATAAAATAAAAGAGAAAACAAAAATTAGAGATGTTTACTTAATTGGTAACTAACTGAATATATATATATATATATATATATATATATATGTATATATATATATATATATATATATATATATATTTTTTTTAAAGTAGGCCTACTAAATAAATAAAATTAAGCTAAATTTAAGTATTTAAAAAACTAAATGATTGAATCACATTATAAAATGACTAAAACCTAAACTAAAAAAAAATAAAAGCGGAAAATATTTTTAAAAAGATCATTCGAAATATTAATAAATAAATAATTCTATAATAAAAATGATTATAACTTATATTGTTGGTGAATCAAGCAACACTTTAATACCCATTTGCAAGATCATTAGACACTTAACACTGATAGTTATGTGGGAAAATATAATACTGGATCCAGCATGTGTGAGCCTGTCTCTACCTGTCAACTCAAAGCCAGCCAAGTAACTAACCACCAGTCAGTCACCGTTATGATGAGGGGCACTTGAAGAGTGATTGGTGGCCTGTTTGAATTCTTTCAACTCTTTATGAAACTCTAAAATGCTTTATAGAATCACAGACTGATCTGTTGTTTCAAGGTCAGAGCGTAGCGATGCATGCAAACCACTATTGGAGTAACTAAATTGATTCATCCCTCAGCAAAGTTAATCAAACTGGCTGTAATCACATAGTCATTAACAAAAGGTCATCAGTGGAGCCCGCAAAACTCGCCCTGGTTCGCCATCTCATCTCACATCATTTCATCCATTAGTGGTGCATTTCAGAGGAAATCTGTGGTGATGAATGGTGCGAGCTCAATATACGACAGAGATGAATGAGATTTCCAGAAAGAAAACTTTGGTGACTGAGGTCATAGAAAAGCTCTCAAGCATGTAACACAGATGAGGGTGTTTCACGTGGGTATTTGAAATACAGATGTTGATGGTAAAGTTCAGGGGAGAAGAATTACTTAATTCTCACATTTGCCAGGTTTTGATTTAGGATGATTTACATAACGTCTGATGAAGAGCTTTTGGGTTGAAATATCACGGATGTGGTTTGATTAATATTGCAGTATTGTTACTTTCTGGAGAAAGAGTGTATACTGACTTTCTTGCAACCCCTTCACACACACAGACTTATTTTTGGGGGTGAATGGCACAGTGCTTGTATAATGTGTGTTTGTTGTGTCCTGTCTTGTTCCCTAACTATCTGTGGGTCTATGGCCTCTGTGTGCAGCATGACTTCATAAAGGACTGAAGTGCACCCTGGGGCATGCTGGGAGTTTAATCCCATCTCAGAGGAATTCTCTCTGACACACAACACACAATATCCACAGACCTGTAAATCATCTCTGAACCCAGAAACAATGGCCTCAAGAAATCCCTAATGGAGCGTGTAAATGTGAAACTAAATGCAATTCGCTGTTGTTTTTAAACATGATTCTGAAACACTGTAAATAAACATTGTTGGTTTAACTTAAAAAAGTAAGTAACCTGGTTGCCTTAAAATTTTAAGTTCATTAAAATGGAAAAAGTGAGTTAATACAATGAAGGAGAATGATTTAATCATCAGAAACTCAAAATTATATGTTATCTGAACTAAATAAATTATTCAAGTTGATTTGACGAAAGAAAAAATGTTGTGATTACTAATCATGAAAAGAGTTTTTTACAGTGCAAATGATGGGTTTGTGGAAAGTAAATAATCCAGAAAATTATGTTAAAGAGTGATAAATATCAAACCTCTCTCTTTCTCTGTTTTGTGTTTTGCAGTGGAGTATCAAGGCGTCAACATGACGGTGTGTTACCCCAAAGTCAGCAGAGATGAGATTCAAAATGAAGGCAATGCTGTGGCCATTATTGGGGCGGCTATCATGTACTGCTGTGTTCTCTTTGCATGGTAGGCAAAAAAGTATTGAGGTGTGAATAATAGAGATATTAATAAAATGTCTACTTTGGCTAATAAAATGTATGCTGATTGTCTTCCTCAGCAATGAGGCTTCATACTTGGCTGAGGTCTTCGGACCTTTCTGGATGATAAAAGTTTACCGCTATGAGTTCCAAGTATGTGACTTTCAGAATGTTTTATATATAAAAAAATATTTTTTTGAGCTTTTTACTCTGACAACCTCTGCCATTCTCTGTCTTAAACAGAAAGCCTCCTGTTGCTTTTGCTGCCCAGAGCCAGAAGATGGTGAGAAACATAAAAAAAAATCCAATATCCATAGATTTCATAAACATATTAAAGAGATAGTTCCCAAAAATGAAAATTCTGTCATATATTTACCATCATGTTGTTTCAAACCATATGACATTCTTCTGCAGAATAAGATGTTGGTTCCCATTGGACAACTGTTTGCTTACCAACATTATTCAAAATGTATATTTTTTGTGTGCTCTTCTTAAGAAAGAAAGCCATACAGGCTTGGAACAACATGGGAGTGAGTAAATGATGACATTTTTGGGTGAAGTGTGCCTTGTCAAGGCAATGTCAAGGTATTAACATCTTTGTTTCTGTCCGGCCAGAGGAGGAGTTTGTCATTGACGAGAGCAAAGGCTGTCAGAAAGTCATCCACAATGAGGCCCATCGCGTTGCCTACAGCTACTTTTTCTTTCATTTCGTTTTCTTTCTGGCCTCCCTCTACGTAATGATGACCCTCACTAATTGGTTCAGGTCAGTTGTTAAAGAGCTCGTCTGAGCTGTTCTGGAGATCCGAGCAAAGCCCTGGAACAACAGGAAACACAAAAGAGTTTTCGTGGATAGAACCAATCATTTTTAAGAACATAGTTGTGTGTCAAGCACAGGCACACAACTATGTTCTTAAAAATAAATTAAGCTAATTTCCTGGGGTTTCAGGAGTTTGTGAGGACCCTGCAGGTGTGTGAGTGTGTATATATATATATATATATATATATTGTTGAAAAGTTTGGGGTCAGTATGATTTATTAAAATAAGTTTTTTTTTCCCTCACTGTTTACAATTAAAATAACTGTTTTCTATTTGAATATATATTTGTAAAAGCAATTTTTTCCTGTGATGGTAAAGCTGTATTTTCAGCATCATTACTCCTGTCTTCAGTGTCACATGATCCTTCAGAAATCATTCTAACATGCTGATTTGCTGCTCAAAAAAACATTATCAATGTTAAAACAGTTGTGCTGCTTGAAATTTTCGTTGAAACCATGACACATTTTTTTCTTAATTCTTTGAAGAATAGAATCTTTAAAATAACATTTTTATTTCAAATAGAAATCTTCCTGACCCAAAACTTAATAAACATATATAGTATGTTATATATATTATATTATATTTAATATACTATATTTCAGCCTTTTTAAATGTGGTGTGTTATTGCTCTTTTAAATAGTATAAATGGTGTTAATATTTGTCATCAATTATAAAGTGTAACAGTGAAGAATGGAGTCTGTAAAGTCTAAAAACCCTTGTTATAGATTAGCCTGAGCCTGAAATAAAATGTCGGCAGTTTTTAGTTTTAGAGGTAAATAAAAAGATAAATATTTTCTCCTATATATATATATATATATATATATATATATATATTAGGGCTGTGCAAAAATTAATTGCGATTAATCGCATCCAAAATAAAAGTCTGTGTTTACATAATATATTTGTGTGTGCTGTATATAATTATTTTGTATATATAAATACCTATGCATGCATGTATATATTTAATAATTATTTGCACTTAAATTCTGTATATATAAATAAATACATAATCTATATTATATAAATATAAATATTTTATATATGAATAACACATTTTCTTAAATATATACATGCATGTGTGTGTATTTATATATACAAAATAATTATATACAGCACACACAAATATATTATGTAAACACAGACTTTTATTTTGGATGCGATTAATCGCAATTAATTTTTGCACAGCCCTAATATATATATATATATATATATATTATTTTATTTTTTTTCGAAAATAGGTTTTTGCAGAATCAGTCAACATCTGGGGATTTTTTAAAGCAATGTTGTTGCCAAAAGATTAGCACACACAAATCCCAGTTCATACCAATTTTTATAATGTCATTCTGTCTCCCCCCAGTTATGAGACTGCTGTGCTGGAGACAACCTTCACCCACGGGAGTTACTCCACATTCTGGGTCAAGCTCTCTTCCTGCTGGGCATGTGTTGTTCTGTATCTCTGGCTCCTCCTGAGTCCCCTGTGCCACTGCCAGTCTGATCACAAACGACCTCGCCGCGCCCGCATCAAGAGACGGACCACCTCCCACCGTCACGTTAGCGTCAGCGTGTGAATCACACAAAACGGACTGTTCAACAGTGTCAAAGACAGTGGGGATGGGTGCAGGTTACTGGGGATTTCCACTGCAAAGGAAATGGGTCATGCAGGATCTCTGAACGCTGAAGAGTGGACTCTATTAAATGAACATTGATCCTCCTGATAATCCTGTTAGGATTAAAATCACCAGCACTATCAATGCAAACCAACATGCATGGAACGGAAAATGTTAACCATGTTTAAGACTGTATGAGCATATCTGTAGGGGATGTGCTAAAATTGCCAAATGGAATATGACATTAACATTTTAAAAAGCTGGATGTCTGTATATTTAGTGAGGTTTTTTTTGTTTAGTTTTTTTAAATGTAGAAGAATTCTTCATTGGCTTACATTGTAGACATATGGAGATACCTGAAATCAGCTTTTTCCTATTTAATTTAACCTTTTGATACATTTATGCTTATCAGGTTGTATAGATTATGTGAGCAATGCTTTATTTCAGTGATCTGTGGCTTGTATGTATATATATATATATATATGCATGCTCTCTGGGGGCTTGCTCCGCCCACTCTCTCAGCCAATCAGAGGCCATAGGGAGAAAAGGCTGTTATCTACAGTAAAATTACTTTAATAGCTCGGCGACAGCCAGCCTATTTAGCTCTAATTGCATGTTTATGTTAGAAAGTTTGATGTCACTGTTATAAAAGATAAGTTATTTTTGTAAATATATTTTTAACGAAACACATTCTAGAGTTTATGTGTGTTTTGCTGAAAGCCTGGACTATAATTTCACAACCACATCAAAGTAATAGGATAATCTTAGTTGGTCTAATAATGATTAAAGAGAAAAACAGCTGCAAAAATAGACGGAAAAACTGTTTATCGGCAAAAGCGCTCCGCCATAGACATTTATACAGTGCTTAGCATAAGTGAATACACCCATGCAACAGTTAACTAAAAAGAGGAATAAAAAATCTACTTTTGGAAATTGATCTTAATGCCTTAATTAAAAAAAGAGGAAAAATCCAACCTTTAAGGACACCAATTTTCTTTGTGAATGAAAAATGTATCATAAATAAATAAATGTTCTTCCCTAAAAATACAGGCGGCATAAATCAGGACACCCCTTATTTTAAATTCCCATACAGGTAGGCACATTTTTATTTTTTAAAGGCAAGTTATTTCATGGATGCAGGATACTATGCATCCTGATAAAGCTCCCCTGGCCTTTGGAATTAAAATATCCCCACATCATCACGTACCCCTCACCATACCAAGAGATTGACATGGGGTACTTTCCATAAGATCATCTCTCAATGCAAATCAAACCAGCTATTAGGCTAACTGAAATAAAACCATGCCAATCTCTAGGTATGGTAAAGGGTATGTGATGATGTGGGGCTATTTTAATTAGATTTTATTAATTTAGATTTAATTAGCATTAAGATCAATTTCCAAAAGACGAATGTTTATTCTTCTCTTTAGTCAACTTTAGCATTGGTGTATTCACTTATGCTAATCACTGTATGTGCGTGCTGCTTATCTTGAATGTGTAAATGTGACTCATAAACACTCCTTATTTCACTTTATAAGGGACTTTATAACTGTAAATAAAAGCAATATTATATGGTAAAACATTTAAAATTATAAGGCAATATATAAATCAAGGTTTCCTTTAGAAATACTGTCAACTTATAAATACATAAAAACAACAACATCAAAATGCACATGATAAAGATATACATGCTGTCAAGTGATTTTAAGCCATTAACGGACACGTGCTAGAAAGGGCATCATGCTGAGTAAATTATTTACTTTCGTGTACACGTTTTAAAAGAAGGTGACTGTCCACCTAAAGTGCTTCATTTAGTGACTTTAAATAACCTCATGCCCCCATGGACATAATTCATCCCGACAAAAGTGTCCATTATCCTTGCTGCGGAATGTGAAATGCTTCAGTATATCAGCATCAGAGCAGGGTTTCTGTCTGTGCCTTGTTTTTTTGGCATAAGAGCTGAGCTTCAGAATAATCGTGCAGTGAAAGTGTGATGCGTTTAACCTCGAAACTGAGTCCTGCTACCTCTGTTACCGCAAAGCTCCTCTAGGGGGCGCAGCAGGCCATCTTCACGTGCTCGATAAGGCTGAGCGTAGCTGTCCTTCTCTATCAGGATGCGATTGAGAGTGCGTTCGTAATTTATATGCCGTCGCAGCATCAACACGTACTGGTGGCCTTCCTCTAGAAGGGGGCAGTCACATTTGTTGGGGGCCCACAGGTACTCACGGTGCTCCAGACGATAACGGTTGCGGTATGTGTGGATGATTTGGACGTCATAGCGGGTCTCCTCACCATGATAGACTTTTTCCAGCACTTTTGCTCGAAGTACTGTCACAGCAGAAAAATGTATTGTCATTATCCAATATATTACGTATATTAAACCAAAATTTCTGTTGTGTTGGGAGACATAACGATTGAACTCACCAAAATCTTTTTGGCAGTACTGTCTCTGGCGCTCACCTTTCCCTCGAACCCGGCGGCATTTCCCACAGCGGCCTGCAAAAGGATCAAATTTCAGTTTCATGACGTTTCATCCTTGAAAACAACAATGGAAATTAACTATGAACTTTAAAGTCCCCGTGAAATCAAAATTGAACCTATTTACTTTGTTAGCGCATATTACTAGTCTTGTGGTGAACAATTAATCCGTGCAAGTAAAAATATATTTAAAAAATGTTTTACCTTGGTAATCTTTAATCAAAATCTGAAAAGTTACTTCCGGTCTGGAACGGTTTCTTTTTCTGATGACGTAGGTTTCACAACTTGGGTGGGGAAACGCTTAACCACTCCCCCCAAACCGTTAGTTTGCTATGAGCGAGAGATGGAGAGGAGGAGCGCTAGAGTAAAACCCTGCCCTCTGTTCAATATTCCGTTTCACTTGGAAATACGTCACAGCACTGGAGAAAAATCGTTTGCAACTTCCGGTTCACGGGGACTTTAAGGAAAAAATATGTGTTTGGCATTGTATGTTAGATTTTACATGGCAATTAGTGTTGTCATTAGTACCGGCACTACGGTACCAAGTTGATACTGAAATTTCAAAACTGTTTCTGGAATACCAGGAGTACAGAGTATCACAGATAGATAGGTGCTTTCAAATTCTCCTGTGTGTACAGTCAGTGCTTTTGTGTGTGCTCTGTGAAAATATTCAGAGGTTTCTATTTACAACGTGCTTAGTGAAGTGCTGAGAATTATAGCCAATCATAGACATCTTAGCACATGTACGCAATTTCACGCGGTGGCCATCTTTGAAACTTCTCTCGGGCATCTATTTCAGTCATGCAAGTAGCTCCTATCTCTTTGAATGGGGAAACATCAAATTCTCCAAAACTTACGATTAAACTTAAAGGAGAACTCCAGCGCAAAAAGAACCTTTGGTCTAATAAAACATCGGTACCTAGTCAATCGTTCTCAGAGATTTGTTTTCATGATAATCGAATGTAAAGAGTTTTATCTCTAAAAACTAAGTAAAAAGAAATCGCTAGTCTATACCACTAACAAGACTCAAAATAGCCCCACACTAACACAGTAACATAATGAGGGTCCAAAAAACGAAGCATTGAGAACTTTGTAAGTGTACAGACCGTTTAATAAGAAGATACTTTATGAAGACAGTTCACTTCGCGTATACAGACAGGAGCCATCTTAAAAAATAGTCTCGATAAGTCGAACCACGAACGACGTTCATACAGTTCAGAAGTTCGTTGAACTTCATACAGTTCAGATCACTCAGCACGACGTTCGTGGTTTGACTTGTCGAGTCTGTTTTACAAGATGGCCCTTGTCTGTATACGCGAAGTGAACTGTCTTTATAAAGTATCTTCTTATTAAACGGTCTGTACACTTACAAAGTTCTCAATGCTTCGTTTTGTATGTATGGAGCCTCATTATGTTACTGTGTTAGTGTTTGGCTATTTTGTGCCTTGTTAGTGGTATAAACTAGCGATTTCTTTTTACTCTCTTTTAGAAGGTTGGACCACCATATTTGCACGATGACCGATCTCCCATTCATAAGTAATAGGAGTGAACCGTCTTTCTGTATATATGAAGTCTTTGACTAAATCATTGATGGACCGCTTTAGTGATTATAAAAGGGAGAGCTCTCTTCCTCACTTTCTGTATATAACCCATTTACAATTTGAATAATTCGCGAGCTTAGAATTATAAGGCTCTATCTCTGTTTAGGGTATTTCTGAGATATTGAGCATCAAAGTTTTTACATCCCAGCTGCTAAAACTGTAATGCAGTATAATCTTCTGTTATACCTTTATCTATTGATCTTTTTTTTTTTTTTTTACAAAAATAACACCACACAAGCATTAATAAACACCTAATGGATCAGATTATGTCAAAAACTCAATTTCAACCAAAAGTGGAGATAGAACCTTATAATTCTAAGCACACAAATAGTTATTTTTCATGCGTATACACACTGCAAAGTTTTGGGAAAGACAACCATATTGAATTCAGAATTGCGATGATATGCATAATGATAACTATATAGCAGCAGATGGGGAAAAAATCTACGTTCATTATAAAGTGTAATTATTTATTTGTTCTTCATTTTAATAACATTGCTCAAATCTCGACCATTTTACTGAAGCAATGTTTATTTAATTAATATACAAATATTTGATATATTTATGTATTATTTAATTATTATTATTATTATTCATAATTTTTATTTAAAAATAGTTAAATAGTTCCCATAGTATAGTACCAAAATATTGTTGAGTTCTGTGACATTGATGATTTCTGTGAAATTGTACTGGTATCGGTACGGACTACAAAAATGTTGGTATCGTGATAACACTAATGGCAATGATAAAGTTCTGACCTGTCTGATGTATTTCAGGCCGTCGGTTCCTGCGGTTTTCATCTCTTTCCAAACGTGGGACTGGCTGCTGTTGATAGGGGGGCTGAAGGGGCCAGCGAGCAGCGGGACCTGAGATCATGACCTCGTAAATCACAGTTGTATACAAAAGGCTCCTAACATTATACTTCAAGCAAATGGGACATTTCTGCCAAATACTAACCACCACATGTAGTACTTCAAATGGACTCAACATTCAATCTATGACTTTATCTCAAGATCTATTCACAGCACAGATAATACTTCTAAATACTAAAAGCTTGATAGATTCCCAAATACCAGGAATGAAAGGTTTTTACCCCAGAAAAGAGGTTTTGTGGCTGGATGTGTTGTAGTAGTGGTTGTGGTTGTGGTAGTCATAGTGGTTGGAGGTTCGAATGGCAAGTGGTTTGCAGTGTGGTGAGGCTGCCGGAGTTGACTTCTCCCGTGGTACAGGGCGTATCGGTCTGGAGGGAGCCAGTACTCATATTCTATCCCAGAGTTCT